TCCTCTTTTAACCTGAAAGGGCAGCAAATGCAAACGTTTTCTAATCAATGAAAAAATTACAGTTTATGTACTATTGGACGCAGGATCTACTAGTGTTTGCTAGGTATCTCTATTAAACATAGATGGAAATGTGAAGTTACAACAGTATCAACATTGGTATATGTTTGGTGTGACTCTTTTAGCTGTACGTAACTATAACCGTTTTATTATATTTATAGGTATATGAAACCCTTTCTGGGATTAAAGTCGAAGGGCGACTTCCTGTTCAGAAGAAACAAGACCTACTGAAATCTCTTCCATCTGAATGGCCTTTTGACCCTACAGCTGACATACATAGACTAAATATGGGAAACTCGAAGACACTGGTTGTTCTTGATGATGATCCAACCGGGACACAAACCGTTCATGACGTAGAGGTTTTAACCGAATGGTTAGTTTTGCTTTTTCTCATGAAATTGAACTTGTCGTGTCAAGACAAATATATCATGAACCTTTCATTGAAATAGTTGTCAGGTCGCTAACCTAGAACTCAATGGAAGGAATTAATAATTGGTTAATCTTTTTCCCTACATTTTCACAGGAGTGTTGAATCTATTTCTGAGCAGTTCAGAAAAAAGCCTGCATGCTTCTTCATCTTGACAAATTCAAGGTCATTGAGCTCTGAGAAGGTTAAGACATTTTCTATTTTCTTGGAGAGTTCTAATATCATGGAATAATGATATTTTAAAGGTGCATTAACATCAGCAATTGCAAGCAAGCTCTAACTGCATATTTATTCAACAGGCTAGTGCGTTGATCAAAGATATCTGTTCCAACCTATGTGCTGCATCAAAAGAAGTTGGAAATGCTGACTACACGATTGTTCTGAGGGGTGATTCAACATTACGTGGTCATTTTCCTCAGGCAAGTTTGGTAACCCTATCATGAAATGGCAGACTATCATATCAATGTTATAATTTTAGCTTGGCATCTATTTATCTCATTACTTGATATTATGAACCTTACAGGAAGCAGATGCTGCTGTCTCAATACTTGGGGAAATGGATGCATGGATTATTTGCCCCTTCTTCCTTCAAGGAGGGCGTTATACTATTGATGATGTGCATTATGTTGCAGATTCGGATAGGTATATCTTTGTGAACACCATGTTTAATATTTTTCACTTCAAACTTCCAGAATCAGAGAAAAGTTCCCTTCAGAGAAGGAAGATTGATAGTCTTCATCTTGAATATTGCAGTCTCGTTCCTGCAGGAGAGACTGAGTTTGCTAAAGATGCATCCTTTGGATATAAATCCTCAAATCTCCGTGAGGTCTGGATTCTTCCGACTAGAGAATCGTCTATGTATAATTTGACTTTCTAAGAAATTGTTACCATTAAACTTATTTGATATTACTCCAGTGGGTTGCGGAGAAAACAGTTGGCCGCATTCCTGCTAACAGCGTTCAGTCTATCTCAATCCAGCTTTTAAGAAAAGGTGGCCCTGATGCAGTGGGTGAGTTCTTATGCAATTTAAAGAAGGTAAAATTTTCAAGCAGATTTTATGATGACTTGCTTTCAGTTAACTCTACTGGTCTTCATAATTTTGGAATCAGTTAGTCCCAGTTGTGCAGTCTTACTTCTATCTCAATTTCATATGTAAATCAGGGGTCTGCATGTATTGTCAACGCAGCTAGTGAACGAGACATGGCTGTATTTGCAGCGGGGATGATCCAGGTAAGCCTCCCAATTCTTCCTCCAGTCTTTCTACTTTCTGAGGCATAATTCAATTAGAGAATACATTTTTTTTCTCTTATATTTTTGGTTCCTTCTTTTGATTGAGCATTATGTTTGGCAGGCAGAACTGAAAGGGAGATCCTTTTTATGCCGCACTGCTGCTAGCTTCGTGTCTGCTCTAATAGGGATTATTCCAAAAGATCCTGTTTTGCCCAAAGATTTTGTATCCGACAAAGAAAGCAGTGGTGCACTAATAGTTGTAGGCTCATATGTACCGAAAACAACAAAGCAGGTTAGCGTTATTTACCACTAGTCTCGTTGTTATGTTCAAATGAAACGAAGGTAACGAGTCCTGAGTCCATTTTCTTCTTCAAACTAACAGGTTCAGGAACTTCAATCACAACATAAGCAGAATTTGAGGAGCATCGAGGTAAAAGAAGTAACTGATACTTATAGTATTTCCCACATGTTATGCATGATAATTTTGCTAAGCTCTTGCTATGCTAAATAGATATCTGTAGAAAAAGTTGCTCTTAAATCTTCCGAAGTGAGAGATGAAGAAATCAGAAGAGCAGTTGAGATGGCTGATGCTTTCCTTCGGGCTGGCAGGGAGACTCTGATTATGAGCAGTCGTGAACTTATAACTGGGAAAAGTTGTTTCTCAATTCCAAATTTTTATTTCTTTTTGGTCGTTGTTATAAAGTTATGACTGAGAAATATCATCACTAACGGGTCTGATATTCACTTGACAGCATCTTCGGAAAGTCTTGATATTAACAGCAAAGTGAGCTCCGCTCTGGTTGAAGTAGTGAGCCAGATAACTACCAGACCTCGTTATATTCTTGCTAAGGTATTTTGGCTAGCATTTGTTGCTTTTATATTCAGCTGTCCATCTCATAAACTGTTTAACACCATTTGTCAATGCACAATTGATGATTGCAACTGTGTTTGGTCCAGTATCTTTCAATTGTTTTTTGACACTGTAACGTCCTTGTTTAGGGTGGAATTACATCATCAGACACAGCAACGAAAGCACTTAAAGCAAGACGTGCACTTGTGATTGGTCAAGCCCTTCCTGGTGTTCCAGTATGGAAGTTAGGTCCAGAAAGTAGACATCCCGGAGTCCCGTACATTGTTTTCCCAGGTAAATCTTAATTAGTGTTCAAACCATTCAACTCGATATAAACAGGTGTTCTAAATGAATCTTTTTCCTGATATGTAACAGGTAATGTTGGCAACAGCACAGCTCTTGCAGAAGTTGTGAAGTCCTGGTCAGTTGTAGCTGGACGGTCGACAAAAGAGCTGCTTCTTGTGAGTTTACCACTCGTTCTCTAGCCTTAATTTTTTTTTTCTTCATGTATTGATGTTGTGTTGCTATCTAAAATAGAAAGCAGAAAAAGGTGGATATGCAGTTGGAGCATTTAACGTGTATAACCTGGAAGGAGTAGAAGCTGTGGTAGCAGCTGCAGAGGAAGAAAACAGTCCTGCCATATTGCAGGTTAGTCTTCTGACTAAAATTGGATTTATGATACATCAAACGAGTTTCATATGAGAAACACGTGATAGCAACCAAAGAATAACATTCTGTTCTGAATTGTTCAAAATCGTACGACACAAAATGACATGAAAGCTGAACCTTTTTTTTGTTTGCTTTGTTTTGGCTACGCTTTTAGGTCCATCCGGGTGCCTTCAAGCAAGGAGGCATTCCGTTGGTTTCGTGTTGCATCTCCGCAGCTGAACAAGCCAGGGTGAGTGGGATTTGTCACTGTATTTTAATTCTGCCTTAGATTTAGAAACGTACCTTTTAGCATTCATGTATTTTGAACTCACTATGCAACTTTCATATGTGGGTTTTCCGGTCCGGAATAGACATTGGAATCAAAACGTTAGTGCTGATGCTATATACCTGATACAAAGGTTTGAGACTGAACTCCCTGATTAATATGCACAATGTGGCAGGTTCCAATATCCGTACACTTTGATCATGGAACTACAAAGCATGAGCTATTAGAAGCTCTTGAGCTAGTAAGTTTTAGATCTCTACTGGTTATGTATAATCTCTTTGCCCTTTTTAACTTATTCCAATATTGAAAAATTCATACTCAATTGATTTCGGTGCAGGGATTTGATTCAGTGATGGTAGATGGTTCTCATCTTTCCTTCACGGAAAATTTATCTTACACGAAATCGATAACAGAATTGGCCCGTTCTAAAAACATTATGGTGGAAGCTGAACTAGGTAGACTCTCAGGAACAGAGGACGGCTTGACTGTGGAAGACTATGAAGCAAAGTTCACCAACGTTCAACAGGTCCTTGTTGTTTTTAAGCGCCGATAAATTGAATCTCTCACCTAACAATATTATGTCTGCTAAACCAAACTACAAATACTTTTTATGAGTTTTTCAGGCTCAGGAATTTATGGAAACTGGTATAGATGCTTTGGCTGTGTGTATAGGAAATGTCCATGGAAAATACCCCGAGTCTGGTCCAAACCTCAAGCTTGACTTACTTAAGGTTCCTTATATTCTTTTGCTGAGTGAAGAAGTTCTATGATGTCTGGAGTTTGTGTCATTCTTATTCTAACTGAGTGCCATGTATATAGGAACTGCACGCCTTAAGCTCGAAGAAAGACATTTTTCTTGTTCTTCATGGAGCTTCCGGTTTGCCTGAGAAGCTTATCAAGGTAGGTGTGAGTCTACCATGTTTGAAAGTTTCTTGTTTGGTAGTTAAAAACATAAATAAATCGGCGCCAAAAGTTTCTCTGTTGATGGATATTATGATATGAATATAACAGAATTAACGTCTTTATGGGCTATGAATGAGATCAGGAATGCATTGAGAATGGAGTGAGGAAGTTCAACGTGAACACAGAAGTAAGAAAGGCTTACATGGAAGCTCTTAGCTCGGGGAAAAAGACAGACCTTGTCGATGTCATGTCGGCAACAAAAGCAGCCATGAAAGATGTGATCGTCGATAAGATCCGTCTCTTTGGCTCTGCCGGGAAAGCTTGAGTTGTTGATAAACAATGTCCGGTTTAAGTACAGTTGTACATCACATCCAAAGAATAAAAAAAAAAACAAAAACAAAATATTCTTACATTACATCCAAAGAAGAATGAATACATTGTGTAAGCATATGCAATGCACTCTTGTTGGAAATAAATAAAACAACTACTGTATTGTGTTTTCTTTCTGCAGTAGTGACAGTGAAATATAATTGAAAATGAAAGTTTATTTATAGGGCAAACATTAAATGGTTGTGATTGGATAAAACAAGTAATAATTCATGGCTATCATTTCGGGTGGATATGATCTCCTTTACATACACATAATGTAGTCCTCGCAATCTTCGCCGTTTATCTTCTCGTTCCCCGATCAAAAAATATTCCAAACTCTCACACACATTCTCTTCATTGGGATTCAAATTCTTCTACCTTTTTTTTTTCTTTTTTTCTTTTTTCGTGATTTTCTTTTTATTGCAACTCTGAAGTATTTATCTTTACGAGTTGTTTGGTTTCATATCCACTGATGTCTACTTCTTTGTAATGGAGTTTGCTTCGTTTCTGAAGCTTCTGAGTGAAACCGATGGTTTTGGATGTGGGATATTTGTTTTTGGTTGCTTCTCACAGTTTTTCAATCTCCTCTTTCTCTGTTGCTTGCTTCTTTTGGGACTCAAGTTTCTATTTTTCAAGGGTTCTTCACTGTGTGTAAAGTATTTAGAGAAGATTCATCGAATTTCTCCAAAGTTGGAGTCTTGCAACTCCTTTGATCGAAAACATAAGGATTGCAGCAACAATGGGCTCGTTTCAAAATCTGATTTGGTTCATGGGTTGGTTCAGAAGAAACCCATCATTCTACACTGGAGTTCTGATTCAGCTGATGGGTTGAGCTGCGAGAACTCTGATCTTCTTCTTCTACGTGATGGCCTCGATCACATCAAAAGCAGAGACAACACTGCGGCGTTAACGGAGACAGAGCTTGACGAGAAGAATCATCATGGCGAGGAAGAAGAAGAGTCACGGTCTCGGGTTGATGAAGACCAGGTGTTCGACGTTATTACTCTCAGAAAAATGGTGAAGAGAGAGAGGAAACGTAGAGATTTCATGAAGAAAGAGCTGGAGAAGGAGAGAAGAGCAGCTGAATCAGCTGCGGAAGAAGCCATGGCTATGCTTCTGAAGCTACGGATGGAGAAAAGCGTTGTGGAGATGGAGGCAAACCAATACAAGAGAGTTGCCGAACAGAAGCAACTCTATGATCAAGAAGTGATTCAATCTTTACAGTGGATGTTGATGAAGCTTGATGACCAAGAAGCCACCATTCAAGACTAACACAACAACTCTTTTGATTGATCCTCTGTTTGTAACTTTGTATTTATGCGTATATGAAAAAATAAACAAAATTGAAAATGTTTTCGATTCAGATTAAACCGAGCATTTCACCTTATTAATCTAAACCACCGAACCGGAAATTGACATTTAGTGTTTTTCAGACAACTTAAGTTACGTGGCGTGTGACTATTGGATCCGTGACAACAATTCAACGTGGCAATTTATGGACTAGTTGAAAGACGTTAGTGCCCCTTTCATCTTCATTCCTTTTTTCGTCGTCGTCTCTTTCTAAAACTCGATCTGATCACTGAAAAACTACGACGGCGACGACTAACAATACGGTGGAGGAATAGGTATAATGAGAATCTCAGGTCTCGGAATTGTAATTCTTTCTGTACTCATTTTCTATTGCGTGGAACTTAGCGTTCACGCTCGTCCCGTTGTTCTCGTCCTCTCCAATGACGATCTCAATAGCGGCGGCGAAGATAACGGAGTCGGAGAGTCCTCTGACTTCGACGAGTTTGGGGAATCCGAACCGAAGTCCGAAGAGGAGCTTGATCCCGGTTCCTGGCGACCGATCTTCGAGCCAGATGACTCCACGGTCCAAGCCGCGTCGCCGCAGTACTACTCCGGCCTTAAAAAGATTCTATCGGCGGCGAGTGAGGGAAACTATAGGTTGATGGAGGAAGCAGTGGATGAAATAGAGGCTGCTTCTTCAGCTGGAGATCCACACGCGCAGTCGATAATGGGCTTCGTTTACGGGATAGGGATGATGAGAGAGAAGAGCAAAAGCAAGTCGTTTCTTCACCATAATTTTGCAGTTGCGGGTGGGAATATGCAGTCTAAGATGGCACTTGCTTTCACGTATCTGCGTCAAGATGTAAGCAAGCTCTACCTTTTCAAAGGAAGTGTCATTTGTTTGCTATGACTACTGATTAGATGAAATTGCGTTTAGATTTTTTTACCTTACATGGGTGTTTATTGAGCCCACTTGAGATGACACCACTCGGCAAAAGAAGACATCTTTAAGCTTTTGAGTTCCTTATCAAACGTTTTTATCTATCTAGCTGAGTTTGTAATTGACTTGCCATTCGGTTACAGATGCATGATAAAGCCGTCCAATTATATGCCGAATTAGCAGAGACCGCTGTCAATAGTTTTCTGATCTCAAAGGACTCTCCGGTGGTTGAACCAACTAGAATTCATAGCGGAACTGAAGAAAACAAAGGGGCTTTAAGGAAATCCCGTGGCGAGGAGGATGAAGATTTCCAGATATTGGAATACCAGGCACACAAAGGGAATGCTAATGCCATGTACAAAATTGGACTGTTCTACTACTTTGGCCTGCGTGGGTTAAGACGTGATCACACCAAGGCATTGCATTGGTTTTCAAAAGCAGTAGAAAAAGGAGAGCCGAGGTCAATGGAACTTCTTGGGGAGATATATGCTCGAGGAGCTGGTGTTGAAAGAAACTATACCAAGGCACTTGAATGGCTTACACTTGCTGCAAAGGAAGGTCTCTATTCAGCATTTAATGGAATTGGCTACTTGTATGTCAAAGGTTATGGGGTAGATAAGAAAAACTTCACTAAGGTAAATTCTCTTCATGGTCTCATTATTCTCAGACTTGTTTTTTGATTTAGCAGGAATTATTCATTCATAAAGGAACCGAGAATAAACTGTAAAATTTCATGGATTAGTAATTTACCATTAATATTTGCAGGCAAGAGAATATTTTGAGAAGGCTGTTGACAATGAAGACCCCAGTGGGCATTATAACCTAGGAGTTTTGTATCTTAAAGGCATCGGAGTCAAAAGGGATGTGAGGCAGGCAACAAAATACTTCTTTGTTGCTGCAAATGCTGGTCAACCAAAGGCTTTCTATCAACTCGCCAAGATGTTCCATACCGGAATTGGGCTTAAGAAGAATCTGGAAATGGTAATACATTTAGATTTCTGAGACTTTTCTGCCTAATGTGGATGCCAGATAAAATGATTTTTAAATACATTTAAATCTTGAGGGAAACGAAACTCAGAACAAATTGGCTATCTAAATTTCAGAAGATTAACTTACTGTTTTTTTGGTTATGTGAAATCTCATTACCAAAAAGATGTTACTTGCACAAGATATGTGGGAAGCTCTATTTCCTTGATGCTGTGATTGATGGCTCCTTTATCAGTATTGTAATGTCTGAGCAGAGAATGTATTTTTATGTTTTGAGGTACGAGTGATGTCCATAACATCTGTCTATTAAGGCATCAGGGTGCCATATAGTACTTGTTTGTGTTGATGGTAGTCTGTTTGTTATGTATCCACTTTCTCCTTTTATATTTTTAGGAATTGGCTTTGAGCACTTTGGAGACATCTCGGCCTTTTTGAGAGCATTTTTGTTTTAATTTCTTGTTCACGTTCCTGGCATTTTGGTTGCAGGCGACTTCATTTTATAAGTTAGTAGCTGAAAGGGGACCGTGGAGTTCTCTCTCTAGATGGGCACTTGAAGCTTATTTAAAAGGTGATGTGGGTAAGGCTTTGATCTTGTACTCAAGAATGGCGGAGATGGGTTATGAAATAGCACAAAGTAACGCTGCCTGGATCCTCGATAAATACGGTGAAAGAAGCATGTGCATGGGAGTGTCTGGGTTTTGCACAGACAAGGAGAGACATGAGCGGGCTCATTCGTTGTGGTGGCGTGCCTCTGAACAAGGCAATGAACATGCTGCTCTGCTTATTGGAGATGCATATTACTATGGCCGGGTTAGTTTTCTTCGTATATGAAACTTGATCATGAACTGATAAGTTAATACATGTTACAATAGCTGAGTTAGATGTGAATCAGCTAGAAAAAAATAAAGGCTTATCACCTGATTCTCTCTCTCTCTTTCTCTCTCTTTGATCTCTAATTAGGGAACTGAGAGAGATTTTGTACGTGCGGCTGAAGCATACATGCATGCTAAATCACAGTCAAACGCACAAGCAATGTTCAACCTCGGTTACATGCATGAACATGGACAAGGACTTCCCTTGGATCTCCATTTAGCAAAGCGTTACTATGATCAAGCCCTCCAGAGCGATGCAACCGCGAGATTGCCAGTTACACTAGCTCTCGCTAGTTTATGGCTCCGTAGAAACTATGCTGATACAGTCCTGGTAAAATCTAAAACCCTTTCTTTCTTTTTGCATGCATATACTAATAGTTTGAAGCAACTGAAAGAGACATAGAATGACAAAAGGAGGAAAATACGTTTTGTATACTGGTTAGGTGAGAGTCGTGGATTCATTACCAGAAGTGTATCCAAAGGTAGAGAATTGGATAGAGAATGTGGTGTTTGAAGAAGGTAATGCAACAATACTGACACTCGTTGTCTGTCTCATTACAATTCTCTATCTCCGGGATAGACAACGTAGACAAGTCGTTGTCGCCGATCAAGTGGCAGCTGACGTGGCACAACCCCTCGATGCTGATGTGGCCCAACAACTCGCTGCGTTCCCACAGTAATCAGGTGATACCGTGATAGTCGTCTTCGTCAACTGTAATAGCTTTTCTTTCTTGGGGTGTTTTGGTTTGTTTGTTATTTTGATGTACAGTTTAAAAGTTAAAAAAAAAAAAAAAAAAAAAACTTTACCTGCAACCAAAATTTGTGAAACTGTATTACTGTGTACGTAGGGGCCTGTGTGTCTCTTATAGGCATGGCCCATTTACGTTATATTAACGAAGATTTAAAGCTCAGTGAATCTCCTTCTTCTATGCCTCCGATTCCGAACTTAAAGATCATGTTGTCTTTTGTTTTTGAATTTGAACTAGCCGAGAAAAGTTAGATCTATTGTTTTATCAGATATACACTACAGTTCATTAAATAAAAGATTGTGACATTAATCCAAAACCAAAATTTTTACCTTTAGTTCTTCTTTTTCTTTTCATAGCCGTTAGTCCAAATGAATGTTAGACAAACCTTCTTTAGTCTTTACACAAACATTTTTATTTCGAGTTATAGATGTTACATTAGAGACGAGTTAGTATAATTAGAACAGAAAAAAAAAAAAGACAGGATGCTTGAGTTGAACTCAATAATGTTATTGTTGACATAATACTATATAAAACAAAATTGAGGGAGAATGATTCACTTGAGATCTAACGAATATGAAGAAGTGAGTTGACGAAAAAAAAAGAAAAAAAAAAAAGAAGAAGTGAGTTGAAAAACTTGATGATGAAAGGACAGTTACATAATTTTTTTGACTGTGTAAAAAGAAAAGAAAAAAAAAAGCTAATACGCACTAACTCTGGCCTGGACAGTCTCGAGAAGTGTGGGTAACATTTGCCATTATTACGTTCCCCAAATTCTCCTTGGGGAAAACTTTTTCTTCTTCTTGAAAATCCATAAAAAGCACTGAGAGTGAGAGAAGTAACCACAAGTTGAGCTCCCTCAATGGCTTCAATCAACATCTTCAACTTTGCTCTCCTTCTTCTTCTCTCTCACGCTTCAGGTTCTTCTTTACATTCCCACAGCTAGATCTCTTTTAAGTTTCTGTAATTATTCTAGTCTTTGTCTCAATCTCGTTTTAGGTGAAGATTTTTCTAATATCACTAGCTTCGATGTTTCTTTGTGAGCAGCTTCGACGGTAATCTTCTACAACAAATGCAGATACCCAGTGTGGCCAGGAATCCAACCCAGCGCCGGCCAAAACTTACTCGCCGGCGGTGGCTTCAAACTTCCGGCTAACAAAGCCCACACTCTTCAGCTCCCACCACTCTGGTCCGGCCGCTTCTGGGGTCGCCACGGCTGCTCCTTCGACAGATCTGGCCGTGGTCGTTGCGCCACCGGAGACTGCGGCGGTTCTCTCTCTTGCAACGGTGCCGGCGGTGCACCTCCGGCCACTCTCGCCGAAATCACCCTCGGCCCTGAGCTAGACTTCTATGACGTCAGCCTCGTCGACGGGTCTGTAAATCTCTACTTCAAAATTTGCTTCCCTTTTGTGTGTGGTTTTTTTTTCTCTCACTAATTTGCTTCTTTTTGTTTGTTTGTTGTGATGACAGTTATAACTTGGCGATGTCGATAATGCCGGTTAAGGGCTCAGGTAAATGTAGCTACGCCGGCTGTGTTAGCGATCTAAACCGGATGTGTCCGGTCGGGTTACAAGTCCGGTCACGTAACGGGAAACGGGTATTAGCCTGTAAAAGCGCTTGCTCTGCTTTCAACTCACCACAGTACTGTTGCACCGGCTTGTTCGGTAACCCACAATCTTGCAAACCAACGGCTTACTCCAAAATCTTCAAAGTCGCTTGCCCTAAAGCTTATTCTTACGCTTACGATGACCCAACCAGCATTGCCACATGTTCAAAGGCTAACTACATTGTCACCTTTTGCCCTCACCATCGCCATTAAATTAGCCAAGCAGTAAGAAGAAGCATTTCTCTATTAGCAATAGAATCTTGTTATGTTTCCAAATCTTGAGTTTCTATCTCTACGTTTGTAACACTAATGAATGCAAATCCTATTATAAAAATATCAAAGGAACTCACTCAAGTTACTCAACCAACCACTCAAGTTACACCTCAAGACCCTCAAAATTCTAGCTTCTAGCTTCATCAACGATCCATAATTGTGTATCCTCCCAAATGCAAATATGACCGAAACCGTTATTCTGTTGGTACACTCTTTACAAATGTCACGTACATGTAACTTATTTCTACCACACAACCAAAACAAAAACAATTATATGCATTTCATGAAATGAAGTTCGTTTAAGGGTTTAATTTTTTGCATGATATTCTTAATTATAACAAATTTCTCGGTTGTACGTAGGAGTTAACAACGAGAAACTAAACCTTATCTTGGGCCTTAGAATATAAATAAAATAAATGTTTGTAATCGTTGTCCTCAAGAATTTGTTGAGATTACTCCTCATTAGTTTTTTGTTTTTTAATTCAAAAATAATTTTATTAAATTACCTTCAAAGAAGGTGATCGGAAAAAAGTTAAAATTTCCCCTGTTTTTGTTCGATATATATAATGTATACTTTGTCTCTTTTCAACCTCGAGCTCCAACAAGATCTCGTTTCACGGCAGAGAAAAATGGGGATCATCACGTCATCAACATTTTGAAGACGGGTCGATACCAGTACCAAATCCCTGGGGAGAGACTGAGAGCTCATCAGGAAGCGCTGGCGAATGCTACTGTAAATCTGATGTGCAGGGAGCTCTATGCCTTATTCCCGCCTAAACTGGGAGATGCGTCAACTGATAGGGATGAGTAAATAGAATTGCGGGTTTGCGAGTTTATGAGAGAGGGTGCCTGCAAAGAGTCATTCACGGCTTTGAAAAATTGCGTGGATGAAGCTCAAAAATACACTGATAAGTGTCAGAAACTCTGGCCTAGGCTGAGCAAGTGTATGCATGCTCATTCTCACTACTATTCTTTCTATTAAGAAAGCTTGTGAAGAACTGTTTTTGAATGATACGTTAGCCTTCGGCGTCTCGGAAGAGGATGCGGCTGCGACCAAGCAAGCTTTTGATGGATTTTGGTAATTTTTCTTGTTTATGGGAATAATCAATTTTGCTGCATTGGGGAAACAAATTGTTCCTAGGAGCAGAAACGTTTCGTTTATTTTGCTGATCCCAGCTATAAGTTTGGTTTTTGTTTTCAATATGATTTTGGGAGATAATTTGCTCAAAGGTTTGTCGATGCCCATAAATGTTTTAGTCAAGAAATCTTGTATTCGTTGTGCTTTGCTTAGCTATTTCCTCACTTGAATTTGATTAGTTGCTTCTGAAGCAGATGAGGCGAGACATGTTCCTTGCATCTTTGTTGTTTACACTTTGTGCTTAAGATACACTAGCATTTGTTTTGCCACTTCAATTTGAATCATGACGAGGTTCTGTTTGGTTATTGTCTCCTCGAATTGAATAACATTTCTCAAGTTACTAACTCGTGGATGAACTTATGTATCCCAAATACAAGAGTCAAATGCGCTAAACTGTTATTTTGTGTGTGTGTGGTCAAATGCTATAATAATAATATTCAATCTGCTTGTTGTGCTTGTGCAAGCGAGCTCAATTACATCAGTGCAAAGAAGAAACACTCTAGGAATTTTGTTTGATTTTCCACGTAAGCAATAGAAGATATTCAAAGTCATGTTTATGTTTGTAGGAGTGTATGTAAACAATTTTTAACAAAATTGACAAACAACGATCATATTGTTTAAAAACCTGTACTTTATTCTGTATTTAGTAATTTGTAGAAAAGTGTAGGATGTTTATAAATATGTATTATTTGTTAAAATCTCTCTATTAGAAGAAGAAATCGGGAATATGCGATGAAGATAAACTTAATTGAACAAAAGTACATATAAAGTAGAGAGCTAATTAAACCAGTCCAATTCATTAACAAGGGCAAAACAGAAAGTGTGCGATTCGGTTAAGGATAACATATAGTATAATATTATAATGTCACAATGATGTTGATATTACCTACTACCTAGTTGATGATACATGGCATAAAAGGAGGGGGGGGGGGGGGGGGGGTTGTTGAATGTGAAATACTAAAGTTCGAGATTCAATCGTAGTTTTTATAGAGAAGTCTCCACTCTCGGATAATAATAATAATAAAAAAGAAAAGAAAAGACTCCACTTAAGTATACTAGTAAAACAATCACGACGCGTAAAAGGATTGTATGTATATATAGTAGCCCTCGGCAAAATATTCGTTAGATTCGGTTCGCTTCGATTCGATTCGATTCGAAAAATACAAATATGTATAAGATGTTGAAGCGAAGCAAATATGAAAATATAGTATTCGTACAAACCGAAGCAAATAACAAATATTGATTTTTTTAGTACCGAATATCCGCTTCGCTTCGCATATTTATATATATATATATAAATATAAATTATTATATAATATATATAATATGTGTATTATGGATTTGGGTTTATATCTAATAGGCTTATTATTCATATTACTATATTTTGGTCCGTTGCATTTTTTGCTTAATGTTGCTCTTAAACAAATAAAACTTTATTTAAAAAAAATATTAAAAATAAACGTTAGAAAAATTGGGTTTTGGGTTTTTGGATTAGTTTGATGACATGTTTTTTTCAGAGGTACGATAAGTTATCAACGGTGGTTACATTTCTTTTTTGAAAACATGTCAAACAAGAATCTATAATATCTTATATTTTGCACCTTGTGTTTATATATTACATGTTTTTAGATTCAAAAAAAATTAAATGGGACGAAGCGAAGCGAAGCGAATAGTTCGCGAATATTACAAAAAATACTCGAATATTCGAAGTTCCGAATACTCGAAAATTTACGAAGCGAAGCAAATACCAAAATCAACCATTCGGTCGAAGCGAAGCGAGTCACAAATATCACAGATTTTCCGAATATTCGCTTCGTGCCCAGAGCTAATATATAGCCGGGACGCGTTGGCCGCGTTGGATTGAGACACACTTCTTTATTCACTTTTAGCACAAGTCACGTACCATTTTTGTTTGTTTGTTTGTTTGCATAAACTGTGGTAACTGTCCCTCCCCATTAACAAAACAACAACAAAACCAAAGGTATATTAACAAACAAAAATAGTATGTACTTGTAATACTATAATCGTATGTATATACTTATAGTTTAAGACTGAATCCACTAATGGATAAATTTTAAATAAACACTTGTCTGTTTCAATATTAGGAAACCCAACAAATAATAATAATACTCGAGTCGAGTGTTATTGCCTAGGTAAATCATCCATATGTTGTTAAACAAATGCATTTTTCATCAAGGCACGTGACATTAGAGCGTCTTGCCGTCTTCATTAAGCCCACATAACACGTGGATGAGAATAACTAAGCATCATCCCAAACCGTTTCAGAGTGTATCCTAAAAATTCAAATTTTACTATTGAGACATCGTCAGCTAAAAATAATTACAAAAGAATTAAAAGTAATTGATCAAAATCATCCATGTTTTCTTTTTCTGGTGAATTCAAAAAAACATCCATGTTGCAACCAATTAGAGTACGTATTTCCAAACCCATATACTACGAGTTATTAATGTTATTAATCCAAATAATCACGATTATATATATATAAAAGAATCCGGATATCAATTCTAAAATGAAGGAAAATTTTATAAAAAGATTCGATTCCAAAAAACTTGTAATTAGAATTAAATGGCATCTATCTATCTAGCGAAAATAATTAATAATAATAATCACAGAAAAGGTCTATAAAAAAGGAACCTCACTCTCTCCAGTTGCTCCAAAACCCTTTCTACCTCTCTCTCTCTCTAACTTTACCTTTTAACAACAAACAGAAAGAAAGAAAGGAAATGGCAAGCGCAAATCCAGAAACCGCCAAACTCACGCCTGCATCGGTGGACATGGCTAACCCAGATGAGCTCAAGAAAGTTTTCGACCAGTTCGATTCCAACGGCGACGGCAAGATCTCGGTCCTCGAACTCGGCGGCGTGTTTAAGGCCATGGGGACTTCCTACACGGAGACGGAGCTCAACCGCGTTCTGGAGGAGGTCGATACAGATCGCGACGGTTTCATCAACCTGGACGAGTTCTCCACTCTCTGCCGCTCGTCTTCCTCCGCCGCAGAGATCCGTGACGCTTTCGATCTCTACGATCAGGACAAAAACGGACTCATCTCGGCCGCCGAGCTTCACCAGGTCCTAAACCGACTTGGGATGTCTTGCTCTGTCGAGGACTGTACTCGTATGATCGGACCTGTGGATGCAGACGGCGACGGGAATGTCAATTTCGAAGAGTTTCAGAAGATGATGACTTCGTCCTCCCTCATCAACAGCAACGGATCGGCCAATGGAGGTTCGGCTTAGGGTTATTGAGTAGATCTGGAAATGTGATATCAAAAATTGGGATAATAATAATAATAGCTATATATATGTGTGGCTTTAGGAACTCGTTTTGAAAATGTGATCTATCAATCCTCAGTCTAACTTCAAACTTCAATATGAGAGTAGATCTCTTTTCATACATAGTTGTTGGAAGATGTTTTTATTAAGATCTGCATACTATTGGATACATCATCGTTGTTTCTCCTCTGTCTCTATATATCTGATCAAACAAATTTGGTTTCTAATTGTTTATTTGCTCTTAGAATACATCAATTTTAGCTTCTCGGAGAATCTCATGACTAAGTTTTAAAGACTTGATGATATATATATTTTGGATGAATTACTCTAAATGAAATGGTCAACGGAGACGTTCTTCCTCTCCGGAAAGAAAGAAAAAAAGAGATAACTGATTCCCAGAATGTAATGTAACAATTTAATGTTTTATTTCGCTTTTGGGGACCATCATAGTAACAACATTTAAAGTTTTTTTTTTTCGTGAAATAATAAGGCCAATAAATAATTTAAGGCGAGGATTCAGGTTTCAATGAAATAATAATAATATGAGTAAACAGTCTCCTGCTACGAACCAACGTAATGAAAATGAATGCTGAATTTATAAAAGAGGAGGGACTCGATTGACGCGTAAACTGATAGAGTATACTATTCGTTTGCTTGTCGCTACAATACTCGGGTTTAGTAGAAATGGAGGTGGTAAGTATTTTAAGAAACGAATGTGATTATATAAAAGGCAACTAGTGTTTTGACCTTTTTTATAAAAATAAAAATAAAGGCAACTAGTGTCTTCGAGAAAAAAGACAAGCCCCAGTTTCCAAAAGAAAAAAAGAGATTGGAATCCTATTCCTATGGTGTGCCGTGGTGGTGTGTACATTACAATAAAGACGTCGACGTCTACGAATTGTATTCCACTCTTCCTCTTTGCCCTTTGGAAATCATAGACTCCCCTTTTGGTTCACTCTTTTTTTATGAGAAAAAAAAATAACTTTTGACTTGTTTGTGAAAAAGTCCGACCTATTAAAGCCCATTTTAGGCCCAAAATTGTGGTAATAAGTCAAATCTAACGTGAGTGAGTTTGGTAAATTGTCAAAACTTCAAACGTAGAGAGTAGATAAACATGCATGATTGAGCTCTCTATGACTTAATCAGCAGTAACGAAACAATAATTTATACTTAACAAATAGCACAATATTTTAATTAGCAGATAGATAATAAAACCTCGTTGACAAAAAAAAAAAAAACTATATAACAAAGACAAAAATTATCTTGGATTACATTGTTATATGTACAATGATCTGTCACGAGTCACGCCTCTTTTATCCTTGTCCTGCTCGTTTCATTTTCCTATATTATACACTTCTACTTTTCTCCAAAGGTTTTTCGACCTCAATTAACTCTTCCAAGGAAAAAGAAAGGGGACATTTTTAAAAATGTACTAAATTTTATACAAAATTTGATAACTACACTATGTATTATTGTTATTTGAAAACTATACTTTTTAATATTAAAATGGACGAAAATACCCTTTTATTTAATCACCAATATTAAATAAATTAATTAAAAAAATAAAATTTTAATTTTATAAATATTTTAAAATTTAAAAATTAAAAACGTATTAATATTTTTAATAACTAAAAATTATAATTTTTTAATCTTTTTTTTTAAAGTAATAATTATATTAATTTTTTGGTCAATACAAATATATATTAAAAACGATGGCCAAATTTTACTTTATTAAAAATATGTATTTTAAGATTATGTAATCAATAATATATATATATATATATTATTTGATAGACTTATTTTATTCAATGTTGATTTATTAATAAGGTTGATATTTCGAACTATTGATTTGTCTATTTACTTATGTTGACTTGTTTTTATTGTTGTTGACATATATTACAAGAGTCGACTTATATTTTGTTTCGTTGTTTTTTAATACTGTCGACTAATTTATACCGTTGACTTATTTGTTATGTTTGTTGATTTGAAAAAAAATTGGTCGATTTGTTTGGTCTTAGTAGACTTATTTTATTTTTATACTGACTATTACTTGGGTTGACTTTTAGAACTGTCGACTTATATATTATGTCTGTCCACTTAATTTTTGTTGTTGTTGACTTATATTACAAGAGTCGACTTATATTTTCTTTCGTTGTTTTTTTTTATACTGTCGACTTATTTATACAGTTGATTTATTTGTTATGTTTGTTGATTTAAAAAAAAATTTGGTCAACATATATTACAAGAGTCGACTTGTTATTTATTTAATTGTTTTTTTACATTGTCGACTTTTTTGAACTATTGATTTTTTAGGGTTAACTAGTTTATATATTTATTATATTAAAGTTAAAAACATTTAAATATCGTTTTCAAAATTTTCTATTAAATGAAAAATTATGAAAATTATTTTTATATTATCCTTATTTAAAATTCGAATGAAATTTAAATCCAAAAGTTTATAAATATTATAAATTCTTATTTAATTTTAATTATTGTTATTATTATCTATAATAAATTGATTCATAATTACTATAATAAATTTTAAATATTTGAATATTAAATTTATAACCAGTCATTTATTTTAAATGATATTCTTAAAAAAATTATTATTTTTTTCAGTTGTAGTTACTAATTAATATTATCTATAATAAATATCTAAAATATTTTTTAAAAATTCGAACATAATTAATTAATTTCTAATAATTTTTTTTAATAATATTGTAAAATATATTAATTTTGTTATTTGGTTTTTGTATTATTAAATTTTAATTATTAATTAAGGGTAAAATAGTCATTTTTAATCATACATAAGATACATTTCAAATATTTAAAAGAGTTGGTGTAAAATTCAAATTTCTACTTAATATTAGGATACAACTACAAAATAATCCAAAAAGAAAATACAATAATATACGTATTGTCTCAATCATATGACATTCATATGCATAATTATACATAATTCTAATAAAAAAGAGAGCCAATATATACTTAATCGAAAGACTTTCTCTATAGATTTTTATATAAAACAAAAACCTTTCTCTTCGGAATTTCCATCATCTATACATCGAGTAACTTACATAAACTGATCTAATCAAAGCGGGAGCACCGAGCACCAAATATATATAGAGCATGGCGGAGGAATCGTACGTCGATGAAGAGTGCGACTACTTATTCAAGGCTGTGCTAATAGGAGACTCCGCCGTCGGAAAATCAAACCTCTTGTCGAGATTCTCGAGAGATGAGTTTCGGTTAGATTCTAAACCAACCATCGGAGTAGACTTTGCTTACAGGAACGTTCGCGTTGGTGATAAGACCATCAAAGCTCAGATATGGGACACCGCCGGCCAGGAAAGGTAACATAATTTATTCAACGTCGTTCAATACACCGACTTGATGAATGATCAAAATTTATTTGAAATTTATTGAGTTCACTTCCATTCATTGATTTTTCATTTTGACCATGCATCAACAAATATATCCTTCAATGTATAAAATTTTAACGTAGGCGAATAGTCGTTAAACTTTCGACAATTTTGTTTGGTATGTAAATGTTAATATATATATATATATATATATATATATGTTACATAAACAACAAAAAAACAAATAATGAAATATAGGATTGGGATAATGATTAGGATAATAGATCAGATCACGCGCAGAAGCAAATAATGTGAATCTTGATAAGCAATCGATGTCACTCACTCGGACCTAATCTTCGTTAATTGTCGCGCGACCTTTTCTTCCTTTTGTTTTTCTTATTAAATTTATTTTTATTTCGACACATTTTTGAAATTTTATCTTACATTTACAATTTCAGATAATTAGTTATATAATCGTTTATGTGTGTTTCCTTAAATCATACACTTGACTTCTTCTTTTTCTTTTTTTGCATGGGAGGAAATAAGATTTAGAGCAATAACAAGTTCATATTACCGTGGAGCCTTAGGAGCTTTACTAATCTACGATATCACAAGGAGAACCACTTTTGTAAACATTAGTAAATGGTTGTCGGAGCTCAGAGGCTTCTCTAGTCCCGACACAGTCATTGTTCTCGTAGGTAACAAATCCGATCTCCGGCAGTCAAGAGAAGTTAAAGAAGAAGAGGGTAAGACATTAGCCGAGTCGGAAGGTCTCTATTTTCTCGAAACGTCGGCTTTAGAGAACCAAAACGTGGAGGAAGCGTTTCTAAGCATGATCGGACGGATACATGACGTTTTGATTCAGAAGATTGCATTAGACAATAGACCCAACGGTGACGGTGACGGTAACAGTACGGTCGTTCCCGCCGGTACAGAGATTGTGAATATTCATGAAGTTACCGCCACTCGACCCTTGAGTACTTCTTTCTCCAATTGTTGCTACAAGTAAATAATTTGGTTTTGAATTCATGAGTGATGTAAAATTGATAATTGTTGATTGTAAACGTAACTATGATCCATATTAAGGTAAACGTAACTATGATCCAATTGTTGCTACAAGTAAATAATTTGGTTTAGATTATTTAATATTTGGAATTGCGGTTTCTTAAATGTAGTTGGAACAATTGTTATTTTAGTATGATCCTACCTCCTAGAGTCCTAGTATGTAAACAATAACACTTGGAATAAATTGAACCAAAAGACGAAATTAATAACCGGAAACACAAAACTTGATTCGGCCGGGTTAGTTGTGAAGTCTCTTTTTAGGCGTTTGCTAAAATGAGTACGTGTCACCAAACCAACACGTCACTGTAGGAATTTACACCTTCCTCCAATTCTTTGATTTCATCTTCGTCTTCTTCGTTTATCTCTCTGATGCGAGAGAGTGTTAATTCAGAAATCACTTTGGGTAACAAAACGCTGTCGTATGGGTCTTTAGTCCCATCTCTTTTCTAAACTAAAGAGCAGTGGAAGGCAACAATGGCGAATTGGATCTCGTCGAAGCTCAAAGCCGCCGAAACGATTCTTCAACAGGTGAGATAGAGAGAGAGAGATGTCGAATCTCATTTCCGTTTTGAATAGAAAAAGTGTGAAAATTATCCGATTTGGAAGTCGTTTGGGTTCTGGTTTAATTTCGATCCTCATGTTGTTGGATTGTTTGCTTTGGAACTCTTTGGTCCCCATGTTTTAAATGTAGAGTAGTTTTGTTGAAATTGATGTGATTCAACATTTGATTCATCTAAATCATCTGAAAATGTTATTGTTACACCATCTGGTCATTGCATTGCATCGCTTTTTGGGTCCAATTTGTTACTCGAGAGTCTAATCTACCTGAGTTCGTACCAATTGTGCTAATTTGGAATTATGTAAACTGTGGTTTTCAGCTCGATCAGCAGGCAGCAGAGTCTCTACGAAAGGATGAGAAGTCTGAGACCCATGACGAGGTCTTTGACACCTCTCCAAAGTCTGGAAGCAGTCCTGTTTCTTTGAAAGATCAGTTGAGGAAGAAGACATATGAAGGCAGTGATTCTGGCAGTGGATCTCAGAGAAACTCAACTGACCAAAAACCTAGTTACATAAGTAGTGGCAAAAAGTTACGCAAACCAGATCAATCTCAAGGAAGGACAAGTTCACCGTCACAAAGCTTGACAGAAGAGAAAACTAAACTCACTGACAATGACTGGACAGAACTTTTGAGTTCTCCAAATCAGGGGACCAGTAATTCTAAGCCTCGTACTCCCGGTGGAACATCTGTGCTTCGAGGATTGAAGAAGGATGGAAAAAGACATGGCAATGTGGGGAAAAATCCTTTGGTATTTGATGGTAAGAAGAGTGACAAGAGTAGTGGTAATTTGGTCGATTCTCGAGGGAGGCCACAAAAACAGCCGAATAGGGAACCAAGCGACAAAGAAGTGTCTAGCCCTTCTGATGCTGGCGTGGAAAGTAGGAATGCTCCTCGGGATATATCTGTGAAGTCAACTCATAAAGAGAATGAGGAGGATGTCAGTGCTCAACCATCTGCCCTGAATGACTCCACGAGATCGGTCTATGAGACTCCCCTTCGGGATACATTACCAAGTGTAGGGAAATCGGAGGGTCGTGAGCCCAGAAGAAGTGCTGTATGGGGAAAGCAGGTGAAGGGAGAAGCCTCACTGAGCAATGTTTCTGATGGTCTAAAGAGGAGAGATTCTTCCTTGTCAAGTGATGAATCTGAATCCGATTATGAGTCTGATTCAAGCACTGACTCTGAGAGGGAGCGTCAGAGGGAAGAGCTTAGGAGGAGAAGAGAGAAAATCTTTGCTGAAAAAGTTGCAACAAAAGCTGTAGCCGTCATCAAAGAGCGAGAGAATATGGTAGCAAGACTTGAGGGTGAAAAACAGAGTTTAGAGAAAATAGTCGAGGAACGAGCTAAACAACAGGCACAAGAGGTAGCATTTTTTTCAAGTTTTTTTGCTTGCAATAATGAAGGTGGTAGAAGTTTGTTCAAAAAAAATAAAAAATGAAGGTGGTAGACAATTAAGACTGCACTTCGACTCTATATCATGTTTCAGCTGACAAAATGCAAGCATGCCCATGACTTGTTTCATTTTAAGAAGTGACATGCTCATTATTGTTGACACTAGCAAAAACACTAGTTACACTTTTGGAGTCTGAACTACAAAGCTTGCTCTATTGATATGATAGAAGCTGCTGTGACATCTAGAATATGATCTGAAATTTGTATTACTCAAGCTAGATGAACTAGATACGCTGTGTTTGTTCTCCTGCATATAGGCTGCAGAGTTGCAAACAAACATGATGGAAACACTGGAAGCTGCTGACCTTGAAAAACAGAAGCATAACAATACAAGAATGGAAGTTCTCACACGCTTGGCTGGATTGGAGGTATTAACCGCGTATTTTGTTTGCCGGCAGTTCAAAGTGCTGTTAGTATTACCTTGTAATGGAGAGTCTTCTGTTCCTGATTTCATTATTTAAAATGGAATGTATAGGCTGCAAACGCTGAACTTACAAGATCGCTTGCTGCTGGGCAGAAGAAACTTGAGACTCAGGTATAAAGATTACATCATCTAGTTAATTTGTTTATTAGTTTGTTTGAATTAGCTGGAATCGATGAATAATAAAGGTAAAAGCTAATGATCAGTGTTCTTACTAAGAGAGATGTAGATCTTCTGACGCTGGGGATGTTTTGATTAATACCTAATTAATGTTGTTGAGTCAGGGTCTTAGAACCAATTTCTATAACTGCATTTATTTACTAATCTCTTTCCTTTCTGATTTGACCAGATAGAGCAGGTAACAGTACTCCGACAACAAGTTGAGCTTAAAGAGTCTGCTCTGGAAGGTATACATTCTTTTGTTTGAGAAATTATACAGTTACTGATATGTAAGACACCTCTCTTATCGAGAGCTTCTATACTTCGCATGACCTTTTTTTCGCTCATAGCCTCATAGTCATTTGGGGATAATAACTTCGCTATACTGCTGAAGAAGTTGTCTTTTTCATGTAGAACTGAAGCGGAATACTTTTCATAATGGGGAAAGTGTGTCAACTCTAAAACAGGTGACTTGGGTTTTCGATTCTTTCTGGTTTATTTTTTGTTTCAATCTTTGTCTATTTGGTCTGAAATTCATGCTGCTTATGTGGACTGTGTAGTTAGATGCTACTAGAGGAGATATATTCGAACACCAGATGCTTGAAGCAGAGATTTCTTTGCTGACTGATAAGATCGGGCGGCTACAAGATAAGGTTAGCTAACACACTTGTCTGGTTGACTTATGCTTTAGGTTCCATTATGAACGATTATTCCTATTAGGTATATGCAGCTGTATAATTTTTAATTAAAGACTGGAATTTTCATTTATTGTGATACAGAACTCAAGTCTATATTTGAAGCTCAATCCTTTTTTTTTTCTTGATTCCTTGTTAAATTCAGGCAACTAAACTGGAAGTAGACATAGAAATGATGAGAAAGGAACTTGAAGAACCAACTGAAGTGGAAATTGAACTGAAGCGAAGACTTAACCAGCTTACTGACCACCTTATTCAAAAACAATCCCAGGTATATTAATACTTACAGAAGAGATATTTAGACTAAAAATTACCAGTAACTTCCAAATTGTCTTGCCAAATATACCAGGTCGAAGCGCTTTCCTCAGAGAAAGCAACCATATCGTTTAGAATTGAGGTACATTGATAAATCCCACCAACCTGCTCCCAAAACAAAAATATGTTCTTCCAAAAATATATTCTCCCATACACACAACCCAATTTTGATTCTTTGCCAGGCTGTATCAAGGCTTATAGAAGAAAACAAAGGTATGTCTGCGACTGAAGCCTCATCCCATGATCTTGAAGCAGGAGATTGGGAACTCTCAGGATCCAAGTTTAAACCAGCTTTCCAAGATAAAATCCGGTCAGGAAAGAAACATTTGGGATGGCTAGTGATGCAACTAAATGCTATATTCGTGTCGGGAACTGTCTTCTTGCGTAGAAACCCAACCGCCAAAATCTGGGCTTTACTCTATCTTGTTTGCCTTCATCTCTGGGTATTATACATCTTACTTTCTCATTCTGATACTTCTACTTCAGGTGAACTTAGATCAGGTGCGGTGATATCCTTAGAGAACTTCAGTAACAGTTCACATCAATAGGTCTTTCTTTAGAGCACTTGTCTTTTGAATCATATGTAATTTTCCTTCCAACATTTTTTGAAGCTTGGTTTGAATCTTATTGTATTCACAATCACTGTATCGATTACTTTTCACAAGTATTCAAAGACAAACCATAATCTATACAAAAGAGAATTGATCAGGAAAAAACTCGGAGATGAGTTTTGCAAAAAGAATACAATAGCCATCTCTCTCTCAGTCAATACTTCTTTAGCTCTTTTTCTTCGAGTTTCCTCTATCCCTTGCGCGTAAAAAGAACGAAAATAACTCATTAAGTTCATGACAGACTATGTAGGATTACAAAGAGAATGAAACCAAAAAAATGACAAATATGATGAATTCATTCATATTTGAAGATCCGAGAGACTCACCAGACTGTAGTTTCTTGAGGGAGATTCCGGCTGTACAATGGAAACTCAAAGAGAAAGACTGTTTTGCACCATTTTGGTAAGTACCCATACACTCCTCGCGGTAAGAGAATCAGAGGACTGTAAGCAAATATTCAATCAGAGAACTGTAAGTAAATACTTAGCTTATATTCGAGGGACAATAACAGTGTTCAAAGAGCTCCATATCATACCTAGTTGTCTTCTTATAGTGTCTATAAGCTCCCAAGTTACCATATTTTTTGTCCGCAGATTCCTGCAATTATACACAACAAGAATGTTGTTTCTGCTATGTAACAGAATGTGCCAGAGCGAGAAGAGAGAGGATAGATAGAAAAACCTCGAGTAATGGTATGCCGCTAACGAAGAAAAGTAGCAAAGTGAGAAAGAGTGGTCCAATTATGACAAGGTACTCGGCACTTTTAAGCACAGGCAATGAAGCCACATATATTCCCCACCAGAGTAACATCTGAATTTATAATCACCCCCATCAGTTTCTTCTTTTTTGAAGCTTCTTCTAATTCATACAAAAAGAATATGTAAATCGGTAGAATGGTCTCTTAGCGATACTAACCTCTCCGAAGTAGTTTGGATGACGTGAATAGTTCCATATACCAACATCACACCATCTTCCTTTGTTTTCTGGACAGTTCTTGAATGAAAGCTTTTGTTGATCAGCTGTAGCTTCAATCAAGAACCCTGCAACCCACATTGTCCAACCTATAACATCTGCGGGTTGAAACAATCTTCCACCATTGCTTGCATTTACAAAGGTAACAGGTAAACTAACTGTCCAAACCCACATGGCCTGGTAGGGAAAAAGGAACAAAAACCCGCACAGTGTTAGATCAAAATCCAACTTAGCTGAGCTAATTTCTTCAACAGATGAAAAACCAAAGTTCGTAACTAACCTGAAAAGTCCAAAAGACTACTAGTTTCCCAATATTTCCACGCATTTCATCAAAGCGTCGATCTTCACCCCATTGCAAGATCCTACTCAACGTTAGTATGGAATAAATACATCAGACATGACTAAAAAACTTCATTAACTGTTAATTTGTTTCTCTCACACAATAATTTTGCAGATGCATATCGATTGCAGGCGGTGTCAAGGAGCAAACCTCATTAGGAGGAACAGTCCCAGACGAAGTCCCCATACGACTACTAGCACAGTCAAGACTATCTGAACGATTAAAGAATTGAGTCAATTATCTCCGAGAGCAATCGCTGGGACTACAAAATAACTCAAGAAAGATAATCTCCGCGAGAGCAAGAGCTGGGTGATCAATTTACCTGACGAAAATGCCATGTCCCTTTGAGAACCAGAGTCAATACAGCAAGTATTACGAAATTAGTACTACCTGACAACATTTATGTGAGTCATACAAATATGTTAGCAAAAATGAAGGAAATAAAAAGTCTATAATTGTACATCGGTGATGGCAATCGAAAGAAGAAGTACGAAACTCTCAAAGGATTAACATTTTCCAAACAAAATTTAAAATTAGAGCATCGTACCTGCAAAGTCTGTAACTTGATCAAACTTAAAAAGAGCTGTGATTACGAAGAATATGAATTGATAAACAACCTACAGAGAAAACAACGCTAAATTAGGAAAGACCCAACTCGTGATTCCTCGTCAAACGCAAAAAAAAACAAAGATGCACCAGAAAAGACATACGGTGACAATGGCGGTGATGGCTAGGTAATGGGAATCGATCACTTTTACCATTTCTCTCCGACCAATCACTTCTTCCAATCCCGCGGGTGACAACAATCTCAACCGATTCCTAATCCCCTCTGTTCCTTTCTTCCTTCACAGAAAAGTCCAGCGAATAAAGTATTCTTCGTAATCGTGGCTACACTTCATCAAAGTCGCAAATACACGTATAAACCACAGAAAAGTTACAAGTATCCATATCTATTTAAATTAAAAGTCAACATTTTGACCCGGTTTTGTTCGGTTTAATCGACGACCCCAAAAGAAAAAAAGTTAAGAAATTTACAAGTATTTTCCCCTCACAATCTCTTCTTATTTAACAACCAGTTGAAGGATTTGGCAATGAAACCAAAAGCTGTACAAATCATCAAGCAGGTGCAATTGAGACTCTTTCAATCTCAATTATATACTCCAACGAAGCATTGGGAGGAACCTGCAGACCCGATTCCAGTTCAGCACCTTCCTCTCCAAATCCTAACGATGGTGGAACGATCACTCTGCGTTTACCTCCAGCCTTCATCGACCTTAGAATATAATCTATGCCTTCACACAATCCTTTGCTATATGGCTTTGAACCCACCACAAGGGCCAGTGGTTTCTTCTTGCCTTTACTTCCAAATGTGTCCACAAATACTTGTCCCGTTCCTTGCACTTGCCCCTTTAGATCAATCACTACCAAGTCTCCTGCCCTTGGAGTCGCTCCTCCTCCAAGCCGTAGATCATAGTACCTGTACGGTTCGAACCAATACTGATTTAAGAGCTTTCCATTTCTGGTACATAAAGAAATGAGTCCCATTGCTACTCCAATGGCTTAAATAGCTCATATACTATATTAAATAAATAAAAGAGCCACAGAGAAAACATACAAGCTAAACAATGGTGAATAAGAGAGACACGGAGAAAGGTGAAGAAGACTCATATATCAAAAGCTGTCTGTTTTGTTATGAATGTCTGATATTATACAGTACATAGGGAAAGGAGACACATCAACAGGTTCAATGGCTTGGAAAGTTTATACACTAAGAAGGGCCACAGAGAAACATGCAGCAGACTCATACCACAACTTTAAGCAGGTAATTAAACCTTTCCATGGATGAAATCATTCAACCATTAGCTAATTGATAAGATTGTACCTTATGCCGTTGGGTAACACAATCTCTTTCTCCTCTTCTACATCTCTGCAAACCCCCCAACAAAAGAAACAACTTGAGATGATATTAGTGTATAGTCAAAACTGCAACATTCTCTAACGAAGATGTGATGAAATATTAAGACCTGGTGTTAGCTACTTCCTGAGAAACCTCAATCCGAGTCTTGATCTGCTCGGAGATTACTCCGAAAGCCAGAAATCCCGCCCAGGCAAGTCCTGCGCCGATTCCGAACCGCCGCGTCAAGGATGAAGCCACCCAATCCGTCGTCTCAACGGTCTTCTTCCTCTTCGGCTGCGATGTAAGCGGTTGAGACGGGGGAGGAGGAGGAGGAGAAGAAGACTCAGGCTCCGGCGGAGTAGAAGAAGAGGCGTAACACTGCTGGGAGGGTGACTTTTTGGTGAAAGGCTGTGAGACTCTGAGAAAAGGAGCCGTAGCAGTGAATAGATTCGCCATTTTCAGCTCTCTAATATTATCTTGTTCGTGTGATGCTATTTCAAGTAACGAAATTATAGAGAGTGATGAAGTCGTAAATGATCAATTCTTTTTGAATTTCGTATATAAGAGAAAAATGATACTTCAATTCTCAATGATTTTTACCATTGACAAAATAATTTCTTTTTCCTTTCTTTTTTTTTTCTTTTTACAATTTGTAAACAAAACATGGGGAATACACATGAACATCACATCACAGAACACAAAATGTAAAGAATGATCCCACCATCATCATTTAGTCAATCTTCTTCAACCATATTGTTATTGTTCCTGCTCATCAGTTGTCAATGAAGAAGAACTGGGAACTCCTGCTCTCTGGTTGTTTGGACCCATTATAGGTTTCTGTAGCTGCTTCAAGGAAGCCATGATCTCTTTAAAACTTGGTCTTAACCTTGGATCCCTACCAAAACCAGATCAATAATAATATTACCGACCAGATCTAACTTCATTAAAGATAAAAAAGAGAGCTACAAAATCATCATCACTCTACTACTACAAAACTGACTTACGTCTGCCAACATTTCCTGATGATATCTGCAATTCCAGGATCCACAAACTCTGGGATTTCAAGTCTTCGATGTTGAAACCCTACTGCACCAACAACTTGCATTGGGTTCATTTTCCCCCATGGTTGCTGTAGTGTAAAGAGCTCCCACAGAATAACTCCATAGCTGTACACATCACACCTGTTTTCACAGTATGTTACCTCGTTCTTTAAAGGGACCATTACATGGAAAAAATATAATACGCTAGAAGCTTGGGTAAGGAGCTCAAGAAAACCCTACTTTTCATCCGCGGGTTCGTTTCTAAGCACTTCTGGAGCCATCCATTCAGCCTGAAATGAGAAAACACACAAAATCACGCTTAGCTTAGATCAATGAACTAACAAGTGGGAGATGAGGTTGTTTCTGATGATAATTGACTCTGGAAATTATGTTCCTCGGCCTGATGAACTGAGAATCTACTGGATCTTTTTTTGCAGCTTACCGTGCCTGCTGTTGACTTTGAAGACAGGTATGTGCTTACTTTCATTCTAGACAACCCAAAATCGCACACCTGAGAAATATGCAAGCCATTAGAGATAATATGATAGGAGCTAAAATGAAACTAGAGAGGAAGAACTACTGACCTTGACAACCCAGTTTTTGTCAACTAGAAGGTTTGGGGATTTAAGATCACGATGGACAATTACCGGATTACAGCTGTGTAAATAATTCATTCCACGGGCCTACAAAGGTTGGAGTTTTTTTATTTATAAGAAACAACCTAGAAGATACAAATATATAGTAGAGGTAAAAAAGGAAAGGAAGAGAAATGAGTAGTATACAGCATCGAGAGCCATCCTTAGACGTTTCCGCTCATCTAATTGGTTATTAGGCCTGTGGATTAACCTATACAAGCTACCTCTGCACAAGCAAAATTTTCTTATAAGCTGAAAAGTACACACAGAAAACACACTGATGACTCCGAACTCTACTCATTAATAGATGGGACATGGGTAGCTTTCATCAAAGATATGCAAAACAAATAGCCTGAAAACAAAACAATTCATGAAAGTATGGAAACAGATCATAGCATACCTAGGAAGAAATTCTGTAACAATTGAGAGATTTGGAGGGCGAGTTACAGCTCCCATGAAGAGAACAATGTTAGGGTGTCTGAGCCTTCTCATCATCCGGACCTTGAATCGAGTCGAAATGAAACGTTACGAATCTGTCATTTAGCGGTTAATGTTCGAAACTTAAAAGGGTACAAGAATTTCCAGAGAAGAAAAGACTTATACCTCACTTCTGAATTCCTCCAGTGCCTCTCCAGTAATATCTTGGTCAATGAACTTTTTGACGGCCACTGCCTACCAAATCAAGAGTTTCATTGATATTAAATAATAAGCAAATTTAACACGTTTCTCTCATTGTCAGCAAATTAGTAAGCTATGTTGATAAAGTATTAAGTTAACTCGAAATATGAGATACTCACAGTTCCATGCCAATCTCCCCTATACACCTCTCCGTATGATCCTGCATCAAAAGAGGTAAATCAAAAATACGTATTTATTGCCACACTAGTTACACTAAAGCATGTAGTAGAGCATAAGTTAGTACCCAGTCCTATGCGCTCAGCCACAGTAACTTCCTCCCACAAAATCTCGCATTCAGCCACATCATCAATTGCAGCATCAGATTTTGTACTTTCATTGCCAGTAGATCTGTCGGATATTCGTTCTCCTCCTGAATCTACCCCATGAAGCCCAGCAGAACCAGCATCCCCGTTGCTATATGAATCTAGTTCAAGCTGCCTACTCACTGCTGCAGCTGTCGCCACAACTGCAGCAGCAGCTGCAGCAGAAAGTTCTAAGGTGGAGTCAGAGTTTGCTGACTTAGCAGCAGCAACAACCATGGAAGATGCAACAACAGCTGCTGCAGCTACGGCAACAGGAACACTTCTAGGAGGATAGTCAGTAGATGTTTCAGAATGTGACGAATCAGACTGACCATCAATTTTGCAATCATCAGAAAAATGACCGAGTCCAGGTCCTGAAGGTTCACGTCGATCATGAGTATTGATTTTCGATTGCGGCCTTGGAAGTGGAGGCAAGAACCTCACAGGACCAAGATTGCTCTGGTTTCTTCCTTGCTGGATTGTTCCAAAATCTTTCCCTTTCTCATCATTGGATTCACCCACAGATTTCATTTCAACTGTTGCCTCCATTGATTCTGAATAGACTTCCGAAAATAAGTTTCTAGGGGCAACAACTCCACTTTCAAGTAACACATCATGAAGCTTCTGGGCTAGTTGTGGATTCTCTTTGGCAGCATCGATCATATATTGTGAAACATCTTTCACTTTCATCCTGCGTCCAGCTGGAGAGCTAACACCTTCAGTCCAAGAAGGTGATCTGGCATGGGTGAAAGAATGAGTAGGCTTGCTGGAAGGATGTTGGACAGGAGTCTTATGACCTTCCACAACTTCCCTAGATATATTTGGACGAATCATGAGATCCCCTCCACCTTCAGATTTGTTTTCCTCCCGGGAACCCTTTGTCCTACAACGATGTTCCGCTGACCAAGATCCTGCGTGCTCTTCAATTGAGCTCTCCACCCCACTGCTGGAAGAAGCTACATGAGATGAATCAACATCCCTGGGGCTGGCGGAGTAAACAGAATCATCATAGTCCATTTGTAGTCCAGCGGCATCAGCAGGGATAAGCGTGCCTGGATCTCCCATGAGATCAACAATGTACTCCCTGAAATTCACATTTGCATGTGTTAGGGAAAAATATTTTGCCACTTGCAGACAAAAACAGTAATGACAATACAAGTATGAAGCATGCTTGATCCTGCTCTCAATTCTAATCGGTATAGTTGTATAGACCAACGAAAGTTACACTTTTATCAAGTCTCAGTATTAGCTTTGGACATATTAGAGATGCGAGGTAGCTATAACACCCACCAAAGTCCATATGCCCATATTTTCATATACACACACAAGGTTGGTGCCTAGAAATATACTTACACATTTTTCTCTACAAATAATAGAGATATTTTTGAACGTACATAATGATTGAATTTTTATTTAAATTTAAACTTCACCTGCCATCATCAGTCTTAATGGAGTTCATTGCCACATCATCTGAACCAGTATATTGCTGTCCTTTGACTATTCGACAAGGAACACCGACACTATCACACAAAACCTACAAAGTCTCATAAGAAATTAGAGACGAAACACCACACCGCGGATTAGCACAAAATTTCAAACATGCACCAAACTAGCAAGAAGCACAGTCATGAGATTACAAGAAGTGACCTTCTTATGCTAATTTTCAAACAAAACAAAAGCAAAAGAGGGCAGGGTACATACTTTGAATAACAAGGCACGATGACGAGCCAATCCAATAGTTAGAGAACCCAAGGGCAAAACCATGCTACGGAGGGTTGCTTTCAAGCTGTAGCTCAGACTCCACCAAGCTCTTAACGTGCTATCTGGATCCACAACTGGTCCACCCATGTAATCTGCAACTAAAACTGCCAGTTTCCTTACCAGCTCACTGTCCACAAACCCTGAAGAAGACGCTGACTTTGATTTTGCTGCAATATCGAGAGCCATTTGTTCAAGCTTCAACAGATTAGAATCATCGCTTCTATTCACAAGAACAGCATCCCAAGTTACACCATCTGACACAAGTGTCCCCTGAAGATCAATTAAGGGAGGTATTCTTTCTAAGGAAGATTCATTCATTACTCCACACAGGTCATAGAAACCATCCACAATCTTGTCATCATAGCCAAGACAGTTATAATTCTGCAAAATTCCCGATGATATTAATTTGGTTAGAGGGGACAGAAAAGAGTTACTAGTCACGATATGTATCTAGGTGGATTCTCGCATAAACACACAGTACTAGAATTATATGGTCAATAATCAACTCGACACTTATTGTTTAAAGCACAGTCTATTATTGCTCCAGTGACTTGGGAATAGTTACTATTTCTAGCAATGAATCAAAAACTCACCCAGTATCTATATGCCATGAGCTCAGCTGGAGAATTCTGGGGAGCAGAAGGACGAGAGCCTAAACTGAACTGCTTCATAGCCTCAATCTGAGCAGCTTCAGGATCCTCCCTAGCACTTAACTCTAGAGCCAACTGTATCTGGTATTCTTCTTCGACCTCTGGATCCTTAGAATTACTAGAACCCAAACCCGGCATCCCAGATTCCGACCCAACGGGAGCACCATGTTCCATGGTTGTTTCATCCTCTTTACTATTGGCATTGGAAGAAGTGGGAATTTTTCTTTGAGTAACAGAGCTTAACCAATTAGATAAACCCGAAAAGGGTTTGAATTCAGGGTTACTATGGCTATCTTGAGACCTCAATGAATCTGAAGGAGATGGTTCTGCATCGCTCGACTTATTGCTTCTGTTTGACACAGACCCTTCACCGTCGTCCCGCTGATTGGGCGTGATACGCAGCTTTTTAAGAAACTTCTTCATGTTCATCTTCATACTCCAAATGTTACAGCAGCGAACATGAACACAAAAACTTGCCCATCCCTCAAATCCAAAGGAGAAGGACAAGTTTGAGCTAAAACCCTAATTCCTCGCAGAGCCACGACCCGGAGATCTGGAACTCCGTCCAGATCAACGGTTCGTCAAAACCTAATAACTTCAGTGACAGATTCAAATCGGAATCCAAATCAAAGCAAAAGACTTTAAACGGAGATCAGATTTCGATTTCAAGAAGATATACCCAGAATACTTTTTTTTGGTTGTCTTCTCTGTGATTTCAAAAGCTGATCAAACCCAATAACAGAAACAGATGATGAAAGTTTCGAGCTTTTTCTTCAAGTTTACCAAAACCCCTTTGCTTCTCTCTTGACTCTATCTCTATCTCTCTCCTATAAAGAGAAAGTCCACAAAGACGCCACTTTCTCTCTCTTAAAGTCCGACAAAATTCAACTAAAAAAACAGAGTAAGATATAGATTCAGATTACTAGAGGAAGAGTGGTTTTTTTTTTTTTGAGCTGGAGAGACTTGAATTTTGCTTTTTTGGCTACTGTGTGACATGCAAACATTTTAATAAAAATTAAAAGGCATGATATTGCCTTTTTCTCATGTCATTGGTCTTCAGGATTTGGAAAGAGCACAAAAATGTATACATACAGAATTACACGTTGCACCATAAAAGACATCATTTATTAGAGTCTTACTCGTTAAAAATAAATCAAATGTTTAGAGATATAAAAATATAAAAATAGTAATAATAATGAACGTAAGGAGAAGCAAGTGATGATGAAAAAAAAAAAGAGAAGCAAGTGATTTTCTAGAGAAATATATATATATTCTTCTTTTTTTTTGTAAAAATATATATATTCTTCTTGTTAAGTTTTGTATATAAAACAGCTAAATAAGATAACATATAAAAATACTAAATATAATCGTTGAATTGTTTATGATCGTGCTTTCCATATTCAAAATTCCTTCTTTAGGCTATTTAAAAGCTTTGCTCACCACTTTGTGCTTTATTTTCCCATGACATAGCATCACAAGATCAACAAACGTAACATACATATAACTCGAGACTATACATGCAAATGCACCTTACACTTACAGAAACTGATACTTCATTTCTGCAAACTCTAAAACTTAGATTACACGACCGTCGACTTCATCTATATGTTGTGCTTGAACCCACGACAGACTCATGCTCAGAACCAAAACTTTTTTAGCCTTTTTAAAGTGTTTCAGTTTTCAAAACTAGAAAAACATTTTGAGTTCCATCCAATAAAAATTCTTGTATGGGCTTTGAAGCCCATATAATATACAATTAGACCTAATCCGGTTAGCATAAACTAGTCTAATCAAACCGGGTCGTCGTAATATTTTAAATAATACACATTTTTTTTAATTTGTTTTGTTCGTCTCCCTCCACAGTCCACACTCTCTCTCCTCCAATAAGGGATCGAGAAAAAAGGAAAAAAATATCTGAACACGATGAGAAAAAAAAAACAGTAAAATAATAATAAAAAAATGAAAATAATAAAATAGTAAAAAAAAAACAGGGGAGAGAGAGGAGAGGAGAAGAACATGGTCTCCAACTCCGAAGGACAAAATCGAGAGACGCGGCGAGAAATATGGTGATTTGACGAGAATCGTTTGGCTCAGAGAAATTTCGGAAACCCAAATTTGTAAATTACTAATCTATTTTTTTGGTCTTCTAATCTAGTAGTGGTGTATGGGTGGTGGTGGGAATCTCGTCGACGGTGTTCGTCGATGGCTTTTTCAGCGACCTTCTTCTTCTTCTTCCAATAATAACAATCACGAACCATCCATTCTCAATTCTTCTCCCTCTCCTTCTTCTTCTTCTTCTATCCCCGATCATTCCGTTCACTCTGGAGATTTCAAAGAGCTTATTGTTATTGAAGATCTCGACTTCTCTGGCCTAACGCTTATTAAGGTTCCTAAACGTAATCACTTACCTATGGATACTCACAAAAAGGTGCCTTTCCTTTCTTCTTCTTCTTCTCCCTTCTCATCCTTTTTTTCTATATTCTACGTCATTGATTTTATTTTTGAAATGTAGAGGTGATTTAGACTTATATGCAATATGGCCTAAGATGTTGTCTTCTTTGCTTTATTTTTATTTTAGATTGAAGAGACTTGTCTATGTTCCCTTAATGTTACGTGTTTATTGCATTGGCTTCACAAAAGGATAAAACTTTGACTTCTCTGTTCCATTTGGTTGATCGTTATTCTCTGGATCTATCAGTTTTGTCATAAATTTGAAGTAAGAATCATGACTAACCTCTTCAGGGTATGCAGGATGCTGAATTCTTCACGGAGTATGGTGAAGCAAACAGGTATCAGATTCAAGAAGTCGTTGGCAAAGGAAGCTATGGTGTTGTGGCTTCTGCTCTGGACTCACACACTGGTGAGAGAGTTGCCATCAAGAAGATTAACGATGTCTTTGAGCATGTCTCTGATGCTACTAGGATTCTCAGAGAGATCAAATTGCTTCGGTTGCTTCGTCATCCTGATGTTGTGGAGATTAAACACATCATGCTACCTCCTTCTCGTAGAGAATTCCGGGATATTTATGTTGTCTTCGAGTTGATGGAATCTGATCTTCATCAAGTCATCAAGGCCAACGATGACTTAACTCCTGAGCATTATCAGTTTTTCTTGTATCAGCTTCTCCGTGGTCTGAAATATGTTCACGCAGGTAATATTTCTGCTTTACACATTGGTCCCTTTTGATCCTCATTGTTTTTCTTTTTAGATTTATTGTAACACTTGAGGGTTCTTTTCAGCTAATGTGTTTCATCGGGATTTGAAACCAAAGAACATTCTAGCTAATGCTGATTGCAAATTGAAGATCTGTGATTTTGGGCTGGCTCGTGTTTCCTTTAACGATGCCCCAACCGCTATATTTTGGACTGTGAGTCATCTATCTCAAAAGAATGTGACAGCAAAAGTGTTCATCAGGTTTCCTCAACTCTTTCTGTTCTTGTAAGCTAATTTCTTTTATGTGCTTTGTAGGATTATGTAGCTACTCGGTGGTATCGTGCCCCTGAACTATGTGGATCGTTTTTCTCCAAAGTAAGATTCTTTTTTCGCTGAACTCAACTGCTATTGTTATTTCTCTGTATCAATATAAGGCTTCTAGTTTGCTATTTTCTAGAATATTATTGTGGGGTTCCAATAGTGTTGATAAGACCAACCATCTCATGCTAAGTCTACTCTTGATATATTTCAGTATACCCCTGCGATTGATATCTGGAGTGTCGGTTGCATTTTTGCGGAAATGCTTTTGGGTAAGCCTTTGTTTCCCGGGAAAAACGTGGTGCACCAATTGGATCTAATGACTGACTTTCTTGGCACTCCACCTCCTGAGTCGATATCAAGGGTTAGTCAATCAAAACATATGTTTATATTTTCTGTAGCAAATTTAATGTAGTCCATTCACCATTTGTCAATAATCTATTCCCTGTAATGCGTTTTGCAATCTTGGAACAGATTAGAAATGAAAAGGCGAGGAGATATCTTAGTAGCATGAGGAAAAAACAGCAAGTCCCTTTCTCTCATAAGTTCCCTAAAGCTGATCCTTTGGCTCTCCGCCTTCTGGAACGCCTGCTTGCCTTTGATCCCAAAGATCGTGCATCAGCTGAAGATGTAAGTGAGAAGTTGATTTGGTATGATTTTCCCTTTTCTTTTACACAGACTAAAGCTCGTATATTTGTCGTTTTGGTTTCTTTATTGACAGGCACTAGCTGATCCATACTTCAGTGGTTTGTCAAATTCAGAGCGTGAACCATCGACACAGCCAATTTCAAAGCTTGAATTTGACTTTGAGAGAAAGAAGCTGACAAAAGATGATGTCAGAGAATTAATTTACCGAGAGGTAACAAAAAAAAAAGCCTTCTACGTACATATTTTCGTTTTCTCTGATTTTGTTTCTATATTCTTCATTGATGCTAACAATCACTTATGTTTGGATTAAAAAAATCAGATATTGGAATATCATCCTCAGATGTTGGAGGAATACCTTCGTGGTGGTGATCAGCTTAGTTTCATGTACCCCAGGTTAGCTAATTAACAGTTACAGGACCCTTAAATCTTGAAAACAGAAAGTTATGGAACCAAGAAATCTTTTTTTTGTTGTTATACGCAGTGGGGTTGACCGATTCAAAAGGCAATTTGCTCATCTTGAAGAAAATCAAGGTAAACCAGGAGCAGCTGGAGGAGGAAGAAGTACTGCACTTCATAGACATCACGCCTCTTTGCCAAGGTAATGTCTTTCACAGAATCTCTCTTTCTTCTCCTCTCTTGCTCTCGCTTTGTCACTCTCTCTGAAAGCATTTTGCTTCTCTGTGATTGGTTGCAGAGAGAGAGTTCCTGCTCCAAATGGTGAAACTACAGAAGAAAGCAGTGATGTTGAAAGAAGAGCAGCAGCTGCTGTGGCTTCAACCTTGGAATCTGAGGAAGCAGACAATGGAGGAGGTTACAGTGCTCGTAACCTCATGAAGAGCGCGAGCATCAGCGGTTCCAAATGCATCGGTGTCCAGTCTAAAACCGACAAAGAGGTTAGTTAGTTTGTGAAAAGGAAAGAAAGAAAAAAACAGAAGATCTTGAAAGGAACAAGAAGATGAAGTTGCTTACTGTTGTTCTGTTCTCTCTGTTTTACAGGACACCATAGCTGAGGAAGAAGGTGATGAAACAGTTGCAGAGCTTACTGATAGAGTTGCTTCTCTTCATAATTCTTAAGAAACAAATATTTAGTTTTTTTTTTGTTCTTTTCACGAAAGTTTTCTGGTGAAAAAATTGGTTGCTCCATTTTCTTCTCCCTTCTTCCACATCTATCTCTGTGGTTGGGTTTGATTGTTGTATTTAATAGTTTGGGGTGAGAATGGAAACTTCAAATAAAGACTGTGATCTCCATGTAATTTTTTATTTTTTTTCTCCTTTTCAAAGACACGCACATTTTGAAGTTCATTTTACTTTTACATAATCAAATTTTGTTTCATTACTCAGGCCTCAGAGACAGTTTGTGTGGTTGGTATGATCAGGTTAGCCCAAACCGGGATATTGGATTTGGGTTTTGTATATAATAAACTAGAATTCCTCAAAGCTAAAAGTGATCAAGAGTTGAGCACAAATAATAATGCTGTGTCCGTTGGCTTTCTAATGACGAAGACTAATCTAGATTCTATTTAGGGGTCCAGGGCGTCAGAAACCGAAAGTGTATGAGTATGTATCTACATCTGAATTAATATTACTTTTGGACTAATCTCATATGTATAATGAATAAATCATTGGTCTGTAAAAAAAAAGGGTTTCTTTTTTTGATAAAGAGGTCTGAAATAGTGGTATGGTCGAGTAAAGTGAGCTCTATAGGGAGCTTACCCATACCCACCAACTCCAAAGAACACAGCCTCAACAAGAAATTGCAAAAAAGTTGAATTGCAATTTCCACAACAACAAAGTCCATATACGCCAGATTGGTAAATCAATTATTAGGCGTACATAGTTTATTAGAAACACTAATTAAATCTGTACATGTACAAAAGTCAAAAATCGAACTTCATGCATATAGTTTAGATTATAATAGATATGCCGCCATGCTTTGGAATTTGACTTCAAATTTTGACTACCAGAAGAATAAGAAATGGATTTCATGTGAATTATATCGTAAAGGAACGTTGTAACAAAGTCGTGACTAATATTATCTCAAAAAAAGTTACATTAATTCGTTTCGAATGGCCAGTGACTGAAATGGTGGGGTAAAAGTTAAACTAGTAAATAGTATACTCAAAACGGAAAAAGAAAACATAGTCTAAAGTCTAAACTAGTAGTTCAAAATTACATATAATTCTTTGTTTTCTTAAAATGATTTTGATTATATTTAGTTATTTACATTTAAAAGAAGAAAAAAAAAGCCATTTCAAAGCTAGATATTAAAAAAACAGCGTACGTTTAACAGCTCAAATCGCCTTTTTTTAACAGTTATGAATTGTGGATATTAGTGTTTTTGAAATTGCTTAACATCCATTTATAAGTTTTATTTTCGACTCCTCCATAATATTGGATTTAAGTTAACATAAGTTCTTTTTTTCACAAGAATTTCTTTTTTTCTTTTTTGGAGGTCGAAATTACAATTATCATTTTATTTATAACTTGAAATCCATGTCAAGTAGTCGCATTTAAATTATATATATATTATAAGAGTATTGTTCTTTACACGAATGAAAAAAAGAGACTAACAATTGTAGTATGTCTTCTCATATATATATTCTCTATCAGCAAATAAAACAATTCGCAATTAAGTCGTATTATCTGTTCTCTTCGATGGCTCGCACCAACCCACCGATTACATCACTTTATCGACCACAAAGGTTCAATGATTTCCTGAAAAAAAAAAGACTCTAAAAAGTATATTATCATGTATAAATACATTACACAATATAATATATCAATAACGAGGAGTTAAATTTTCCACATTATCAAGAAAAAGTCTACATCATTCTTCCTTTTTTTTTTCCTAAGAAGTATACATCATTCTTTTTTTCTTTCTTTTTTTATTACGTCAGTCTTCAGTATCGTGCAAATGAATATATATATAAAAGTTTACGTGGAAAATATTAAATTAGCATGTTTTGATCTCTGGTTTTTTTAAAAAAGGCATAGGCTTATCGTCCCATACTTTGATTATTGTTACAGATAGTGTAATTGCATAGAATAAGTTCATATATCATACCTTCATACGGTAATTCTCTCTCTCTCTCTTTAACACACACACACACACACACACACACTAAAATGTCTCATACGGTAATTGATTCTCTCACACACAACAACAACAACAAAAAATGATTTTGGGTCTATTTACTAACTTTGTAAACACTCTCTAATCGTTATACTAGACGATACTATAAATTGCACGTTTTACATGTGTGCATTTAATTTTACCCCACCAAAGCATGATCAATATTTCTACTAAAGTAGACATAACTTTTTTACTTTTTACGTAACCCCAACCTTTGCATGCATGTGCTTCCTTTTCAGAAGGGTTACATTCGTAAAGATGTTCCACTTAAGAAGTGTCAGACGATATACTGACTACTGTAAACCGACAAATATCGAAAATGAATTTGTGTTTTTAGCCGTTGAAGAATTAACAGTTGAGAGTTCCATGTTGGAAACAATGAACTATATTATCTTCACTTCTTTTCACCCATAAATATCTAACTTTAGTTGGTACAGTACAGTGTTATATACATTTGACCTTTCGTATAAGATCGATTTGTTAGTGCTATATCCATTTTCGTTAGATCAAGTGGTTAGTGATATTATACGTTTAAAGTCGAAGACCGGCCTGACTAAGATATCCAAATCTTATAGTCAACTTAATCAACTATGCAAATATGACAAAAGGAGTAATCAATATATATATATATTATAAATGAGCAAGTTGTTGATGTGAGAGAGGGATCGGATACATTTTTATAAATCAGGGGAAGTTTGGTGGAAAAGAGAAGGATTGGGTGAAATTGAAAAGCCGAGGTAGCTGATGAGATGTGAGATCATCGACCTAGAAGAGAAATAATTTTAGAAAGAAAGTAATACATAGTATCTAGAACTATTTGAGGTCAGTAGTAGAAGCTTTACAAATAGACAAATTAAAACTTCTTTCACAAAAAGAAGAAAATGAAAGAAAACTTTTATTCAACACAAGAGGGCAAGTAGCTAGCTTCTGTATGGTCAATTGATGATCTTAATCTTTTTTTTGTTAAAGAGGTCAAATAGTTATGTTTGAGAAGTCACGTGGTCTTATGGGTGATGGGGAACTTAATCGATCGGGTGTTAGTAGTGAGATTCATATAAAACTAAAGATGTTGATACGATACTAGCTAGTCGTTGCAAAAATATGTTGCGATTTAAACGTTTTAGTGATGCCATATTATTTGGAAGCAGTGAATTTGAATCCATTTGAGATGAGACTATACGAGAGATTTGAAATCTTCAAAATAATATAAATTAACTGTCTCACTTTTTCGTACGTGGTACACTCACCACCTACCGATCCAATAATGTAAGAACATTTACCGGTTAATTTTTTGTACATGACTTTTTTTTTTGGGAATAGGCTCGTTAAGGGAGACGGGGTTGCTTAAACATTTTTTAAAAAAAATGTATGTACTTTAATAAAATTATGTATTAAAACTAGAAAGCAAACCCCATTGTGATCCCTATATAAAGAAGCCACCACAGTAGCAAAGCTGATCAATAATCATAGCTAAGTAAAACAAAGAAGCTAGCTAAGATCAGTAGTATTCTAGCTATAAAAGAAAATGGAGAATTCAGGGTTTCTAATGATTTCGACCTTTTTGCTTCTATTTGCAACTCTTCTCCCTCATTCTTCGGCTTCAACCACCCGTCGATTTCACTTTAACGTAAGCAGTTTTAGTCAACCTCATTAGTTTCATGTTTTTGACACTTCAAAGATTACAATTTTTGTTCTATATTCAAGATTTTATTCTCCACACACGTCTTTATTGATTATAAATTTAACGTGGTAGCTAGTTATGTATGATGGTAGCATTTCCTATGTGATATATATATATAAATATAGTAATCATATTTTGTTTGGTTTCCTGGGGTTTTAGGTCGAATGGAAGAAAGTAACTCGACTGTGCCACACGAAACAACTTTTAACTGTGAACGGACAATACCCAGGACCGACCGTGGCGGTACACGAAGGTGACACCGTAGAAATCAAAGTGACTAACCGGATCGCTCACAACACAACTATTCATTGGTAAAAAGTTAATAATAACATAAAATCTCATGCATGCATATATAATTTAAACACTTTTTACGACTTCTTTACGTGAGTTCAAAAATTATCGATACATTATGATCGTGTGTAGGCATGGTTTAAGGCAATACCGGACGGGTTGGGCAGATGGACCGGCATACATAACGCAGTGTCCAATAAGATCGAAACAAGCATACACATATAGATTCAAAGTGGAGGATCAAAGAGGCACACTCCTTTGGCATGCTCATCACTCATGGCAACGCGCCTCTGTCTACGGCGCTTTCATCATCTATCCCCGGAAGCCTTATCCCTTTCCCGGCAGCTACAATATCCAGTCCGAAATTCCCATTATACTCGGTACAACAAACCATTAATTACTTTTTGTTTGTCTCTTTTCCATTTAAATATATATATATATATATAGTACATGCATCTGAAGTCTATTATATTCAGATGAACCAAGAAAATGATCTTTTAAACTACCCACCACGGTTCGTATCCTTCGTGAAATATATATATACATGTGTTTTTATAAATAAAAAATAAAAAACTAAGCCACCAACGAAAAAACTGTTAATCTTATTTTTAAATGTAAAACGAAACATATGATTATGTAGGCGAATGGTGGAATGGTGACGTAGACCAAGTGGAGAAGAATATGATTATGACCGGAAATGGGGCTAACGTTTCCGACGCTTACACCCTTAACGGGCTTCCCGGCCCACTTTATCCTTGCTCTACCAAAGGTCCAACATCTTAAACCGAGAATTTGAATTCCAGTTCTGGTCTAATTCGGTTCGTTTCTCACTGATTTATACGATTGTGCGCGCAGATACTTTCACGGCGAACGTAGACCCCGGGAGAACCTACATCCTCCGCATCATCAACGCAGCTCTAAACAGTGAGCTCTTCTTCGCTGTATCGAATCACACACTAACCGTAGTCGAGGTCGACGCGGTTTACACCAAACCGGTTGATACCCAAGCAATCATGATCGCTCCTGGTCAAACCACCACCCTCCTCCTCCGCACCAACCAACTCCCCGGCGGCGAGTTTCTCATCGCCGCGACTCCTTACGTCACTTCCGTCTTCCCATTCAACAACTCCACCACCGTCGGGTTCATCCGTTACAGAGGCAAAACCAAACCGGAAAATACCGAAAACACACAGCGGAGACGGCGATTAACGGCAATGTCGACAGCCGCGGATCTACCCAAAATGCTGGATACGAAGTTCGCGACGAGATTCTCCGATAACATCAAGAGCCTCGGATCGGAGGAGTATCCGTGTAAAGTCCCGAGGAAGATCGACAAGCGAGTGATCACCACGATCAGTCTCAATCTCCAGGACTGCCCGCAAAATCAGACCTGCGGGGGTTACGCCGGGAAGAGATACTCAGCGTCTATGAACAACATCTCCTTCGTTCGACCTCCGGTCTCGATCCTGGAGAGCTACTATAAAAAACAGAGCAAAGGAGTCTTCTCACTCGATTTCCCGGAGAAACCGCCGAACAGATTCGATTTCACGGGAGTGGATCCGGTTTCGGAGAACATGAACACCGAGTTCGGGACGAAGCTGTTCGAAGTGGAGTTCGGAACGAGATTAGAGATCGTGTTCCAGGGAACGAGTTTCTTGAACATCGAGAACCATCCGTTACATGTACACGGACACAACTTCTTCGTGGTGGGAAGAGGATTCGGGAACTTCGACCCGGAGAAGGATCCGAAAAGGTACAATCTGGTGGATCCGCCGGAGAGGAACACTTACGCGGTGCCGACGGGAGGATGGGCGGCGATTAGGATCAATGCGGATAATCCAGGAGTTTGGTTTATTCACTGTCATCTGGAGCAGCATACTTCGTGGGGGTTAGCTATGGGTTTTATCGTTAAGGATGGTCCTCTTCCTTCACAGACTCTGCTTCCTCCTCCTCATGATCTTCCTAAGTGTTAAGAAACACTATAATATAAAAATGTCTTTTATTATTTATTATATCTGCTTTGGGTTTAGTTTTTTTGTTGATTAATAATGTTTTAACTGTTTAATCTAGATGGTCTTTTTTCTCTGTTAGATGGTTTTTAGAAATATATACTAGAAAAAAATGCCATTTAAAACCAAGGAACACTAGACCATCCTTTGTATGGGTTCTTACACAAATATTTGTGAAGAAAAATCCAATGAGGATGGCCTTAGAAAGCAAAAATATGCTTGGGAATCAGAAGTTGGACCTCATAGGGAACCTACACAATAAATGCAATGGAGATGGAATAATTAACGGTCAAAAGGACGTGGAAGACGCGATCGTAGAGGCCGTGGTGGAAACAGTGGCTAATCCTCATTCCTCATCGATCTCCTTTCTTTACATGAAACTTCTCTACCACTTTCTCATATAGTTCTTGTCTAAATTAATGTATGCATTAATCTTCTCCCTACAAAACCCTCTAAGAACTGCTTAAAGTTGTGACTTTGATGCGTGTTGCTTTCGATTTCTGTTCAATTTTTGTTGTGACTCGTGAGTGATATGTTGAGCGTTTTGTTTTGGTGTGTGGTTTTGAGTTTTATGGACAAGCAGTTTTCCCTGATAAATACAACAATAAGAGCACTTTCTAGTTTATTTTTGTATATTGTTTCTTTTAAATGATCGAAAGAGGAAACCATAAATTGTAGCTATTATTGTTACATTGATACGGGAAAAAAATCTTATACATATTATTGTACGGACATATGATTTATGAATAAATGACAAGAAAAAAAGAGGAAAAGTTAAAAACATATGACGTATAGTCGTCTACTCGTCTTTAATCATCAATTGTGATGGTGGCATTGCTTGGTTGCTAAAACTCACGCATAGGCTCGTTAAAAGGATAGACAATGAGCTCACGAAGGTTCATCGGCTGAACGACGTTAGTGTTCGCCCCAAAGATAAGATTAGCAAATTGTTCTTTCGCCTTCTCCGTGTTATGAAGTCCGTCGTAAAATAAATAAGCCCTCTGGTACTCACATACCTCACGTTTCCCATACCACAGCCGTGAAAGTAATTGTAACGCACCGATAAAGTCAGGGACTATGTCCATTAGGGTCATCGCGGGATTTTCCATACGGCCCGTCAGAAAACTTGCCATTAGGGTCATCGCGGGATTTTCCATACGGCCAAGTGTTTTGGGGAGGGTTTTGGTTTTGGCTGAGAAACAATTTGTTTCCAGCATCAAAGTAGGAGCTAGTCTCCGAAAGTGAACAGTCCTACGGCCGGAATACCCTGACCACGGTCGGTAGCGACGATGACCTGATTATGGAAGTTGGTTAGTACCAATAGGGCCCTAAGAAGAGTAACAACCAATCTACAGTTCCCTATCATTCTAGCTTATTAGTTTATGCGAGAGATGGAGACGACTTTAGACTTGTTAATATACGAGTTCTTATAACTTAGTGATTGTTGTTAAAGAGCATGAAACATCAAACATATAACATATTCTACGCCTTCAATAAGTTCTTTTGAAAAGAAGCTTTAGTGGCGTGTTTGCTTTATCCTCGTGATTATTCGACGTGGTCGGTTGCAAATTTTTTTGTATGACATCCGATCCAAATATTTTATATAGGTAAAACAAATTAGCATGAAAAGTACGGCTTCCTTTGTATGAATATAACCAATTAGTGTGATATTTAAAAGTAGCCGTTTCGAATAGAGGGTTTTAGTTTTGGTTTTGGGGCAATCGTGGTTTAATGTCGTTTTGTTATAACAACTTCTTCTTCGTCTAAAGTGGCTTACGTACGGAGACTTTTCTTCTTCAACAAAAACCGTGGCATTCGATCGATGCAGCTCCTTCTCTAAGACAATTATTGTTTTTTTTCATTTTTCGAGAAATCTCAAGATGTGAGAGTTCGTGTATATGACTAATGTAATTGACACAGTTGGTAGATATTTGGGCAAGATTGAACAAGATTAGGTTTTCAACACTCTGTTTTAAAATTTCTTCTAATAACTGTGATTCTTTCTGCGATTATGTTGTCGATGCGATCATCCCAACAACATATGTATACATTATATATAGCAAAAGATAACATGCATATTATTTTTTCTTTGTTCGTACTCGTGACCGTGTACATGAGCTCCAAGGGAAACCTATACGCATGCATATGGCTTTAAAAGAGTTACCACCAGTAGAAATTAGTTTACCAGTCGAGTACCACAAGGATCGCCCACGTGTAGAGGGGATGATCATCCTAACCGACGGCAGGAATGATGTCACGTGGCACGATGCACAAAAGGGATCGTGGGTAACAGCTGAGACGAATATACGACACGTGTCGCAATTGTGGATGCAAAGGAGTTTGAAATGGCCTATGCATGGTCTATAGGTTACACTAATCCGACCAAAGCTTCTTTTAACCTTTTCCTCTTGTTTCTTCTTCCTAGCTCTCTCGCGCTCATTATATAACCAAGCCAAAACTATATTTGTAATGGGATCCCCGAATACATTAACTTTGCTATTAGTGAGCTTATATTATACTTGGCTTACGTAAGGTATCTTAACATTTAGTTCTGTTGTTTAATTCACTCATTAGAAAAATAAAGTTATATGTAATCTCATTCTCTCACGGTAATATCAAATATGTATGAAAACCTTTTTGGTTTTAGTGTTCTTTTGATGTATAATCTTTTCTTGTTATATGCTTTTGATGCTTTACATAATACTGATGATGTGTCGGATCATTATTCATACGATACGAGTGGAGTGTGTCAAATAAAAAATATATATACAAAATAGATGATAGTTTAATTTTTCATTTATTTTCAGTTTAAATATAAAGTTAAATTTATTTACAATATTGTAAAACAGTTTATAATTTTTTTTTAAAAGTTCAATTATACAACAGAATTTATGCATCAAATCCGGACTACACGTGATTACACACCTAACTAACGACAAAATAACGCTTCATCTTTTGTAAAAAAGCATAACGTTCGCATATTAGTCCAAAAACAAAAGTAACGTTTCACTCATAAATTTTATTTTTATTACTGTAAAATTTCTAATACGTTACTATATATATTACTATATATATATATTTGAAATATTTTTCGAAAATAAAACATTACTTCTTGAGAAATTAATCATTTTATAAATTTATTAAGCAATAAAAAGTTTATATTGCGTTTTACTGTGCGCGTTGTAATAAATATTTCTTAAAGCGTTTAAAAGATAAAAAAAAATTTGTAAAAAAAGTAATAAAAAATTAAAATTACTAAAAATATTTAACGTCGAAATAATATCAAAAAAGGAATGTATCGCCATCGTGGTTCAGATTCACTGTATTTGTTGATGCTATTATTAAATAGTTTCTTGATGTAAAAAAAAAAATATATAAACAAGTTTTGTTTTTTTGTGAGAGGGTTTTCTATATATACCATTACATAGATGTCCATCCGAATTCGGACATGCGATAAACAAAACAAGAGACTCTTTTAAAATAAGAATCTCTCTATCTCTTTCTCTCTCTATATCTCCGTCTCCTTAAGGTTCGATCGATGGCAGCTTCTGTTGATCCTTTGGTGGTCGGAAGAGTGATCGGAGATGTCTTGGACATGTTCATCCCAACCGCCAATATGTCTGTCTACTTTGGCCCCAAACACATCACTAACGGCTGCGAGATCAAACCCTCCACCGCACTTAACCCTCCAAAAGTCAACATCTCTGGCCATTCCGATGAGCTTTACACCCTCGTATATATCCATCTTCTCATCACATCTATTCATTTATGTATTACTAAGCACATGCGTTACATACCTACTTACATGCTTCCTCGTCATCATTATAATCGAAACATGCATGCATTTTTTACTTCAACACCGTTTTTAAGATGTCCAATGCATTCGAACAATCTCTGTGTGCAGATGATATTTTAAAATAGCTAGAAAGGTTTTTGCTATGATAAACTTCAAACATGTATATGTGTTGAAGCATCTATCTAAAAACTATTTTCTTAATACTTTAGATATACTAAAAACCAAACTTTGCAGTGCTGGACTACTTTATATTTTTACTGGGACATTCACATAGATGTTGACGTACTTAAATTTTATATTAGCGCATTCATAGAAAATATATCAGTGAGTTTCTAATACATAATTAAATGTGTTAGTCACAGTTTAGCTGAAATTTTGATTACAATAATAACGTATTTAACGTTTCATAATTACTTAAGCTAGCTAGATGACCTGTTGCATGTGTTGAACTTTCATTGGCCGTCTGTAACTATAAATGGTTATTTCGATGCATGCAGGTGATGACTGACCCGGACGCACCTAGCCCAAGCGAGCCGAACATGAGAGAATGGGTCCATTGGTGCGTACCAGTGACGCACTCTTGTTTTTTGTTGTTTCGATATCATACGTGAACAATGTATTCAGTTTTGGTTTCGATATAACGTATAAATAATTAAGGGTAAATAACACTATTATTATTTCTTATGAATTCAGGATTGTCGTGGATATTCCCGGAGGCACCAACCCCTCAAAAGGTATGAAAACAAAAAAAAACCAAAGCTAAGATTTCGACCTTTCAATACAAAACAACAGATTGCTTGACTTTATTTTAGGATTCTATCACGTTAATATCTCTATATATTTATTACAACAGTGAACAGATTTCTTGCTTTTGTATTTTAATTTTGCTTGCATTATAGACAAAGTGACATTAGTGTGAAAGGCATTAAGAAAATATAGCATTAGTTAATTATGTCCGCGATGATGTGTTTAGATCTAATTGAAGAATCCGATACACTAATGTTTAATTATTCGTTTAAACATATTATCTTTGGACCGTGGTGCTTTCGGTTAATTATGAAAATAATATTATGAATAAACATTACTTGATTAGAGAGAACACTGACTTCCTTATAACATGATACTGATTGGTCCAAAACTGTATACCTAACTCTTTAATAGGTTGCTTCCGTTGTATATACTCTTAGTTGGCGATAGCCAAGTACTTTCCTGCATTAACATTTGGAAACTAAACATAATTCAATTAAAATCCATTATTAAAGAAAAATGAACTTAATTAGTTTTTTTTTTGTTCGTCAAATTAGTAGTTTAGATCAGTAATTTACTATATATATTGTACGTATAATTAGAATCAGTATCTTAATTTTCCTATGTTTCAAGCTATGTCCCACACTTAGGACATGTGGTGTACTCTGAAACCAACATCTCATGTATGTCCGTACGTGTACATTGATGTATATCGAGTAAACAACGTACACATGTCATCTTGTAAAAAACCTTAAAAAACACAATGAATAAAGAAAGCTGTCTTGTACGATATACGAAACACATGTTTCAGTTAATACTGCTTATTTTAGTACGATCAAAAATATTCCTATGTTTTAAATTTTCAGGACAGGAGATACTTCCATACATGGAACCAAGGCCACCAGTGGGAATTCACCGCTACATATTGGTGCTTTTCCGGCAAAACTCGCCGGTGGGTCTGATGGTGCAGCAGCCACCATCACGAGCCAATTTCAGCACCCGGATGTTCGCCGGACATCTCGATCTTGGTCTACCTGTGGCCACCGTCTACTTCAACGCCCAAAAGGAGCCTGCTTCACGTAGGCGCTAGTACCAAGAAACCAGCAAATACCACCTGCAAGCGAGCCAAAAATCCGGAACTTTCTGGTTTAAATACCAAAAGGTGCCTTTACCTCTATATATTATATAACGGGAACCAGAGCGGACAAAAAATGTAGGTTTTATATGTCAAAACCACATTTTGTATTAGTCCGGTTATAGCTATATCTATATGACTATATTGCATATAAATATGTGTCTATCCGGTTATACCTATATATGCTGTCTATATTGCATATAAAAATATGTGTCTATCCTTTCTTTTATGTCTGCATATGGAGTTGGTTGCAATAATATATGGTGTTCTGTCTCTCTATCTTCCAAATAATCATATATTAAGTAAGAGTTATAAAGAAGCTAAGAACAGATTACATACCAAAAATAAAGACTACTACAATGGATGAAAGAAATCTAATATACTGTGTTTCTTCTTGATTGTAGTCTTCTTGTTCTCTGAACCTCTACAGTTTGTTTTCACTTTGAGACTCTCGGTTCTAGGTTTTTCCCCACGCACTCGCTTTGTTGTAATGTTGACATTGCTCTGAATTTCCACTATATCTTCTTCTGTTGTTTCGAATTTTTCCTTCTCTATGTTCTTCTCCGAGTCTTGTTTGATTCCAGAATCATGAAGCTTGGACAAATCGATCATTGCCTCTTTTGTATCCATTGCACAGTCGAGTTCATTAGAGTTTGGTGAAGAAGAATAGACATCCATTGCTTGGCCTTTGGTCACCTCATGTTCTTGCAAACCGTACTCTGCAAATTCCAGATTGATTTCAACGGTCTTTCTTATCTTGAACGGGTTATTGTCCGGAATACGTGAGGGATTGCTGGGCAGAATAATCTTCTGATCCCTGTTAGGCTGCGAAAGCAGTTTGTGTAGATCTGAATCTTGTTTGGAGTACTTTGTCTCCTTCAAAACAGCTTCTGGAACGATCATAGCTTCATCTGCATTCCTTTTGAGCTCTATCCTTTCCTCATTTTCAGTCAAAGAACATTGCAAAAAGGAGCTTCTCTTTTCCTGTTCCTTGAATGATAGAGCAGGCGCCTTCAACTGTCTCTTAGACACCGGAAAGCGGTTAAAAGCCTCCATGGTTATGGGGTCAACATTTCCTTCAGCAATTGCAGCAGCAACAGATGGCGACAAATCTCTGATGAGTTAGATTTGTCAAGGTGAACAAAACTGCAAAACAGTCATTTATGCGATGAATAATATTTAGAAAAAGCTGAGCTTGCATTTGCGTTTTAGAAGGGTTAGTGCCCTGCTTTTTGATATTATAAGTGAAGATTTAAACATAACTAGGGAGTTGAAAAAGGATACGGTCCCAGGAACTCAAGTTGTTCAACTGATAAATTCAGGAGGTTCTCAGCGAGGGGTTTCAAGTGCTTGAGCTTCTTAGCACCAAAATCATATCTGCAACACATTGGATCAAAGTGAATCACATGTGGTGTGAAGCATAAGATAATAATTACTAGCAACACCTAAGTGAGACGAAAGTTACTTACATACGAGCATGCTGAAAAACTGAAACTGCTTCCGCAAAAGAACTGGAGTAATCATCAGGAAATAGTTTGCCCTTTTTCGTCTTGAGAACTGACAAAACCTACAGTATCATTCCCACATTTGAATGTCTTAGGCATTTGCTTTAGTGATGGGCGAAACCATCAAGCAATCATAGGAGAAAGTAAATGCTTACACGTTCTACACTCTGGTACTTGGAGAAGAATGCATGAGCTCTTGAAATGCCAACACCAGGAACCGAAGGGAGAAAGTCACATCCCGCTAATACACACATTGCTATAGGGAGGCAAGACCAAGAAAAGTCATCATCAACAATGTATCAATGTGTGTTGGGAAGACTACATAATAGTATAATACTAACCAGTGAATAGCTCCTGATCAAAATCCTGGAAGCAAGGCTTTTTATCAACGGCTTGGAAAACATTATCAAGAATTAGTTCCTCCCCTTTACCATACCGGTCCATCTTAAAGATTACCTTTTACCATACAGAAGTTGGGGAAACATATCATACAATGCTCTTATAACACGTAGCATGAACTTTGTTTATTTAGCATGTGAAAAAAATCTTACCGCTTTGCAGCCGTATGCAAGTAAATCGCTGTCTTCGGTTATAACAGCAGCAATCCCGCCTTGTTTTAGTTCGAGGCTGGATAGGTAAGCTAGCTGAGCATCAGCCTCATACGGAGCTACAATAAATTCGACGTTTTCTGATTTCAGAACCTGTGAAGTTATTAGGGTCAAAGTACATATTTATCTAAGAAATTGTACTCAGGTTAATAAACAATTTATACCTGAATCAGTTGATGAGCCATGGATGATGTTACACTAACTGCTCGCTGCAAATAGTAATGACAAGAGGCATGAGCTCACACGATATCATAGTCTCAACCAAATTATATGAGCAGAGTACAGGACAAATTATTGACTAAACGCACAAACCGACTCGGCAAGAATGCCTAAGGAACATGTTACGTTTGAAGGACTCAATTCAGACACAAAAAACGGATAAAGGAGAAAGCTGCGTTGTAATAATATGTGTTTCAAACACAAACTAGCCCAAAGCCCCAAAGCTTTCATAGCAACCCTAAAGGCAAAAAATTATACAACTAATATTTATAAGCCACTGAAATGAAAAGATCTAAGCACCAGGAAAAGCTCAGTAGCTAGCTGCTAATTAACAGAGATAACAACTCTAAAGGCAAACAGTTGTAGAGCTTAAAAACTTAAGCCAATGAAATAAGAAGTAAGCACCTGAAAAAGCTCGGTGGCAGCTCCGACATTCCCTTCCTTAAGCTTAACCATTGCAGCGTCAAAGTTGGCCTTTCGCTTCCTGATGATAATCAAAATCGAAGCCAAATGATTAGTTAAAATGGAAAAAGTTTAGTAGTAGGAAAGGTAAATGAAAGAAAGAAGATATGATAACACAAGAGAGAGAGAGAGAGTTTGCCTTTGACGTTCGTCTCCAGTGGCAGCTTTACAGGGCATGTGACCACCATCGAGAACAACGACTGGGATGATCTCATAGTGTTGAAGAAGGTTGACTCTATGCATGAAGTAATCAATGTACCTCAGCTTCTTACTACCATCAGTATCTAAACACAGCTCCATACTACATGAGTAGGCTATTTAAAAAAAAAAAAAAGAATCGAATCATGTCATGAAATTGAAAACCACCCAGTAGATAAATAAACAGATCAAGTTTCAGCTCGAAAATGCTTCAATCAGTTTCAACATTCAAAATACCCATTAGTTTGGATTGCATTGGAGCAAGCACGAAATGAAGGCGATTAAAGAGAGCACGAAGCTTACCTCCTTTGTGTAGCCATGAATATGCATCGATTCCCACCTGGAATGTTGTAAACGCATTATTTCAAAAGCTTGAATTGTTGTTTAATGGAGATAAACCCAGAACGATTAACGGAAACTGAAAAGGAAAAAGAAATGAAGAAACCAAATCAGAGGAAATTACTCGTTTTCCGGCGTATTTCTGGATGTGAATGGGAAGGATATAAGGTTTCATGAATCTGAGAAGATCCTTGATGCCCATTTCCGCTTTCTTCTTATCTTCTTCTTTGTTTTTAGGGTTCTTACGGATTTTGCCCTTAAAATAAAATAAAAAGGCTTTTGTTTTATTTTACTTTTGTCTCCTGTCTCAGTGTAATAAAAGTAAAAAAACAGAACACAAGTTAATTAAAAAACTTGGCGCGCAATGCCAATGGCGGGAGTAAATCAAATACGCAGATGCCACGTCAGCCGTAAAAGAGGCTGGTCGACTTATTTGCTACTATTATCAGTTTTCGCGGCTAGGTCGAAGACGAAGAAGCAAGTTGCAAAGTAGATATCAAGGAAACATTAGACGAACGATATATTTGCCTCGTACGTCTTTTAGCACTTTCATCGTTTTAGGCTTTTAGCTCAGACCAGAAAGTATAGAATTTACTACTCGTTTGTTAGAGGTGGCAAATATTATATGAAATTTGAAAATTTAAAAGAATTACGGTATTTGATCATTTTTGGTATTACCGATGAATTTGATTCATTTGCCACAAAATGAGAGTGTAACTCCAAAAGATCTTATACGAGATTAGGCAAAGAAACAAACCTAGATTGACATGAAACCAAACATCCTTCCAAAAACCTCAGGGTACTTTATGAGTAGTAAGACAAAACATAAGTGATAAATAAAACCAACAAGGAGATAATAGAGGGCAGCCAGAGCGCACGAGTGATTGGGATTACTAGTAACGACCAATACCCCAAACTCTAATAACTCCGTCGGTATAACCACTGAACAGGGTGCTTCCATCAGCGCTCCAGTTCAGGCTTGTGCAGTAAATAACCTGACCCAATCAACCAAATAACTCAGATTCAGTTTCCATTGTTATTTACAATTAACGTTACACAGAAAAATAATGGGTTATGCATGAAATTCTTCAGGAGTGAAGTATTACAACTTGAATCAGCCGAAAACCAACACTTGAAAGAAATTATGTATTGCAAGAAATCTCTCACGTAATCAACAAGTATGGAGACTTAACTTTCATTAAAAACCATACAAGGTAGTCTCTCTATAGAATAAAAACCCTATTTATACAGGCTTTACAGTCACAAGAGAATGTATCTATGGTAATGCTATATGTGGACGATTAACACAGGTAAAAGACGAGAACACATTGACATAGCAAAGCAAACATCAAGAATTACATAATATGAAATTGATACAAAGGTAGAAAACCATATACATCACTGGTTAGCATCTACTTAAACCATATACATCACTGGTTAGCATCTACTTAAATCAATCCATCTAAGAATATTTTCAATGAACTTCCTCATTTCCTATGACAGACCTAGATATAACTGACATTACAAACAAAAACAGACAATTCTACCAAGGTGAAAGTTGAAATCAAGTCATAAGCTTAGTATGTGTACCTTCCTCTTGGTGGCAGCAGGACCACTGTTGTCAGCCTTCTCGGCCTCAGCCTTGAGATCAACCTTCAAATCCTCAACAATGCTCTTGCTCTCAAGGTCCCAAATCTTAATACCCTGTTCAGTTGCAGCACAGAGCCAGTACCTGTTGGGACTGAAGCAAAGGGCATGGATCACAGAGTTAGCTTCAAGAGAGTAAAGCTTCTTCCCCTCAGCCAAATCCCACAGCAAAACAACACCGTCTTTGCCTCCACTTGCACAAAGAGAACCATCAGGTGATACAGCCACCGTGCTCACGTATCCAGTGTGACCAGCAAGTGTCGACCTGAGCTTACAGTTGGAGAGGTTCCACACTTTCACGGTTTTGTCCCATGAGGCTGACACAATCGTCGGATGGAGTGTGTTAGGGCTGAATCTGACGCAGCTAACCCAATCACGGTGTCCCTCACCACCTCCTTCTGAGATGGTGTACTTGCACTCACCTAGAGTGTTCCACAGCTTGATCGTACGGTCGCGAGACGCAGAGACGATCTGACGGTTGTCAAGGGAGAATGCGACGGAGAGCACATCCTTGGTGTGTCCCACGAATCGACGAGTGGATACACCAGCAGCGAGATCCCAAAGTCGGAGCTCACCGTCCCAGCTACCGGAAAGGGCGAATTGCCCATCTGAGGAGAGAACAACATCCTCAACAAAGTGAGAGTGACCAGTGAGACGCCTCTGAGCTACACCGTAGGCCTTGTCATCCTTGGTGAGTTTCCATAAAATGATTGATTTGTCGCGGGAAGCTGAGACGATGATGTCTGCGTTATCGATTGGCGTGGCGATTGCCGTCACCATGTCAGTGTGTGCACGCATGGTGCCCTTCAAAACGAGTCCTTCCGCCATTGTCGGTTTCTGGAAATGTCTCTGAAACTAGGGTTTTCGTTATCTCGGGGAGGCGGAAATACAGAGAAGAAGGGCGTAAAAAAACAGAAGAAGCTATTTATATGAAAGAAACTGGAAATGGATTAGGGTTCGTTTAATAATGGGCTTCTTAGTGGGTCTTATATATATGTTAATGGGCGTTTTGTTCTCAATCCATATATTTTGGTGGCATCTTCATATTTCCTTTTTTTTTTTTTTTTTGTCAAAACTTCATATTTCCATGTGTTAAAGAACGTTGCCATATGGTAATAATAATAATTGAGACGAGCCCAAGATATGAGTTAGTGCTAAAAACACATCTCACTCACACTCTTCACAGCTTCACTCCACCTTGAAGTAACGAGCCTCATTTGGGAAATATAAGTTGTTGTAGATAATCTCGCATTTGGGGAGATTGTTTTTCAGAATGATTCTCAGGTATTGGCAACACCGTTTTGGCCGGTGTTATAAAGAAGAAGTAAATTAAAGAACCCTGATTCGTGCCTAATTAAGCCTTCGAGCCTACATTTGTGACATGGCAAGAAGCATGCCAAGCCAGGCATGTTGGGCATAGTATATAGTATCGTGCACATACATATTTGTGACATAATGGACACACTATTGTGCAGAGAAATCATTACCAACCATGCTTCTTTCTTCTTTCTTCTTTACTCTTTTTGTAATATATATATATATATATATATATATATATATATGTTCTCAAAAATTGTTTGTATCTCTCTAATTAGCTTGTCTCAACTGTTAGAAGAGAGAAACTTGATAAAATATTCTTGAGTATGTTTGTAGATAGAAAATATGCATTTCCCATTTTACTTTTGACAGTCAGTAACATGCTTACATTTTCTGATTTTGGTCTAATAGAAAATTTTATTGCAACGATGAAAGTATAAATGGAATGAATTAAATGAAATGTCACACGATATATACATACAACTTCACATTTAGCTTAAGTTCTTACATACATATGTTTGGTCACTGTTTTGTATAGTTTCCATATATGTCAATTTCTAACTTGTTTTTTTTTTGTTGTTGTTGTTGGTTTTCATCACACATATTCTTGAGTGTGGTATATGAAGTTGACGAATTCGAAATTAAAATCAAATATTGTTCATCAGTCAAGATTATATATTTTCTGTTAAAATGTGGTACAATAGCTGAAAAGTAGAAAATTTTATTATGATGGTTATTTTGGATATATATATATATATATATTATGGAATCTAGAAAAACAATGTACCACTTGCTAGCTAGATGGAAAGAAATCATGTACACAATACTTACACTTGTATAATAAAATATTTCAAGCTGTATTGAAACAACATTACCTAACGACATTATAAATTTTGAAATCTATTGGTTTTCAATATGAATGCAGCAATTAATAAGACAATCCGAATTTAACATGTCGTTTTGGCAAAAGTTATTTATGAATTTTGGCATTCAAATTTCAAACTAAATCTGTGTTGACTAATTAGGGTATTAAATTTCTTCGAACATTGGTGTAATAACTACAAACTTACTTTGTTGATTCAAATTGAAGAAAAGAGCCGATGTACAAGGTGAATGTGATTGAAAACTAGTAAGACGGTAGACACTTATTGTGGATCAAAACTAGAAGACTTTATTTAGTCAGCAAACAAAATATAGAAAATACAAAAATATATCCACAGTCGTGGTAACAGTGCTACATGATTAAAATTAATGGAAATGCAAAGTACAACAAATCTCACTAATAAAAAGTTATATATATATGTTACCAAAACCATAAAAAAAAATAAAAATCCTTTTCCAATCTGGTCAAGATCCATCGTCCAAGGTCTCTACTCCTGTAGCTACACAAATAATGAAAAGTAATTATGAGACAGAGAGAGAGAGAGATAGGGAGGGAGACAGAGAGAGAGATGAAGAGCTCCCTTCAATCCAAAGAAGAGTGAAGCCATTGAAGGGGTGAGTGAAAGCTCCTGAGATATGGAATCCATAAAAAATAAAAACTTTATCATCAACTGTTTTGAATTAGATAAGGCTTATGGGATCCATAGCTTAGCAGCTTTACTACACCCTGCTAAACCCTCCATTGAACTTCAAGGAGCTCTTCCTCTTCTTCCATCTTCTTTATTTTCTTTGGACATAATATCGTGTGGATTGATCTGTTTAAACTAACTCATATTCATATGATTAAGAAACCCTTCTTTTTTTTGGATGGCAGTCACATGAATCCTCTCTAAACCTAAAACTTATATGTTTCATATGAAGATAACTATTATATATAATACAGAGGGTAAAACAAGCTAGGTAGATGATAGATAAAACATGAACAAAGGAGGCTGATAGAGTGTTGGATCTATATATGAATATGAGACAGAAAAACCTATAAAATGAGAATCCTGAAAGAATAAAAGAAGGAGGAGAAGAGAACAAGTGAATAAACCATTGGAGGATATGGCCTTTTAAAGACGAAATCTTTAAAGCCCTAATGGGAGAGAGAGTGAGTCAAAATATGGTAAAAGATCATTTATTTCTTGAAACCATGGTTTACAATCGATTTGATTCAGAATTGTTTTCATTTTAATCCACAAATTCTTGTGAAAACTTTACACTGTATATATAGTCCATAAAGTAGTAAATAATTTTTATCATACATTTTAAAAGTCAATTTCTAAACCACTTATTCACTAGCAATTTGTCACGTAATACTCAAGAGCTTACTTTTTAGTTTTCTCAAATCTCCTTCACTTTTGTCTTTTCACTCTATTTAAGTTTTTTTTTAAACTTATATTACGAATCACAATAAAAAAAGTATTGTCAAACAAAGAAAACTATTCCAATATATACTTTTTTCTAACCTACTTTTTTTTTTTTGTGGGGTTAAAGTGGTAGCCTACTTTAGGTTGCCAAAATGCCAAAATTCAATCGAAACAAGAATATATAAAAGAGAGTGGACACACGGCAACTAATGGTAACGATTTGCTATTCTCTTTTTTTTTTTTTTTTTTGTCATCAGTAACGATTTGCTATTAAGTTAACATCGATTTACATATGAAATATGAAGCTTGGTCAATAGACATACGAAAGTATTTTTTCATACAAAACTAGAGAATCTATTGGTAGATTTTTTTTTACAGAAGAAAACTTTGTCTCATTACTTTTTGTGTTATTATTAGTGTTTTTTTGCATCCAACTTTATTTAACTGAATTAAATTATGTAAAAGATATGCATTACTGATGATTATAATGGTGTTGAAAAAAAAAACAATTACAGTTACAAAAATAAGTATCTGTGTCTGTTTTCTACTTTTTTTTCCAGAATTTATAAACCTTTTCTGAATTTATTTAAGTTTTTCAATTCTTGCAAGTACATACGTTATTGTTTTGAATTTGTTCTACCAAAAAAAAAAATTAAACATTGTTCAGCGGATTTAGCCCTTTGAACTATCAACACGATGTAACGAGCCGCAAAGGTCATTAAGGCCCATTTGGGATTTTGCTTTTACGGCCTTTTATTCTGAACGACGTCGTCTTATTTGAAAGCTAGAGGAAAACTTGACACGTGAGTATCGGATGAGAGAAAAGGAAAACTTGGGTACGCAAAAAGAAAAGAAAAAAGGAATATATAAAGATCCACCTGGGCAGAAATTAGAGCCTCATAGAAGCGGCACTAGTTCGTTTTGTGGAACGCTGCTGGTAGGTTCTTCTTCTTCATTTCGCGAGAAAACCTAGAAAACCTTCCTCCTACTACTATCCGCCATGGGTATGGGTTTCCGAGCTCTTCGCGTCTTCTTTCTTTCTCGATTTCTCGATTATGCGCTTACTGCTCTTGTTTCTTCGATCGGATTTTTTCTTCAGTTTTTTTTTTTCTTTTTTTCTTGGGTTGAATGTTTGTGTTCCTTACTGTGTCCACATAGATTGTAAATTTGATTGATTCGTTGCTCTTGCAGTTAAATCTGAAATCGGAAAGAGGATTATCTGCTTGTGTGATTTGCAATCGGATTAGGGTTTAGCTGAGCTGGGTGTTTCTATTTCCTCTTTGAAATTCGAGATAATTTAACTCACTGATAATGATAGATTTGGTGGTTTTTGGAACTCTTTGCCAGATTTTGTGTTCGTTTTGGTTGGAGACGATAGTTTATTTCAGCTGTATACTTTTCTGGATCTATGCTATCGTAGTTAACATTGAAGTAGGAGCTGTATAGTTTTCTAGCATAAGATTTTGGATTATGTTATGGATAACTGCAGGGATGTAGCAGATGGTTTGTGATTCTCAGTAGTAGTAGCTTTCTTGCTTCTTCTCTTGGGTGATCTAGCTGTGGTTTTATTCATTCATTAGTTGTTGAATGTTTTATTCTGGCTGTATATATTTAATTGAGTCTGGGATTAGAGTTACGGTAATCTTCCTTTTCTATGAAATCGTATGCGTGTGCCATCTTAACTTTTGTTTAATTATGATTTTTGTTTCATGAGTATGAAATATGCACCGCATTGTAGCTATTAGTCTGTTTCCAATAAAATCTTTATCATGTGCTTTCGTAACTGTCTTTTTTTCTTGTTCTTATTTCCTGTCTCTAATACCATTTCTGACATATGCAGATCTTGAGGCGGAGATCCGCGCATTACAACTTGATTCAGCAGGTAATAGAGATAACTAGCTTAATTATTATATTTCTTATTTCGATGGTACTAAATTTGGGTGTTAATATAAGCAGATGAAATCAATGGTGTTGTCACTCCAGAAGATCATAACTCTGTTGAAGTTGAAAAATTGGATAAAGCAGAAGAAGGTTAATTGCAGCATGCTTTTTTTTTTTTGTTTTGTTTATAGTTCCTTTTTAATTCTGTTTATATTTCCTCTGTGGTAGCATGCACACCTACCGACCTTGTTACTGCGGCTATTTACAATAGAAATAGTTGAACAAATTGGAAATATTGGTTTATGTTTTGTTCTGTGATGAGATTGAAAACTAGATATTTGATGAATTGTTGACATAGAGAATAACCAGGTCTTTGTATCTTTCCTTGCAGACTTGAAAGATGAGGTTCAAGAATCAGTCCCAGTTCCTGACGAGCAACAAGGTTCCTGGATCATCATTGTCCCTTTATTTTTCTTTGCTCCAATTGCTTTATCTAAGGCTTACCAAAAGATTGATTTCTCCTTTTTTTGGACTTTGGTGGTTTCAGCTTCTGAGGATCATGATCAAGTAATGCTTCATCCAGTGCATAACCCAGCGAAAGGTTCGTAGACTATCTTTTCATACTGTTCTTCTCTCATCTCTCTAATACCTCTGCCTGTGGTTTGACCTATCTTCTAATATATATAATCAATCTTAGCTAAAGAGAAAGCTGCTCAAGAGAAGGCTGCCAAAGAGGAAGCTGAAGAGGAAGCAGAAGCAAATAAAAAACGACACTTGAACGTGGTGTTCATTGGGCATGTCGGTATGTTTTTATGAACATGTTTTAGTTATATCTGAACATTATAAGATAATCGCCTTGTGTAGATACAGGATTTCAGAGCTTATGTAACACATCTTTGAAATCCCATCGGTCATGCGCTTTCAGGCTGTGTACTTTAAAGTTTTTTTATGGCTGACATATCGCTTTATCTTTTATACTATCATTTTTAATTATAGATGCTGGTAAATCTACAATTGGAGGACAGATTCTATTCCTCAGCGGTCAGGTGGATGATCGACAAATCCAAAAGTATGAGAAGGAAGCAAAAGACAAAAGTAGAGAAAGCTGGTGAGTGTTCCCGATTGGTTAAAACAGATAAAGAATGTGTTGCATTCTAACTAATTTACGAACTTATTATTGCCCTGTGTACTAGGTATATGGCATATATAATGGATACAAATGAAGAAGAGAGGCTCAAGGTACTTAATAGGTTTTAGACTTTTGGTCAATTTTTATTTTTGCTAAATGTCTGTGTTTATTGAGTTAACGTGTATATGTAAATCCCATCAAGGTTATTGTTGGCTTTATGTTAGCTATGGCTTATTTACTACATTTGACAGGGTAAAACAGTTGAAGTGGGAAGGGCTCACTTTGAAACTCAGAGCACTAGATTTACCATTTTGGATGCTCCGGTAAGGGATCTAAAATAGTCTTTTCATTTTTTTTGTTTTATGCGAGGAATCTGGATTGCAGTTTCTATGTTGGGTGAATGTTCTGTTCTAATTCTCGTGCTCTTTTTTCACTTACAGGGACACAAGAGTTACGTACCTAATATGATCAGTGGAGCATCTCAAGCGGACATTGGTGTACTGGTTAGTTGGATAAACTGTATTCTGTTGATTTATCTTATTCAGTAGGAAGCCTAGTAACTTCCATACCCATGTCTCTCTGTTACAGGTGATTTCAGCTCGAAAAGGTGAATTTGAAACAGGATTTGAGAGGGGTGGGCAGACACGTGAACATGTTCAACTTGCCAAAACATTGGGTGTGTCGAAGCTGATTATTGTTGTGAACAAGATGGACGATCCAACTGTGGGATGGTCGAAAGAAAGGTAACTACATTAACCTTTTGAATCTTTGTCACTGATGATTTTGTATTCTGTTAATCCTTGTATTTATGTAAATCCTACGCAGGTATGATGAAATAGAACAAAAAATTGTACCATTTCTGAAAGCCTCTGGTTACAACACTAAGAAAGGTATGAAATGAACTATAAACCTTAAAGATTAACTGTTGGCGAAGGGCATGTTTAATTTGTTTGTTCTCTCACATGTTTAATTTGTTCTCTTACTCTTTTGGTGTTAAGATGTTGTCTTCTTGCCTATATCTGGTCTAATGGGAATAAATATGGACACGAGGATGGGTCAAGACGTTTGTCCTTGGTGGAGTGGCCCTAGCTTTTTCGAAGTCCTTGATTCTATTGAAATTCCGCCACGGGATCCTAATGGTCCATTCAGGTGAACCGCCACTGCCTTTTTTTCTTTTCTCGCTTTTCATTGTGTTTGTTGTTTGTTATTTGACTATTGGTTGATGCATTTAGGAAAGCCATGGCATTTCTTATTCATGTTTTAGATGGACAATAACATCTCTATGCATTGTTTTCTGTAACACATTCAACTTCTCTAATTTTGGCAGTGCCTTTCATCCAACTTAGGAGGACGTGTCTTCTGTAGTCTTATTGAAGAGAATTTATAGTCTGTAAACATATCTTTGTATGTTGTAGACTGTGTTAATCTTAATTGATTTTATGAATTGTAGGATGCCTATTATTGATAAATTTAAGGACATGGGAACTGTTGTTATGGGGAAAGTTGAATCTGGCAGCATCCGGGAGGGTGATTCCTTGGTTGTAATGCCAAACAAGGTACTTTCAGTTATCTTTTTTCATTTAATACTTGTTTGCGAGCTTAATGTATTCCTGATTACTTGCATGATTCCCTGCAGGAACAAGTGAAAGTTGTTGGTATATATTGCGATGAAGACAAAGTTAAACGTGCAGGACCTGGTGAGAATTTGAGAGTTCGTATTACTGGCATTGAAGATGAGGACATCCTTTCAGGTTTTGTCTTATCCAGTATTGGTAAGTGATGCTTTACAAATTGCATTTGCTGCAAGTGAAATTTCTCTTCATAGAATTTTGGTTATATCTGGAATCTTAGTCGCGTCTCTTAGCTGTACCAATCTGAACTTTTGTTTTCTGTTTCAGTAAAACCTGTCCCTGTTGTTACTGAGTTTGTTGCCCAACTGCAAATCCTTGAGCTGCTTGACAACGTAAGGCACTCAATCTAGAATGCTTTTTATGAGTATATGCAGTTTTAAAATGATATTGTAGGCTTCATTATTTTGCTCCTCCTGTAGGCTATTTTTACAGCTGGTTACAAGGCAATTCTCCATATCCATGCAGTGGTTGAGGAGTGTGAGATTATCGAATTGAAAAGCCAAATTGATCTCAAGACAAGGAAACCCATGAAAAAGAAAGTTTTGTTTGTGAAGAATGGTGCCGCTGTTGTGTGCCGCATCCAGGTCTGTTTCCTTCTAATTCCCAATTTAAAAGAAAAGCTGGAATGTTATTTCGTTTGGAACTTTGTATAATCTTTTACGGTCCCTGGATGTAATTGTGTGTTGTTTTCTCCGTCCACTGCCTGAAATGAGTGATTAAAATTTTATTGGTCGTAGATAGATAGTTATTTATTTATGGTTGAGAGGTACATAGTTTTTGGCAGAAGATTTGCAAGAAATGTTGAAAAAGCATCCAGACGACTTTTGAATTCAATGTCGTTCAAGTCAAATCTATCTAATTCTCACCCTTGTATCTCTGCAGGTTTTGAACTCAATTTGTATTGAAAAATTTGCGGATTTCCCTCAACTTGGAAGATTCACTCTACGAACTGAAGGTAGAGATTTCAGAGACTCTCAAATGCAATGCAAAATGTATTTACTCACTCATCTTGATACATCAGCATGTTAACAAAATGATCTGGGATGACATACAGGAAAAACAATTGCTGTTGGAAAGGTGACTGAGCTCTCAAGTGCTGCCTCAAGCGCTTGATCCAAATTTTGTGAGAGAAAAGGTTGGGAGTCCTATGCTTTCCAATTATTCTGAACCAGCGAATGAAAGTGCCTAATCTAAACTCGGGTTCTGTTTCTTTGAAAAGCAGGAGGCTTTTGGGTTGCACCAAGAGGGAGATTAGTAAAATGCTTCATGAATGGTTCGGACTAGGAAATCTGAGGTCCCTAAAACCCAATTCCTAGTTCCTTTCTGTTCTGTGCACAGTTGAGGTTTGAGATTCACAAGCTGCGGAGAGGTGTAACCTGAGACCCTTTTTGCTGGATATTTTAAAGCTAGAGAGAGAATTATGATGAACATGAGAGTTTTTTTGGTTCTGTTTTCAAGTTTAAATATACAACTATGACTACCTTCCTTTTGGCTGACTAGTCTGTTTTTCGGCTATTTGGAGATTGTTATTTCATAGTTGAGGAAACACTATTTGTTCCTTAATACTTGTCAGACAGGTTCAGGTTTCTATCATCCTCCGTCTTTTGCTCCATACCACCGGACACAAAAAGTTCAATCTTAGTGCCTCGTGCATTGGTTAAGGAAGTATACAATGAAATTTATAAAATTTTAATCCAAAATAAAAATAGCGTTACGATTCGGTGCGGCAGTAGTGAATAGTGAGTAGTGACACAAATTGTTACTGAATTGAAAAATCTTCTAAGCCGGATAAAACTTGTGGTTGACAATAGAACGACCAGCTCTAATGTTTCTGAAAAGAGACGTGGAAGGAAAAAAGAAGAATAATGAAGAAGGAACAAAATTGAGGATCCCTTTTAGAGACGATGATGGTCTCAGTAGCTTCATGGGTTTCGTCCCCAACTTGTTATTCTTCTTCTCCTCTCTTCTTTAGTCGTCGCGAGAGATTACATTTGGTGGAAGCCACGGTCGATGGTAGGAGCCAGATTGTTCCACCGGCGAAAGATCAAATCCCCAACAAAGTACGCACTTCCTTCATTTCGATTGTCTTGAAAGATACTGTAGATCGATGAAGAGTCAGTTTTTCCTGTTGTTTTGCACTTCCAGCTGAGGACTAGAAAGTTACTTTGTGGTCAAATTATTAACTCGGGACTCTTGGATAAGTGTTGTGCGTTTACTACTAGGAGATAGAATTTCATGGTACCTAGCGTTGCTATAAGAGTTGTGCAATTATGGTTAATTTGAAGGGAAATTACATAAATACTAGGAGTTACTTTGATCAAATGCATGACTCTCTTGTGGGATCTTCTTCTCGAGGCAAGTAGCCTTTACTTGATTGTGAAATTAATTTTGCAATGCAGGAAGTAACGGAGAGCGTAAATGTTTTAAAAACAGCTGCAAAAACTCGGAAAGTTGCAGCTGAAGAGATATTAGCTGCTTTTTCTGCTATTGAAAAGGCTAAACTTGATCCATCACCATTCCTCGAAACACTTGGTGGGACAGAGTCCCCTGGACGAACGTGGATGCTGATCTTCACCGCCGAGGTCCATTAGAAATCATATTCCCCTACTTCATGTTGTTTAAATGTTGTTGTAGTCTTGCTCTATTCAAATCCACTCACTTGGGATCTTTATATACAGAAGAAACTGCAGAAAGGTCGTTATTTCCCTCTAACCGCTGTTCAGAGATTTGATGCTGCGGTAACTTTCTAAACTGGAATTGGATAGAGATTGATTGATCCACTTAATATATCCACTTATCATGTATGCTTTTTCAATTTAGCATATTTTACGAGGTTTTCTAATGGCTACGGCTTAGAACTGCTTTAGGGTCGGTCTGATTAGTAAAAATTTTGGTTTGAGGCACTGTAAGTCCTAAAAGCCGAGACTGTGGAAGTAAGTAACAAAAGAGTTGTTATTTGATTCTTGAATCAGGGAAAAAGAATAGAGAATGGGGTGTATCTTGGTCCATTAGGAGCATTGACATTTGAAGGAAGGTTTTCATGGAAGAATCGGATACTGGCCTTCGTCTTTGAACAAATCCGCATAAAGATTGGACCATTAGATCCTCTAGAGATCAGTTTGGGGAAGAAAGACGCCGAGGAGGAGCCGAGTAATAAAGACCCTTTCTTCATTTGGTTTTACATCGATGAAGAAATAGCCGTTGCTCGAGGAAGAAGTGGCGGTACAGCTTTCTGGTGTCGTTGTCGCCGCATTGCTTCCTCATAGACTACTAACTCTTGTTCTTTTTCTTCTTCTCAACTCTCATGAGCTTTTTAATGTAAATGATATTTATACATAGATTACAAATCATTTGAAATGTTCTGTGAAAAACCGGATGGGTTAGTAAAATTATTGGTTTCTAATTTGGTTCGAACCGGGCTAAGTAGACAAATGTATGTTTTAAACGATGTCGTTCATGTGCTTTACCTTTAAACTAAAATTAAGTGCACTTACTTTACCCACTTTATCCAGCTAGAGAGTGTTTTTCTTTTCTTTTCTTTTTCAATTTCTTTGCTTTATTTGTAGTTTCCCTCGATTTGCCGATTGTGTCTGGAAACGCGCCAACGGCTATTTCTCACCGGAGCCGGAGCTACCAATGTCGAAACCCTAACTTTTCTCCGTGTCAACCTCATCGTCGATTTTATCCAATTTTGTTTGAATTTCAGAAAGCAATCGAAGTGTGTCGAGTGATTTTGTGGAAACCAACGTGAAAAGGAAGAGAGAGAAGGAGATTATTGGCTGTAATTTTCTAAAATTCCGACAATGACGGAGATGGAGCAGCCAAAGAAAGTTGCTGATAGGTATCTCAAACAAGAGGTTCTTGGGCAAGGTACCTACGGAGTCGTCTTCAAGGCCACTGATACTAAGGTCATTTCTTTGCTGATTTTGTGTTAAAATTTAGGGTTTAGGGATCTGTCGGCAGTTCCAGTTTCTTCTTCTTTTTGTTCCGGATTCTCGTCTATCTTTTGGGGAATTTGTTGGGTGTTTCTGCTTGAGAATCATGGAGGTTTAGTTCTGAGAGTTTTTGGGTATTCGACTCGCAATTTATTAACTTTTCATTGTGGATCTTGCAACCTTCTCTTTGAGTATGTTTTTTTGGCATTTGCAACTCTCTTCCTCAGACACACAGTTTTTGCTTCCTTTCTTTTCTCATTTCAGATTAAATTTTCTGAATAGAGATTTTGAAGTTTTACTTCTCCTCTGGATGAAGGGAATTAATTGTCTTCTTTTGGGGTAATTTTGCAGACCGGAAAAACTGTAGCAATCAAGAAGATAAGGCTTGGTAAACAAAGGGAAGGTGTAAATATTACGGCTCTTAGGGAAATCAAGATGCTCAAAGAGCTTAAGGATCCCCATATTATTCTGCTGATTGATGCATTTCCTCACAAGGAAAACTTGCATCTTGTTTTTGAGTTCATGGAGACTGACCTCGAAGCAGTCATTCGCGATTCAAACATATTCCTCTCACCCGCCGATATTAAATCTTATCTCCTAATGACTTTTAAAGGACTTTCTTATTGCCACGAGAAATGGGTTTTGCACAGGTACTTGTTTATATTATTGACCTTGCTTTTGTTTCTATAATGCTGCTTGGTTTGGGACTTATTATTTGTCGCTTGAGTTCAGGGATATGAAGCCAAATAACTTGTTAATAGGAGTTGATGGACAGCTGAAGCTTGCAGATTTTGGGTTAGCACGTATATTTGGTAGTCCAAATCGTAAATTTACTCACCAGGTATTAATTGAATGCGTATTCTTTTTACCTGAACTTCTGTGGAGAAAGTCTTGGAAATTCTATGAGTTTTCTTGTTGTATACTAATCCCTGCAAAATGTGACATGAATTAAACAGTCTCAACTGAAATTACAGGATGAGGCACTTCCTATATCATCTCTGTCCTAGAAATTTTGCTTTTAACCAGATCTCGGAGCTGAAGTATTTCTGCCATCTTGTTTCCCTTTGAACACCCAAGATTAATATAGAATTTTTCTTTCCAGATTTGTGCAATGCACCTTCTTTTCTGTTGTTTCTAGTTGTTTCATTATCTTTAATTCTTTATATCTTGATATATGTGATGCTGCACAGGTGTTTGCTAGATGGTACAGAGCACCAGAACTTTTGTTTGGTGCAAAAGAATATGGTGCTGCAGTTGATGTTTGGGCAGCTGGCTGCATATTCGCCGAACTTCTGCTACGCAGACCATTTCTTCAGGTTAAATAATCTTACACAACTCATCATGGCTAACACTAAATCTTAGTCCAATCATCATCTCTTTGGATGTTATACTCTCAGACTACTTAGTTACTTCTTTATCACTAATTTTTCGGTATGCTTACTTAATTAGTTTCCTTTGTTGCAGGGAAACAGTGATATCGATCAATTAAGCAAAATTTTTGCTGCCTTTGGAACACCAAAAGCAGATCAGTGGCCTGATGTCACAGACCTTCCAGATTATGTGGAGTATCAATTTGTCCCTGCACCATCTCTACGTTCTTTATTCCCAGCAGTTAGTGATGATGCTCTCGACTTGTTGTCCAAGATGTTTACCTATGACCCAAAAGCTAGAATTTCCGTTAAGCAGGCTCTAGAACACAGGTACATAAAGTTCACCACCTATTCAAAGGCAAGATATATCTAGCTTCCTGCTGTCAGAACTTTTTCTTTTCAATTTCTCAGGTACTTCACTTCTGCACCTGCTCCTACGGACCCAGCTAAGCTCCCAAAGCCAGTCCGCAAGCAGGATGGTACATCCTCTGACGGTAAACATGAGGCCATTACAGTGTTATCACCACCACGAAAGTTTAGAAGAGTGATGCCTGAGCGTGGGAGGGTTGATAGTTTGAAGTCTCATGTTGACAAGGATCAACAAGCACCCATGTCATTAGATTTTACCATCCTCGCTGAGCGACCTCCTAACCGGCCAACAATCACCAGGTAAAAGCTAAAAACAAAGTCATTTCACCCTCACTGTGTGTTCTAATGTCAGTTGTTATTACGGTCTCAAGATTGATTGTGTTTTAATGACATCTTCTTCTTGTTCATTGTGTAGTGCTGATAGATCTCATCTGAAGAGGAAACTAGATCTTGAGTTCCAATAAGATTGTTGGTTTCACACTCTTGCCTTGTCCTCTTACCTTTGCCGTTTTCATGTTCTGGTGAAACCACAACATTGTTAAGTTGTCAATTTACTGCTGCTTGTGTAAGCTGGCGATTTATTCTTTTTCATTTTTTAGCTTAATTACAAGCCAGAGGGATTCTAAATTCACAATGATAATATTTTGTTGTCCAATAGGCTTTATTCATGTAAACTTTATCATCCTGTACTATGGCCGTCTATGATTATAAAGCTTTCTACTTTTGCTTCTGTGAATCTTTTGCACAAAGAGAGCTCTGTTTGATTTTAATATTTTTTCTTTTAAAGGCTGCCCCAAGAATTTAATTGATCCATTGACAGCTCAAAAAGAGTTTACCAACTAAAAGTTACAAAAACTCATACAAGCCAGAGAAATAGATGCCCACAGGTAGGTCAGGCTCTTCTTTAAGTCATCCACGCTTGAAGACTATCACGATTGCTGTGCAATTGTCTTTGCAACGACGTTCTTTAACAGCTTCCTTTACAAGACGGCGACTTATCACACTTACAGGCAAGCCCTCCTACAAAATAATAGCTCTTAGCATCTAAGTAAGAAATATCTCATTATATTTCCCTTGCACTCTTAGGACAAAGTGATTCGGCAACTGTAGGTATGTTTTTACCTTCAAAAGTTTCTGAACAAACCCCACAGCATCGCTTGGTCCAAATACCTGAAAATGGATGCATTGTGTAGATTATATAAGCAGCAAAAAAGACACTCACAATGTACTTATAGAGAAATGTACAACCACAAACAGAGAGCTTACTTCCCACAATCCATCGCAACCAAGAATCATGAAGTTTTCTCTTTCAGTTAATTCAAATGCATGAATGTCCGGGGTTGCAGTGACGCCAAACTGGATACAATGACTTGTGTTAGATGCGAATATCTTCTAAAAATTCAGGAAGGCTAACAAATTCAAGGTAAGATTAATGTCTGGAGTTGCAAAATGATACAGAGCAAGGTTCAAGAACATGTAAAAGGATTGACGCAAGAGATAAAATAATACAAGTACAATACTATGGGCAAGATAACGTAGGAAGTCATAGGACCATTACCTTCTTGAATTGACGATCACCAAAAGCCCTAGAAACCTCAAGACGCCCTTGTAACCGTCCATTTGAGCTTATAACACCACCTGACTGCAAAACCCAATACTAAGTTATTAACAGAGCATGGTGTACAAAAAGTTACGGGGAAATCACTTTTTCATCAGAGACTAACCTTTTGAATACGAGAGCGCTCCTGTGGATATATCGCTTTGTGCTCTCTCGTCAAAACAATTGCTTTGAGCGGTATACATGTTTCTGTATGACTCCCCAATTCGTTGGTATTAGAGGATCTTGCCAAAACAGCCTTAGCATCACCAATATTGGCAACGAAAACCTAATGCATGAGTGTCAATGGGTGTGAATACAGGAGAAAAGGTTAAGTAATTTTATGAACTCTATGAAAAAACAGAGCCAACATATTCTATTCAAAACAAGGAACGACCCCATCATTGTCCTCCCAACTACCAATACCTTTTGATCAACTATCCAGACACACACTGCTGTGGCGCCATCTAGCCATCCTCCTGCACCCACACAGGTCAGGGAGAACCAAAAGTTTATATGAACTCAAAGATTCTTAGGATCAGATATTAGCAAATCAATCAACAGCTGAAAAAAGCGCAGACATCCGACACTTAGGTGCAGACAGATACATACACACACACAAATTACCTGAAACACTTTCTTGCAGAAGCAACTCATCGGTTTTCCGGAAACCTGATAGCAAAGTTGCTTTAACAGTTCAGAATCTGTGGATCTTAATAGCCAAAATGGAGTAACTACAAAGCTTGAAAAGACTTATGAACTGAACTTAAATACCTTCAAGAATGGCCTTTTTAGCAACTTTGACATCCAGCTGAGGCAGCATTCCAACATTTTGACAGAAAAGAAGAAGAAGTGAGACCGACTGAGTGACATAAAAAAAAAAGTATTGCTTTGTGATAAATATATTAATAATCTGAACCAAGTTAAACAGACCAACTCACGTGGTAACCCAGCTGAAAGAACGTTAAGGTGAAGATGCTTCTTAGCAAACTCTGCAGCTAAACGACCTCCATGCCCATCATAAATGGCAAAATGTGCACACCTACATAATAAGAAAATCATTACAGAAGAGTCTGGTTTTTGTTTTGAAACAAACCCACAGGTTTACAAAACAAGTTGAAAAATGGAATTGGCCAACCAAATCAAGCCTTCAACTTTGCGACACAAGATCTTCCTAATTGCAAGTCCCACATAGAGAAATGGCTTGATCTATCCTATTAATAATCTAGATTCAACTTGAAAGCTTGTAATATTTGTGTACCTTAGTTTCCCTGGGAAATCCAAAGAAGCGTCAGGCAAAACCACATAAACATCTTCCATTGTATGTCTAGCTCCTTTGTCTTCAGCACCATCAGCTTCAACCATAAATTCCTTCTTCTCTTCAGCTACACAGCTAGTGGTATTAGCAAGCTCGGCTACGGCTTCTCCTCCGCCGGAAATCTCCTGCTTCTCATCCGACGTATCACATCCGGTCTTCTCTGACTTCTTCGCCTTCTTCATCGGTGACACCAAATCCTCGCTGGAAAATGAATCAGCCGCGTGCTTGTGATTCGGGTTTTCCATTGCAGTGTCTCAGTTGATTTCCCGGCAATTATCTGGTCGCCGTCGCAAGGATTGCGACACAAATAGCTTTACACCAAAGTTGCAAGATTTTACAAGTTAGTACCTTTAGTATCTGTATAATTCATTTTAACCCCATGTATTTCATTATAGTTTTGTTGAAGCAATTGACATTGGATATAAATTTTGGAACCCATTCTTTTGGTTCCATATTGTGATCATTCGTTCCTGAAATGATACAACTTCGAGAATTAGAGATTGTGTGCTTAACAATTATGTTTTGCAAATTATACATTTCAAGAAACCCCTTAAGAAGTTGTGTCTGTGGTCTCGAGAAAAGGGTAGTCTGTGTATCCCACCACAGGATCAGAAGTGTAGAACGTCGATCTGTCGTACTTATTCAACGGCGCGTTGAGTTCTAATCTCCTCGGCAGATCAGGATTCGCCAGGAAAGTCCGTCCATAACCCACCAGATCGGTTCTTCCCTCTTCCACCGCCTTGTTCCCATCATCCCTAGAATAACCTCCGGCTACTATGAACGTGCCTTTGAAGGTATTTCGCATCAGCGTAAGCGATTCCGTGCACTCGAAGCTTTCTTCAAGGGTCTTCATTCTAGGTTCAACCATGTGACAGTAAAGGATTCCATGCGTGTTCATAGCTTCCACCAGGTAGAGTCCTAATGCTTCGGGATTCGAGTCTCCGGAATCCATGTAATCTGCGAATGGCGAGAGTCTGACTCCTACATGATTTGAACCGATCTCACTCACCACTGCTTCGATTACTTCCAGAGCGAATCTACAGCGGTTCTCTATTGACCCACCATATTTGTCGCTTCTGTCATTCACTTTGTCTTTTAGAAACTGATCAATCAGGTAACCGTGTGCGCCATGAACCTCCACTCCATCAAAGCCTGTACTTATATGTGAAGTCTCTTGATCAGCTTTCATTTCCGTTACGTTACATCTAACATCCAAAGACTTTGCTTACCAGCTTCCATCGCATTCCTTGCAGCAATTCTAAAGTCGTTGACAATGGCGGGAATCTCGTCGGTCCTTAACCGCCTTGGAGGTATAAACTGACCTCCATACATGTTCTTGCACGTCAATGGCTTGTCGGTAGAGGAGACAGGAGCTTCTCCATTTGCCTGGTCTAAAGAACGGAGCAAATTTAGTATACAAGGCATCACTGTTTTTTGTTTTTTTTGGTGGCAATTTAGTTGCAACAAGGAGAAAGGGATTTAGTAGCAAACCTTGATGAAAAACCCTTCCACCATGCCAAATCTGGCAGAAGAAGATGCCGCCTTTCGAATGAACAGCATCCACGATGGGCTTCCACGCTTCCACTTGCTCTCTGGTCCATATTCCAGGTATATCCGGATAACTTCACAAACAGAGCTCACATATTAGTGTAGTTTGAATTGTAAGCTAAAAATATTACAATCCGGAAGAGAGTTATATATATACCCCAATGATGTCTGGGACACTACACAAGATTCGGAAATAAGAAGACCACCAGGTGTTGTTCTCTGAGTGTAATATAACTTGGCATGAGGCTGAGGAATGTTACCATACGATCTTGATCTCGTCAATGGCGCCAGAAGAACCCTGATTACAACTCAAAGATAACAATCAAGCAGAAAAAAAGAAGAAGAAGAGAGGAAGAGATTACAGGCAACAAAATCATTGTTGACAAACAGTATGGACTAGTTGAAGAAAGATGCAAAGACAGTAGGGAGGTACCTGTGAGAAAGATTCAAGGGTCCCATCTTATAAGGTGTGAGGAGAGGTATACTCTGTTTGGTCTCCATGGACTCTGATGATTAGATAAAATTTTGTGTTGTCTATGTGATACCAGATTCAAGAACTGCAGAAAGATAATATACAGGATACAAATATGGTGATGGCGGTATGTTGATTGGTCAAAAGCCGTGCCCAAATTTTCCCGAGATTATCTACTTTGAACAGTGCTTACCGGATCTGAAATTTAAAACTACATCGTACGGGCCTACAATGTTCTTTTTTTTTTTTTTTTCAGATAAAAACAGTAAGTTTTGTAATTTATTTATTTCTGCATGTGTATCTGCGGTGTAAGTTTTATATTCTGATAAGGTTAATATGGGAATTGTAGGTCGATGATAAGGATGTAAACTGGCGTAACGTAACACACCATCCAACGAAGATTGGCATTATACTAAAAAACAAAAAAAAAAAACATAGACTCAAAAGTTATGTGAACCACTCAATAGAAGGACTTCATCTAATGAACGAACAATCCAAACAGTCTCAATTACCATAAAATGCATAAAGGCATATTGACATTTCAAAGCCTCAAATCTTGTTTGTTTTGTAGCTTCATATCAAAAAAGAAAACATAAAGTTGACACAATGTTCTTCTATAAACTATTCTCTAAACCTTATCACCACTATCATCATCATAATCTTGGTCTTTAACATACAAATACACAAGAAGAACCAGTAGAGGATAACTTACACTAGTGAGTGACCAATTAACAATAAGCTGTGACATTAAGGGAACCTTACGAGTATCCACTTGCCAAGCCACTGCAGCTCCTGCGCTCTGCACTCCTTTGTAGAATCCACTATATCTACTCAAAGTCTGTGAATCATCAGCCAATGCTCCTATCAACCAATACACCATACTCTGATACATGGCATCTAACAATCCATAGCTCATATACAGCACGAACGGTCCCGCAAATTCTACCCCTGAATCTTTGAAATCGAGTTTCTTCTCCGGTAGATTGTCCAACGAGTAACCGTGCTGATTCGCTAACCCTCCGCCCCATATCGCTGTCCCCACCACCGCCACTACTGATATTCCGGCGAATCCTCGAGCTCTCCGGCTTTTAAAGCTGAAGTCCATCACGTAACCTATCGCGATGGAACCAACCATTTGAGCTCCCCAATAGAAGACGTTGTTGAATCCTCTGGTTCTTAGGTTAAAGAGAAGTCCATTCACATTGTTGAACTGATAGCTGTAGAAGAAGTTACTAGCCCAAGCCGCAGGGACGATGAGGAGCATTTTCCGATCGAGGAATAGCCGGAGGACGGCGGCTGCTTCGATCGATGGGCGGGAGTATTTCACGGCAGAGCATTTAGATCCGTCATTACGGATGACAGATGTTGCCGGGAGGATCCCGAACGAGAGAAGAACGCCGGCGAACATGAAACACATGAACGCTATGTACGTCGAGTCGTTGACCGATGCGGCGGAGCTACGGTTGTAATTTAGGATAAACGGGATTAATCCGCCGATGACGCCGCCGAGATTGAAGATGCTCCAGAACAAAGCGATGTAAGTGCCTTTCCGATGGGGCGGAGGGTACGACGTCATCACAGCTCCTTCTCCGGCCCATAGAAGACCCGCGCCGCAACCGAGTAAAGCTCCGGCCACGATCGCGAAAGCTTGGTGGTGGTGATGGTTGTAGTAGAGGAAAGATCCGGCGTAGAGCACGTAGGTCGAACATCCAGCGGCTAACGTGAGCCGTGGACCGAGGACGTTGTAAAACCCGCCGCCTAAAACGCCGAAAACTGTGAAAGCGGTGTAAACGGCGGTGTTAGCGTTGTTAGCGGCGGTTGGATCTACTTGACCACCGCCTCCCATACCGGAGAGAGCGTTGAACATTCCTGGACAGCAGAAACAGACGAATCCCATTAAGCTCACTTGAGCTAGAGGAGAATTAAGTCGCCATCTTTTATTCTCCGGTGGTTTGTTCTCCTCTCCTCCGCCGTGAGTCTCCGCCGGAGTTTTTTCCTCGTCTCTCACATTCATGATCGGGAACAAAAAAAAATAAAAGGGTGAAAGATGAGAATTTTCTTATTCTTCTGGTAAAGACAACAGAGCACCGGTCTTTGATTGTGATGTTGCTTCTGTTACGATTCTTCCTATAGTAGCGGCCACATATTCATGGGAAGAAGAAGAATGATTACTTAAAAAAAAAAAAAACATTACTAATTAAGATTAGTTTTCTAACACAACTGATTTGATTCGCTCTATTGGTTTTGGTTGGTTGAATCTGATCCTAGTATCTAATTAAGTGTAGTAACTACAGCTAAAAGAACTTGACAATAGGATAAAACGTTCTTCGATTTTAACAGGAAAAGTCAGAGAGTAACTTAAATTTAGAAAGAAATAACTAATTATTGACGTTGACATTTGCTAACCAAAAAAAAAACTTAACTGATTCAAACCCCGAAGAAAAAAAAAAAAAGTATAATCAAATTTCTTTTTTTTACATAATAAATACATTAACTTCATATAAAATTTATTCAAAAAAAAAAGAAATAACTATATAGCTGTGTTCAAAACAAAAATAAATATATATACATAAATAAAAATAGCTAAGAATATTTTATCAAAAAAAAAATTAAAAAAATTAAGCAAATGGTGGTAATTGAGAACTTTAAAAGAGAAAGAAATCAAATTAGGCTGGATTCTAGAAATATCTCTCCATTAATCATGGCTTTAGACCATCATTAAAGTTAAGATTTGTACACTGGTTCACCATTCCTTGGGCTATGAGAGAGAGTCTCATTATGAGACTGATGCGGTGTGATGGCTTTTATTTTGCTCCATCATAAACTAAAAAGTAAAAACCGAGGCTGACATTTTTCTTGACTCAACATCTTTACAAACGTTTTCAGGGAAGTTGGTTATATATAGTTTGTTCTTAGTCTCGCTCATGTCATCACCAAACGTCTTCTTATGCGATGTTAATTCAAATCAATTTCTACTAATCTAACCGAAATTAATTCAAATCAATTTAACTAAGCGATGATTGTGAAATTAGTAAACAAAAAAAAAAAACGTTAAGAATCTAATTAAGCGATGATTGTGAAATTCTCATAGTTTAATATAATTTCGAATTTTGTTTAATTTCTATTCCGGGTCGGCTTTTGAATTACACGAGTCGGGTTTAAAACTGGGTCGGGTTCAGGAACGCGGTTTTTTCCTTTTTTTTTTTTTTTTTTCTGGGTCTCATGGGAATATCAATAGGTTCCCCTAATCTACATAAGTTTTATATATGTGTGGCCCGAGAGTTCTTTGTCGCAACCCCCACGCGAGAGAAGTGGCGACCCAAACCTAGAAACTCCGCAGATTGTTCACGAGATTTTTGTTGGGAAATAATAGATTCTTCACTCTGCCGGAGATTCGTCTTGTATCGCCTGGGATCGCTTCCACCGACCGGACCCAGTTCGCATCAATCAATCGGGTGTACAAAGGCCGAGGCTTTCTTTGCTGTTCGCTCGATTCCGTTCGTTGTATCTCACCAATTCAATCGGATTAGGGTTTAAGGGTTGTTCCCGTGAAGAGCCCTCGCGACTCGTTTGGCTACTTTTGTTTGATTCCATGTGTTGTTTTTGTTGCTTTGATTTTTAATTTAGCAAAAGGCCTTTGATTTTGTATTCTGTATGATCAACAATTTCTCCATAGTAATCTTCTCTGAGTTTTCGTTTTTTAGCTTTACATTATTCGAAATTATTCAGGTAAAGAAACGTTGAGAGAGAGAAAAAAAAAAGGATAATTCTTTTTATACTCATAGAATCTGATTGAAATATTAAGAAAAAAAAAAGAGAGACAAAAAAGAGAGAGGAAAAGAACAAAGTAAGTAAGATCGATGTCTAGTGTCCAGCAAAATGGGCAGAGGTTTGGCATTACAGAACCTATCTCTTTGGGAGGACCAGCGGAGCTTGATGTGATTAAGACCAGAGAGCTCGAGAAGGTTTTGCTGATCTCTTAAAGCCTCTGTCTTGTTTGCTTCAGTTTTTCTAGTTTCTTAAGTTTATTGATGAATTATTTCAATCTTAGTTTGTTACTGATTGATATTTAATTTTTGTTACTTGGTTGTTCAGTACTTGCAAGATGTTGGATTGTACGAGAGTGATGAGGAAGCTGTTAAAAGGGAGGAAGTTCTGGGGATACTAGATCAGGTTTTGTACTACTTTCAAAATCCTATGAACTTGTGCTTATGGATTTTCATCCATGTTTGTAATTTAGTCTTGATAGTTCTTCGTTGTTTATGTGTCCAGATTGTAAAAACATGGATTAAAACAATCAGCCGCGCCAAAGGCTTGAATGATCAGCTGCTTCATGAGGCGAATGCAAAGATATTTACTTTCGGTTCTTATCGACTAGGGGTAACGATAAAGATCTATAGAAGACTTAGCTTTGTTTTAGTCATTCTTCTTGTATTGCGGAATATTTGGTGTAGAGGGAAAGGGAACAATGTGAATTGGTGAAAGCTGTGTTTTACTTCTGTTGTCTTGAGATGTTCCTCAATGGGAAGTAGAATCACTTGTCTTTCACATGTTCTTTGCGCGCATTTAAACGTATTGAGATCAGTGTTATCTTTGTCACTTGAATCATGTCTGAATGAGCTTTTCAGTCATTTTAATTGTTGGTTAACCTAGGACACAATAGAGTGTTCTTGGTGAGAAAACTTAATTCTTAAATTTTCAGTGTCCTAAGAGTTCATTTTATTAAATCTCACTGTCACCTATTTCTAGCATATTGAGAGTTCCTATAACAGCCCGTTTTACTTCTTCAAATAGGTACATGGACCTGGTGCTGATATAGACACTTTATGCGTCGGACCTAGACATGCAACTAGAGAAGTACTATAACCTCTTGCATCTATATATATGTATGCCATATATTTCTTATGTCGATTTATTGTGTTCAATATTCATCTTTATATTTCCCATTAGGGTGATTTCTTTGGTGAGCTACAAAGAATGCTGTCAGAAATGCCTGAAGTAACTGAACTGCACCCTGTGCCTGATGCTCATGTTCCATTGATGGGATTCAAACTTAATGGAGTTTCTATAGATCTCCTTTATGCACAACTTCCACTCTGGGTTATACCTGAGGTAGTTTCTTGACTCAACATCGAGATGATTAGTTGATTTATGAGGATTAGGAAATGAATTCCACTTTATGGATTATTTTGTTTTTAACCTTTAGATATGAACCTTATTAAACCCATCCTAACTGATTGCAATCAATTAGTTTTACTCTATTGCGCAGTTTTCATGAATTTAAACGAATGTTATGAGTGGATCTCTTAGAAGTAGGCATTTAGAATATGGAGCTCTGACAGTGTTCCTCATATGGGAACTTAACTTTTGATATTTTCCGGATGATAATGGTGCAGGACTTAGATATATCACAGGACTCCATTCTACAGAATGCTGATGAGCAAACTGTTCGAAGCCTTAACGGTTGTAGAGTTACTGACCAAATCTTGCGTCTGGTTCCAAATATTCAGGTTTTGGGCTCACTGACGAGACATATCTATCTTTTATTTTTGTTTTTATTCATCCATATGATTTGCTTAGTCTGGACACATGTTTTGTTTCTGAGCAGAATTTCAGGACAACACTAAGATGCATGCGATTTTGGGCCAAACGTCGTGGAGTATACTCTAATGTATGGACAATCCTTCTCTAGAGCTCTTTAATTCATTTCATTATGTGACTATCATGTTGCTAAGTAAAGTCTCTTTCTGTCAATTGTTAGGTCTCGGGATTTCTTGGTGGTATAAATTGGGCGTTGCTTGTAGCCCGGATATGTCAGCTTTATCCTAATGCCCTCCCGAATATGTTAGCATCTAGGTTCTTTAGGGTCTACAATCAATGGCGTTGGCCAAATCCCGTTCTTCTTTGTTCTATGGATGAAGGATCCCTCGGTCTTCAAGTTTGGGATCCTAGAAGAAACCCAAAGGACCGGTTGCATATAATGCCCATTATTACTCCTGCTTACCCATGTATGAACTCCAGTTATAATGTCTCTGCAAGTACATTGCGGATTATGACAGGAGAGTTTCAGAGAGGAAAAGAAATATGTGAGGTAAGATTCAGACAAGTCCAAATGGTTGGCTTCTATGCAGATTCATTGACTTTATTACTATGGCTTGATGCCTTGCAGGCTATGGAAACAAACAAAGCTGATTGGGATACCCTTTTTGAGCCATTTGCATTCTTTGAAGCGTATAAAAACTATCTTCAGATAGACATCTCTGCTGCAAATGTCGATGATCTAAGAAAATGGAAAGGCTGGGTTGAGTCACGCCTCCGCCAGCTTACACTGAAGGTGAAAAGTCCTGTTTTTTCAACTTGAGTAGTTTCTCCTGATTTTACGTCTATACTGATTTGACTTGGATGTTTGCATTGTCATCTTAGATTGAGAGACATACTTATGATATGCTTCAGTGCCACCCTCATCCCCATGATTTTCAAGACGCATCCCGACCACTCAATTGCTCTTACTTCATGGGTCTGCAACGGAAACAAGGAGTTCCTGCAGCAGAAGGCGAGCAATTTGATATTAGAAGAACAGTCGAGGAGTTCAAACACACTGTTAATGGTTACATGTTGTGGATTCCCGGGATGGAGATTAGTGTCAGCCATATAAAACGGAGAAGCTTACCTAATTTTGTTTTTCCTGGTGGAATTAGACCTTCACATACCTCTAAAGGAACATGGGACAGCAAACGCCGTTCAGAGCACAGAATTTCTTCTGCAGCAGTTTCTAATACTACAACTACTACTACTACTGAAATGAGTTCTGAAAGTAAAGCTGGGTCTAACAGTCCAGGAGATGGGAGGAAAAGAAAATGGGGAGCTGATGAAGCACTAACCGATCAGCCAAAGCCCTCTAAACACATTGCTGTTTCAGTGCCTGTAGAGAATTCTGAGGGCGGGAGCCCAAATCCATCTGTTGGATCCATTTGTTCAAGTCCTATGAAAGATTATTGTACAAACGGTAAATCTGATCATATCAGTAAGGATTCAGTAGATAAGGTTGTTGTTTTCAGTAAGGATCCAGCAGAGAGTCTTCCGATAGAGAAGATAGCCACTCCTCAAGCTCCTAGTCAAGAAGCGGAGGAGCTTGAAGAAAGTGGTGATTTTGGAAATCAAATGATACAGCAGATAACTCTTCAAGATGCAATCCCGATGGCTACTGCAACTATACCTCCATTAGAAGCTACTACCTTAAATGGCTCTCTATTTCCCAATGAAGCAGTGGAAGAACTCGAGGTTTGTTATTTTCTTATCAAAGTGTGATACATAAAACTGGTCTCTTGATCTTCTTTTTGTCTGATTTTTCTTATCTTGAAAGGTTCTTCCCATGCGACAGCCTGAGGTGGCACATAGAGCTTCAGTACAACAGCGGAAACCGATAATAAAGTAAGTGGTTTTCTTTGTGTTTTTTACTCCCGCTGTTTTAAATGTGCATTTGGGATTCTGAGAAAGATTGTGTGTGTTTTGTTTTTGTGATTCTTTGCAGATTGAACTTCAACTCTCTAGGCAAAACCAATGGCAAGTAATAATGGCGTTTCCCTACACTGCCAAGAATCTCAGCAGTTACCCGATATTCAAGATGTTCAAGTCGAGGGATTTCTTATGTAAAAGAAGAGTCTTAAATTGTATTGCCTTTCTTAGATGTTGCAAGTCCTAAGTACTTTGATCTCATGTTAAACTCGTTTGGATAAGATATAATATAATGTCTTCTTGGGAATTCTTGCCTTGCCTAAACACTTTTTTTTATGTCCTGAAGAAAAGGTCTGGGTTGTGTTCCAATCTCACAGATATATTATTGCATACCAACATCCTCTTAAATCTTAGTTGCGGGCGTGTATGATATACACTAGATTACTCTCTACCAGAGTCTTAAATCTATCAAGACTACAAAATAGAGACTTACATAGATTTCAAACTCTTGTTCTTCTTACAAGTGTTGTAAAAATAGTATTTCAATCACATAAAATAGACTCCACAAAATAAAATAAGATTTAGAAGCACAATTGTGATTTCTAAATCCAAAAACAACAATTACGAATAGAGGACTAGCAGATGATTCAGATCTATACAGCGAGAAAGCTTAAATGAAAGATCTTGAGGTATCATAAACCATGCGAGATACAACAAGTCTCTTAACTCTCAAGGCTTGAAGTATGCTGTCTTCTTACAGACAGGACAAGCATTCTTCCTCGCTAGCCATTGTTTCACGCAATGGACATGAAAGCTGTGTTCACAGTTCAGTTTTCCAACCTCATCCTCTCTCTCATACTCATCCTGTGATCATCAAACATTGAGGAATAACAATATGAAAACTCATCATCCCACAGTAATAATCTGATTGAAGTTTTGAGAAACCATTGACTCTCAATCATGACTTTACCTGACAGATGCTGCATTTTCTGTCAGCAAGAGTATGTGATGTAGAGGGTTTAATTTTCCCAAGACAACGATGTATCTCACTTTCTTTAAGTCCAGTATTCACATAACCAATCCTATCACCAAGCTCAAGAAGTTGCTGTGTAGATCAAAGAAAACACTCTCGATAAAGTTGAGAAGGTGAAATTATATACTGTTTTCTCATGGGATTTTGAGAAACATACCTCATATGACATGCTATCAACATCGAGCCTCAATTCGTGGAAGTGATCACGCAAATCTGTTATTCTTCCCATTACAAAACCATTCTGGAGCATCATCATCTGTAGTGAACAACAGGATTGTTTTAATATGACTACACTAGCTGCATGGTTTAATAATTCGACTTGCTATTAGCCATCGAAAACAGTTTACAGCACCATAAAAAAATATTTTGCTAAAGAGAATGATAACAGTATTCGTCTTCCACACTATCAGTCTCTGGAATATGTTAGAGACAAAGGGGCACTCTACAATAATCTCTTTGTTGATATGAAGCCAAATAACAAGTCAAACCTTAAAACAGTGCTAAGAGTGATCAGTTGGTAGAGTCAGAGGTCAAATCTCTAACATATACCAGAGGTACAAGAAAGTTAGAAAGTTAAGGAAACTATCTGGCAATAACATTCTACCTCGGTAAGATCATCAGGGTAAGACTGTCGAAGGTGGCTACGACATCTACTTGATAACAATGTTGGTTCAGCGCGTGATGATGCATGAGAATGAGATTCTTGATTGAGAAACCGCCTGGGAAGAACAGAAGAACCCTGCCAACATGTGTAGCATCCCCTTATCATTGTTCAAACATACACAAAAGGGTAGTTCCCAAATTTTCAAGTCCTTTGAAACAATGTGATTTTGTCGATCAGAATAAACAGTTAGAATCTGAATAAACAAAAAACAAAAAAAAATCAACATGATCCCAAGAACTCTCCTAACTAATTGAACCCAACCATATGTTTAAACAATGCTACGATTCCATCCTTCTAACCAAAGAAGAAAAAAGAATGCTCAGATTCCATTCTCTAACCAAACCAGAGTTGTCAATTCTGATTTCTTTAATTCCTATCAAACCCAGAGGACCACCCACACGTCAAACAAAATATATACTATATTATCCTCAGATTCCTCACATCAAACAAAAGAAAAACTAATAATAGATCATCTCTACTACAAAAGGTAGACCCTTGTGATTGTCTAAAGAGAATCCAAAACCAGAAACATAAATTTAATAGACCAACCAACATGGTCCAGCAATATCATAGAGCTAACAACAACCACTACAGCTTCAACCACTCCAAACAGTTTCTGCCTAAACTATACCATTCGCTCAAAGTCAAATTCCAATAACACTCCTAAATTATTATAATACTAAATATTAGAATAGGAATAGATCAAATTTACCAAATTTACCTCAATAGTGTGATTAGAATTGTTGTTATCCACATCAATTTTGCGACGAGACGACGGAAGAGTCCTTCTCCGAGGAGGATGGACGGATCGATCAACAACAGCATCAGTCGAGAATCCTATTCCTGGTCCGCACCAAACATCAGGAATCGCGACGCAACCACCACCATCAACGTCTCTTGTAGTCTCGCTTAAAATCCTAATTGAACCATCTTCATAGCTTCCTTTATTCGTCTTGCTCTTCTTCTTCTGCTTCTTCTTCTTATCATTTCTAATTCTGGCATCCCAATCAGCGGAGGAGCGAATCACGGAAGGAACAGAAACCTCCCGAGCTGTTGCAGCGGCAGTGCAACCCATCCCTCGAAACGACGCCGTTTGGTACGGTTTCTTCTTGGTTGGTTCGTTGGAGGAGGAGGACGTCGGGAGGAGAAAGAAGGAAGACACTGCGGAGTTACAAAAGCTATTAGGCTGAGAAATGGGAAGCACGACGTGGCTCAGCGGCGGATCATCTTCGGCGGCCTCCAGGTGACGGATTGTTTGGTTCCTAGCTCGTCGGAGTCTGATGTGCTCGCCGATTGTTGTCGAAGACATCCTTAGAGAGAGAGAGAGAGAGAGAGAGAGAAGAGACTACAGTGAGCGGGGAAGAAGGAAGAGAGAGAGTGATTTCAAGCTGATGATGATGATGATACAGTTTTTGTATAATGATTATAATTTTTTCTATATAATTTTCTTTTTATATTAAAAATCCCGATTTATTTATGAATTATTTTGTTTTTACATGCAAGCCGTTGATATAATTCCAAACAAAATCAGCTCTCATGCATATCTTGTGAATATTATATATGGATGGTGTGTTATCAGAAATTTCAAATATCAAACGTGATATACTATTTTTTTCGTTAATTTAAAATAACATACTACCAAAATTAGTAACAATAATGATGAAGAGAGAGTTTGGATTTATATGTTGGTTAATTAGATAATTTGTCTTTGTTTTTCTTTCCGTATCCAAAAAATATTAAATTTTAAATTTTTGTTATAAAGTGATGCTTGCTTGTAAAAATAGGAAAGGTCGCATCTTGGTGTCACTTTTCTCCTTTTTGTCAGATCTATTTCGCTATTACAACTTGAAAGTTGCATGCACCTTGAGAACTGATTCTAGCTTCCAGGCCTAATGGGCCTTTTTAAAGCCCAATTATACATACATAATCAACCCAATTTGAAACCGTTTCCTAGCTTCCTAATTAATTAATAGGCCTAAATGGTCCTTTGGATAATATTTATTCAAAATTGTTAGATATGGTTTTAAATATCTATCTAAAAATATTGGAAAAGTTTCCATAAAACAAAGAGAATGCAAGAAAATTTATAAATATGAAAAAGTAACTAAAAGAAAAAAAGTATAAAAATCTACGATATATATATTTTAATTTGCATTAAAAGCTACAATTCAATTAATAACCTAAAAAAGGAAAATAAAAATCTACCTAAATACGAAAAGGAAATTAAGTAAAAGCGAAACGGAAATTATGTAATAGCGAAAAGGAAAGTTACTATAAAACTTGATCCGCAAGCTACTTTTGGTTTGCGACAGCTCCTGTTGGCACTTGTGATAAATCTACTCCTCTCTGCTCTCTCAAGTCTCAACGTCATCTTCTTCAATTTCGTCTATTTACTAGAGTTTTCTCTTTTGTCTTTCTTCGTTCTCTGCTCCTCCATCAATGGCGAATAATCATCCTCCCAGGGACGAGGCTTATCTCTCATCCGTCATCCCCAAGCGTATCAGGCTCTTCGAGCAAATCCAAGCCGATCACCTCGAGCAGCTTCAATCTCTCCCACACGATCCCATCAAGTAAAATCCGATGCTGATAAAATCGTACATGATACACTAATTTGTTTTGCAATTTAATTTCTTAATCTGTGGGTTTTGGTTGGACTGCATATAGGATTACTCTTCTCCCAGATGGTATCGTGAAAGAAGGGAAGAGATGGGAGACCACTCCAATGGACATCGCAGTGCAGATTTCTAGGGGTTTGGCAAAATCTGCCCTCGTTTCTTCGGTTAATAATGTCCTGTGGGACATGAACAGGCCCCTGGAAAGTGATTGTTCGCTGGAGATTTTAGGATTTGACAGCAACCAAGGCCGTGATACTCTCTGGCATTCTAGTGCTCACATTCTCGGCCAAGCTCTGGAGCAGGAATATGGATGTAAGCTTTACATTGGACCCTGCAAAACCATATATGAGGTCAGAGCAGTCGTTAACGTTTCTTCTGTTTTTTTTTTTAAACTCCCTCTTAATTATGTTTCTTTGGGTAAGAGTAGCTTGGTATTTCATCTTTAAAATGTGCAAAAAAAAAAAAAGGCTATCTCTAATGTTAGTAGTGACTTGTTTATTGCAGGGTTTTTATTATGATGCATTTTATCATGGCGATGTAGCCATAAACGAGAATCATTTTCCAAACATCGAAGCAGGTGTTGCCAAAGCTGTTGAGGTATGTCTTTCTTCTTCTTTAGTCTGATATATCTTTGATCAGTCAGAGCTTCCTTTTTGTAATTTTTGTAATTTGTTCGAATTCTATCATGTCTACATCGCAGGAAGGACAGCCATTTGAAAGGATTGAAGTGACCAAGGATCAGGCACTTGAGATGTTCTCTGATAATAACTTTAAGGTGGGTTTTAAGACAAGTGATACAAATAATCATTCAGCTTTTGAATTGGACTCATACTTATTCATCTTATAGGTTGAAATCATCAATGAAGACTTGGCCGAAGAAGAGACCATTACAGTCTACAGATGTGGCCCATTGGTTGATTTGTGTCCTGGACCGCATATACCAAATACTTCCTTTGTGAAAGCTTTCAAGTGTTTGAACGTAAACATTCCAACTCTATCTATAGGATCTAAAGTCTTTCAAATTCTAGTTTGTTTCTTATGCTTTTAAAGTTTGATGTTTTCTATTTATCTCAGGCGTTATCAGTTGACTGGAAAGGTAACAGAGACCGCGAAAGCTTGCGGAGTGTGTATGGGATATCATTTCCGGAAGATGAGCAACTTAAGGTATTTACTAGCTTTACTTGTTAAAAAGAATCTGCATAATCATATGACTTTGCATTGTTTTTATTATCTTTATTTGCAGGACTTTCTTATTTCACGGGAGCATTTCATTTGTCACTCACTCAGGTTCTTTCAGTTTTAATATACAATTTCGTGTTTGGTTAGTTCCTCTTTGTTTATATTGTCACGAAACTGATTATATATGTATACGAAATCCAGTCCTGGAAGTTGTTTCTTCCTCCCTCTTGGCACTCGCGTATACAACAAGTTGATGGGATTCATTAAGACAGAATATTGGAAAAGGGGATACACTGAGGTTTTTGTTTTTCTCCTCATTTTCACTATTTAACACACTTAACCAGTATGTGCTGGGTAAGAGAAGGTTGCTAAATTTATAACCTTGGATTTGGCAGGTCATTTCACCAAATATTTACAACATGAAACTCTGGGAAACATCATCAGAACATGCTGAAAACTACAAGGAAGATATGTTCACTTTCGATGTAAGAGTGCATGCAAAGCTCAACAGTCTTCTTGACTTTGTTACATTAACAACTAGCAAGCTTGTAAGGTGACATATCTAAGCTCTATTCTTCCGTGCGCAGATTGACAAACAAGAATTCGGGCTCAAACCTGTGAATTGCCATGGTCACTGCTTGATGTTCCAAAACAGAGTTCGCTCATATAGAGGTTAGGGACTCTTTTTTTAAGTACAGTTTGATCTCATTATTGCTGTGACGTTTTGGACAGAGACAGTATGGAGAATTAATGCTTTTCTTTATCAGTATTACTCATGAAGTTGTAAAGTCTACTTTGCTGACACCATCTTTTTATGTTATTGCTGTATTATGTAGAATTGCCCATTAGACTGGCTGACTTTGGAGCGCTACATCGAAATGAGAAACGTGAAGCTCTTAGTGGATTAACCTGTGTCCGACGGTTCCAACAGGTACCTTCTGGACTTTTCGTGGTTTATTGGGACGTTAAAGAATTTCAAATTTTGTTTTGAAAATAAAATGATCACTTTACATAAGAGGCGAATTAGCTACAGCTTTAAGGTTTTTGCAAGAGTAAGTTGGAGTGAAACAATGGCATAGTTTAACCTCATTACGAGTTGAAAAAAGCACCAGAATTCCTGACCAGAGCTTAGTACTAGTAGAGCAGGAAAAGTGCCTGCACTCTGGCAGTAACATTAGAGCCTATTTGCCATGGTGCTGAAGTGAAAAAATTCACCGCTTCCTTTGCTTACTTGTCAACTTGCTCTTTGCTCCTTTACATGTTTGCATATTTGTTTGACATTCACATATTTCATTTTCAGGATGATGCACACGTGTTCTGTAGAGAGACGCAGGTTTGTGATATTTGTTTACTTAGCCAAGAACGTTGGGAGTTCCTTATCCTCCCCAGTTTCTTATTTATACGTATTCTGTATATTTTTCAGGTGGAAGAAGAAGTGAAAGGAATATTGGATTTTGTTGACTATGTTTACACAATACTTGGGTTTACTTATGAGCTGAAGCTTTCAACGGTAAGGATATTTGCAGATTTCATTCTCCCAAATCTGATACACTTTGCCTGATAGGATCATGCATCTCATTATTTTCATGTTATATTCAATTTCAGCGGCCAAAGAAGTACATTGGAGATTTGGAAAAATGGGACAGAGCTGAAGGAGCACTTGAAAAAGCGCTTAAAGATTTTGGAAAGCCGTTTTTTGTATGTGTACTACTTACTGATCATGCTTCTATATACTTACAGAGTATGCATTCATTCTAAAGTGTGATGGTCTCTGCAGGTAAACAAAGGAGACGGTGCATTTCATGGCCCAAAGGTCGACATAACTGTGTCTGATGCAATGAAAAGGAATTTCCAGTGTGCTACTTTACAGGTTAGGCTCCCAAAGTACTCTTTTTAGTTTCCTTCTTTCTTTTTACCCCCTGTATTTTCTCTTGGTATGTTATTTATTAGTATGTCGTTTCTGTTGTTGCCTAATGTCAGCTTGATTTTCAACTTCCTGATTGCTTCAAACTGGAATATTCATCCTTAGCTGAGGATGAAACGAAGAGGGAGAAACCTGTGCTGATACATAGAGCGGTGTTGGGCTCTGTTGAGCGAATGTTTGCCATATTGTTGGAACAGAACAAAGGGAAATGGCCCTTCTGGCTAAGTCCGCGCCAGGTCATAGTTTGCTCCTTGTTAAAGGATGATCGTTCCTACGCAGAAAAGGTTTTACATTCGTGACCCTACTCTTTACAAGCTTACTTTGCAAAGTCGTCTTATGTATTCAATTTACAGGTGAGAGATCAAATTCACCAAGCTGGCTACTATGATGATGTTGACACAACGGATAGAAACATCAGTGAGAAGGTAAGTGTTACAAGTTCTCTTAGCACAAAAAATTGAGAATTATGTTCATGTGATTTTCGATTGGTGGCTGCGAAAGCTATATGCATTATGAATGATGGTTCTGGTTGTATGTAGGTGGAAGAAGCCCAAGTTGCACGGTACAACTACATATTGGTCGTGGGTGATGAAGAGGCTAGAAGGGGACAGGTTAGAGTCATGCTATGCTTATTCCACTATATGTTTGAGCACCAATCCTCTTCTTAATCATTGTCTTTTTTTCAGGTGACTGTTTGGCTAAGAGACGAAGTGATGAGCATTGAGACTCTCTTGGATGAATTCAAGCTCAAAACTGCCAACTTTCTCTGAGACGAAGTGATGGGTTTGTATCTTGTATATGCTTCTCTCTGTGGATGTGGATCGTAAGGACGTGGATATTTGGTAAAATAGTTTTTGCATGTGCCTAGTTTTAAAATTTTATGGATTTTTGTACAATTTTAATTATCGATATTGATACTCGACTAGACTACTATAAATTTATAAAAAGCGACAAGTGCTATATCAGGTCTTTCCTTAAGTAACTTTACTCTTTGTTAATTACCTGTGATGTGATGTATATATGTATATATTCAATGTTTTCTTACAACTCAAGCTTAGTTAATTCAAAGCCAACGAATGAAGTTGTCTCATACATAATTCAAAAGCCGACGAAAGAAGTGGTCTCCTAATTGATTTTGAATTTTTTCACAAACATTCGTCTGATCATTTTTGAAAGATGATAGTATAATTTTAAGTAAAAACAGGTCTTAATTAATCTTTTCTATATATCCATCGATCCTCACTTTATTGACTCCGTGTGCTCTGTAAAGCTAGTCTATCGTTATTTTCATCTTTAATCATATCTATATCCGATAAATTCCAACTATGAACAGTTTATCAACGAGCCACCGCTGAAATTATAATTCAACCACTCGCTTCATTATTTTTCACAAGGAGTGATTTTATATATGTGAGTTAATATACACATATCAGTCAGAAATTTATATATTCTTGTTCTAGTGGGTGTCTCAATCTTATCCAAAGTTGATTAATTCAACATCTTTATACAAATGATCAACGTTTCGTATTATTATCCTCCATAATCAAAGATGTATGTATGTATAATATACACAGTTACTTATCTTTTTGGGTTATTCTTTCGTGTTGTCTTAAATAATATCAAGGTGACATACGTATCTAACTCAACGAGGAAACCCTAGCAGTCATAATGACATCATTTCTTTTTTTCAAGTTGGAAGATACAAAGTCGATGCTTAAAAATTATATATTTATTTCGAAACAAGAAGTATGGTTATAAGTCGTGTCAAGATGTGTGTTCTTCATCTCCACCTAAATAAAACGAACTATTTTATTCTTCTTCTCTTAAGACAAAGGTAGATTTTATGCTACTCTGGATTGTATTTCTTGGTGGCTGATAACTACTCCCAACTTAATCATATCCATACTCCAACCCTCGATTTCGTCTTTCCGTTATTAACTTATTATTATTCTTCACATTTGAAGAAACTAAACTAGACTTTTTTGTAAACGTTAAATGGCTCTCATAAAACCATATTAGTTTTTTTTATAAAAAGTTTATCGTTTCTATTTTGACATATCTACTAGCTAGTTACCAAGAAAGTCATCATCGCAAGTTATATACGAGTAAAAATAGTCTGCATGAAATTATAAGCGTATCAAATATTTAAAAGGGTATACTTCCGCACTCGTGACATACTTTCTCCTGTTAATTACCTGTGATGTGATGTATATATGTATATCTTCAATGTTTTCTTACATACGACCGCAACAACACAAAAATTATGCCCGTCGATTACAAATTCCATAAAATATAAAATTTTGGTCTTCAATCCTTCGACTACGATTATTTCTAGATTGATCAGGACAGAGTACTTGTCTCAGACTCTCAGTACATACAGATCTTGCAATTTAGACGATAGCCAAAGTGAATCTAGGCCAGTTTAGAGTTTTACTTCAGTGAAGTTTGGTATCACTACAAACCTCTAAACTTGAATGAGTTTTTAAAAATAAATTAAGTTTTTGCTAAATTTCTTATCGATTTTCTTTAAGTATAAGTAAATTAAGTAAACCAAAATGTACCGAATAGTTAGTTATTTTTAAGTCTGATTAAATATCCTTCAAATATATATAGAGAAATTAGACCTAATAAAGGTACAATCTTAGATTTGGTATACAAGGAAATGTTGGGCTATCATATTTTTTCACATTTTGCTCAAACAAGAGCTCTAACAACAGATCAGTAGTTTCTACAATCTAATTAACATATGATCCACCTTATAGTACATGTGGTACGGACTAATTAACATAAACCCTGGGAGGCAGAGTTTCCAACAGACAAAAAGTCGAAAAAGGGAACACAGTTCTCGTTACGAATTCGGTTGTTTTCATGGAAATCTTCGTCTTCGTCTTTTCTTGAATTGTCTATCACTTCGGGTTTCTTCGAATCCGTGTTTACTTGGAGAAAATTGTAGAACTCCACTGGTCGTTTAGTTTGGTCTATTGCATCTGACCAAATAATCCATGTCCAAAACTTAGTTTCTAGAGGTTATACAGTTATGTAATCGTATCCACAAGCAAATGTACATGCATGCATGAAAATGATCATGAACGTTTCAAGATATTTAAATTATTTTTACAATTTTATGATGAAAAATAAATTTAGTCGTTTGACAGAAAACCATGAATTCTATTTTTAATAACCTTTAAAAAAAAAGTATTATGTGTTATTTATTTATTTATCAAGTTGTATATCTATATATACGAATGCATCAGTACTTGCACATGTATGATAACATTGTTATCTAATAGTTATGAGTTTGTAATCTATATATACTCTATATATGTATTTACTCAAAATATACGTATATTACACTGTCTACACATATTGGTGCATCCTATTAGCATAGATGTATAGTATATTACCTTCTTTTATAGGAGTAGTACTATTGGGGAACCCGATCTTTCCGGTCAAGAACTCTTTGAGGACTTGAAAATGATTAATATGAGAGAATTGATAAGGAAAATTGAGAGCGGTCGTGGTTGCTAATCTTGTCTCCTTATCGTAGTCGTTATAATTACCCATGATCATCCCAGTAGCAGCCGCCGTGGCATCATGGCCAAGGCCACGTGGACGAAGCTTGGACCGTTCTCGGCCACGACGTGCCATGATGACGTGCCAATGGTTTTTAACTGCGTTATCGGTTCGACCGGGGAAAAATCTAGCGATCACGGACCATCTGTTGCCATGGATCCGATGAGAGGCTAGAAGCCTTTCTTCTTCTTCCTCCGTGAAAGGGTTTCGGTTAATTCTAGGATCCAATTGATTAAACCATCTCAATCTACAACTCTTACCTGAATACCAAACCAACATATATATTATTTACATATATATTAGACCTAGCTAGTTTATTAGTTTCTTACCAGATCGACCGGAGAGCTTCTGAGCTATGGCGTTCCAATTATGAGGGCCAAACTGTTCGACGAGTTCTCTAAGCTTCTCATCTTCCGCAGGTCTCCAATGGCCTCGACTGCACATCATTCTTCAAATCCTCGCCGTCCGATCTCCCTATATATGTGATATATCTTCTGTGAATATAATCACAATAACCTATATATAAATCAATATATGTTGATACAAGAAACCCTAGGTTTGATGTAGGTAAGGGAAGATGGGTATGTAGGAACAAGAAGAAAGCTGAAGAGCAACAGCACCATACATACACATATATATATAATTTAAAGAAATGAAAGTAATGAATATTATAAGATTCGTTAGAGAGCGAGGGAGAGAGAGTTTGGAGGGAGGTTTTCACCGGCGATTGATGCCAACGTCTTCCCTAACCAAACACACTCCTTTTAAGTAATCTACTTTTTTTTTTCTTTTTTGCCCCATCTACATTAAAAAAAATATATTATAATTTTCTTTTCTTAATTTACATTATTATTTCTGTTTATGTGGGAGTTTTATTAATTGATTAGTTGATCATGAATATTGAAACAGAGAAAAGGAGATTACACAGGAAGGGAGAGATTGCTTGGTGGGGTGATTTTTCGTTAAACTTTCAACGTCTACTCAAATATTTATATTTTTTGTTTTTCTAACCTAAACCCTCTACTTCAGCCACCAATACTTCATCTACGTTCGTATACTCTTCTGCAAGCTACATATACACATTTTAAAGTCAGATATATTCATGCTTTATATGTAATCAACTTCTAGAATATGACTCAAGGTGGGACTACAATCGTCTATGACTCCAAGAATCTACAGTTAGATGATTGCAAACATTAAAAACTATGGTTGCATTTTTATATAATTATATATATATATATATATATATATATATGTTATTAACTGGTTATTATGATATTGTATTGATATAGTTGTTACATATTAGTACGTATGATTTTTGTGAAAATCATTAACGCTACAACGATATTTTATTTTAGGATGAAAAAAACTTAAATGTGTTAGTGTTTTACCATATGAAAACACCAGCGTTAGAAAGAGAAATCATAATCTTGATTAACAATCTTGTATTTACATGTGCATATATATTACATTTGGAAATATTTTCCAATTTAAATCAACTCTAAAAGTAATTAAGGAGAACACGTTGGTCCAATAATATACAAGAGAATGTAACGGTAGTTATTCCAGGATTCGTGGATCGAACTTTATGAATAAATTTCAACTGTATTACCTTTTCGTATAACTAATATTCGACTATATATCATATCACAAGTTATATATTAAAAATGCTTTTAGAACTTTGAAAATATCATTACAATTTTTAAAAGCAAAAAAAAAACTAGAGAGGAGAAGGAGGGAGTTTGGTAAAGATGTTGTGGACCTGTGATCATTTAATTGCAGGTCACGTATAAGTAGAAATTAAATAATTAAATTGTATCGTTGGATATGTATGTTTTGTTAACCTTTCAGACCTAACCAATATGTTTCTTTTCCTTAATTCGGACCAACGTGGAAACCCTAAAGCGACTCTGTGTCTTTATTAAATTAACTGGTTAACTGCTTGATATATTTAGTGGCTTTGTACTTGATGATCATAAAAATGAATTTGACATCTTATTTACTCAAACATTGGTCTCCAAGTACATCACTAACTTTCTCTCTTGTCTTGTCTACGACGGTTAGCTTTTGTACTCTCTCTGATCAAACCTTCAACAAACTTACTAAATTTTATATCAATAAAATTTGGCACTTATGGGCTTCTATTTTTAACAAATATGTTTATTTACATTCACATTTCTAACATAGCCATAAAGCTTTGAAAAAAAAAAAATTAACAAGAAAGAAAAAATATATGAAAGATGTTAAAATGACAGAATAAAGTTAAAAACCTGAAAAGGGTGATAGATGTTGTACTTTAGTTTTGCTTGGGATTGCTTACAAAACATTTCATGGAATCTTTGTAACGTTTGATTGGGAGATATAGCTTATAATCCAATCAACTAATCAATTCAATCCTAGGTAAGCTATAAAACAATCTGTTTTTAGAACTCACTTGCACGTGTGTATCTATCTAGGAACAAAGCCAAAACTTAATTACTGGTGAAGTTTAGTAGGAAAATAGGTAGAGTTTGTTGGGAAGGAAGTCAAATACGATCTATCTCAACTAAACACACATTTCTTCAAATACCACTCACTACACACAAGCAAACGGTATCCTGATTACACTAAACCGGTATAGGTCTATCAAACAAACTGGTTAATGAGAAACCGGATCTTGATGATCCCCGAGCCTTTCAATCAAAATCCTAAACTGTATGATCTTGATAATTGGTGCTAGATAGAATGTATCGACCATCTCAACGTATGCATAAAAGAAATCTCATGCATGTCCGTAATAAGATTTAAGAATTTAACCGACGGTGGTCGAACCCTTTCTCCTAAAATTGAACAATAACTCCGGACGGTTCTGGTGGAAGTGACGACGAATTTATGCTAGAGCCGACAAAACAGATCAGCCATCTCAGCATGCATCAAAATCCAGATTCCCAACATATTCAATTCCCGTAAAATATCCGCAGATGCTCTGGTCATACATGGCCACGTACTAACTTCTAACCGGACACAGGTATATATAATTATATATATGTTTTTTTTTTCTTTTTTTGTCTACATATATATATATATATATATATATGTTTGCCTGTTTGGGAGATGATATGACGACGTATAGCATCTTTAATCTTTTAGTGAACGTCGCCGTGTAATCCGGCGTATTGTCTTGACTTTTTCACTCAATATGACCTTTGTGTATGATTTGTAGCTTTCACATATACGTTTAGTATATTTTTAGCTTTCAAAACGAGCGAGCTAGGTTCACCTTTCATCAATTCATCATTCACAAATAAAAGATCCACCAAGATGTTTTATCAAATATATATATGTAACAGCTTTTCATGTTACAAATTGATTAGGTAAGTAACATAGTTCTACTTCTACATAACAATAATAACAACACTGATTTTAGTTCTCTAATTTATGATGTTTGTTTGGTTTATAATAAAATAATAAGACTGTTCTATAAAAGGAAAGAGTCCTAAACGAAAACGAAAAAGAGAAATTAGCAGAAGATATCTTCAACATAACGGAATGATTGAGGGACACGTGTCGCCACCAACCAGCTTGCCAGCCTTAATAAAAGCTTTTTCCGACTGTTCCGACGGTGACCGTGAAAGACAGCCACGACGTTTCCAGCCTTCGACACCTGTCATGTCGTCCCTACAACACAATAATTTAATTTGTTTAGTATTTTTGTGTCGAGAGAGAGAGAGACCGCCCCAAAACGGTAACGTCACGTGCCCAACGTGGCCGCCACGTGGAATACGACACCACCGGCATTTGCCTTGTAATATCAGCTTTGCCTCGAGCCAAGGTCATGGCATGGGACCTTTAGACTTGAGTTATGGGGACATAGACAAACAAGTGTGAACGGACGTGGAGTTCTTATGCACCTTGTAACGTTAATTTAGGCCGGTGACGATTTTTTTGTCCGTCATCTAATAATTATTATTCTATTTGTAACATCAACACAAATCTTTAGATCTTTTATTTATTTATGACGATTGTCTTTTTCTGGTTTAATAGGTCTCGCAATCTGCTTACAATACGAGTCATATGTCCCGTATTTGACAATATTTATATCTATGAAGTTAACCGCGACGTTTTTTTTTTCAAAAGATATTTGTGTGTGTGTGTGTGTGTTTAAGCTGCATTTATAGTGCTTCAATGCATGAATAGTTAAATTGCACGTTTAAATGAATGATTTGCGTAAAATTCAGGAATACAATGAATAATGCTAAGAAAACGTCAAAATGCAGGCTGATGTATGTATAATATATTCTCTGTTCATTCTATGATTAAGAAAAGATGCTTGTGTTAAACAATTTTTATGATCATGAGACATTCAGCTGTATTATTTGATGTGAGCTCAAAATATCTATAAGTAATAATGTTAAAAAACGTAAGTATTATAACATAAAAATAGCTTTGAACATATCGATGCCAACAGAATCGAATTTGAGATAGTACCAATATATATATTGTAATGTAACAAACAGAATAAAAGCTGTATTTGAGAGCAAATCTATTATATATCCATATATAAATCATTAATTAGAATGAGGTCGATGGACAGCTAATGGTGCCAATAAGTCTAAACTTTTATATCATTAAAACAGTGGTCATCCCCACTAGGCACTATTTTCATAGAAAGGATAAGATCACTTTTAGTATGTAAATATGTATTAAGATTAATGATAAAAGCTTGCTTTAAGTTTAAGATATGGTATAAGTTGTACTTAATTAGTTTTAGTCTAAACACCACAGGGAAATCAGCTACTAACGAAACGAATTAATTTGTTGCATAATAATTCATATAATATGGTTAGCATCTGGTTAACTAACTCATGATTGTCTAATGATTGTAAAATGTCTCAAACAATAAAAAGATTTAGATTCAAGAACCAGTAGTAAAGGTGTAGCTTAATGTTTTCATAGCATATGAAATGATCTTTCAGATACCATGAATTTAATATAAAAAATTCTGGAAAAATGTTAGTAATATATATAGAAACAATGATTGTTTTTCTTACTATTTTTTATTTTATTTTTTATTTTATTTTTTGTAAGTTAGCTGTACTACTGACTAGTGAAGTAGTAGTATCCTAAAGCTTTATTTTTTCTACTCGCGTTGAAAATTAATCCCTGGTAAAAAATTTGGTTATCTTGTCTTCATCTTTCTTCTCTGTTTGTATCAATTCCTTTAAAGAACCATTCTCTTCAACTTCTTCAATGGGGAGCAGCCAAACTGATTCGATTCTGAAAACTAATCATATGTGTTAAGCTAGCCGGTTTTGAATATCTTTGCCTCTTTGGTAAGAATCAACTTGTTATAAAGTCTTTTTTTTTTTTTTTCCCTTCCAGATTCATTGTCAATTGAATCCGTTGTCCTTCGTAACCGATACAATGCTGAAGGATTCAATGCTGAAGATTTTAGTTGCTGACTTGATTCGAGTTTTAGCTCGTCCAGATTTGGTGGTAGTCTAGTGTTTTTCTTCTTTCTTTTGTTGGGGAAAATGTTGCTTAAGGTTTTACCTTTTTTTTTGTTTTTGACGGATATAAATTTATATATTTTGGTTTGGGCAAGTTAAAGCATCCCTTTCCATTACTCCTCCTTACATTTTTGCATAATTCTTGGTGAGCCTTTACTCAAAATCTTCCCTTTTTAAGCCTAGTTGCTTTGCAGCCTTTGTAAATTCCTCGTTTTTTTTAATCCTGTATTCGGTATAACGTTTCATTGTGGAGAAAATTTTATGACGATTTGCAAAGTTTCATGCTTTCTCCGTGACTCAAAAATGCTTCATTTGTTTTCTTCCAGTTTAGTCTCTTTTTTTCCCTGTTTCTTGCAGAAACCAGTCGAGTTATATATAGCTTATAGCCAATAAATCTGATAAGTGTCAATCAACAACCTCTTACTTGTTTATCAAACGGTGTCATTTACTTGTTTGTTTCTGCTTGGAGCTTGGTCTTAAAGTTAGATTGTTTTGAAGATTCGTGTAGATTAGATAGTCACGTTGAATTTTTGAAGATGGTTTAGTAATGGCAGATGGCTCGTGAGCTGGGTTTTTACTTTATCCTTATGAATCTAGTGGAGGAGGAAAGACTTGACCTGTTTTTTGCGGTTGGACATTAATTTTATCAACTCTCCTTATTGCAAGTCTTTTAATGTGGAATCATTCTCCTCTCTTCTTCCAACTTGCCTGATCATTTCATAGTCACAGATTGTTTCCCACAAGATCCCTTGTGAAACCTTTATCAAGATTTGCCACTTATGCTGTAGATTTGTTGTCTTTTGGGGTTTGTAGATTTTCTTAAGCTCTGTTAAAAATGGGATGCTTTGCATCAACGCCGAAAGAAACTGGTGGCAACAGAAGAAAGCCAACAAGCATCGGTGAGGTTTCAGTATATGTACCTGGTTTAAGGATACCCAGAGCTGTGGATTTTTTGCAGTCCCTTGGTGATCAGTTACCCAAGGCTCTAGTGGAACGCTTGACAGCTTTAAGAACGCGTATAGTAGTGATGGCTAATCAAGAAGGACCTACAATAACAAGAACTAGGAGAAAAACACAACATGGTATTTATATATATGTTTGTGAAGATCTTTGTGTGTTTTCTATTCTTTGCCTGCTTTCTACTGTTTACCATTTAGAATTCTTCATGAATCTTGTTTTTTTGGCTGGAGGTTCAACGCTCTCGGATCTCCATCAAGCTTTGGTAGATTATCTACCTGTTCTCTTGGGATTAAGTAAAGATGGTAATGTACTGTTATGGGTTTATAATAAATAGATCTGTTTGGCTTCAGAGATTTATTCTGACCCTGCTGTATTTGTGATGTTCTTCAGGTAGCCATCTACAGTTTAAAGTACCATTTAATTGGGTAAATCAGGAAGATGAGGAAGAGGTGCGGTAATTAGCAAAGCAGTTTGTCTTCAAGTGTCACTATAATGTAACAGACTCTTACATATTTACTTCTAACCAGGAAACAGAGATGTCAAACGTTTGGTATGAAGTTTTATCCGTTTTGCATCTAATGGCAATGCTACAAATGTCTCAAGCCAATTTACTGCTTCTTCCTAGAGGTTCTAGTGATGGTCACAACCATCCAAAAGTTTCAGAAGGTTAGGCTTCTCTGAGAGTTTTTTTATCTATCTTCATTCTTCAGTTGCCTGAGGGGGATTTTCATACATTCTGTTATGTTTTGTCTTAGGGTGTTTTTTTTTATTTGATGATGTTTCATTCTTAAGTGGTTAATGAAATGTGATGGTTACGTTCCCCAGACTTAACAGTGATTGTTCTTTTTAATTATAGAAAACAGACGAGCTTCGATTGATATCTTCTTAAAAGCAGCTGGATATCTTGATTGTGCTGTTAAGCATGTACTCCCTCAGTTTTCTGCTGAACAAAGGTTGGTAGATGAAAAAGTTTCCAATGTCATTTACTCTACATTTTGGGTAATTCTCAGTTGAGCCTAATGGCACAATCCTTGTCCTTGTATTTCGTTTCTTTGCAGGAGAATTTTACCGGTTGATTTAGGGGAAGGAGTTCTACGGGCCCTTTGCTTGCAGGCACTTGGCCAGGTAGTACCTCTTTTTTAAAGGAAGCTACCCTATTGCATATAACTGTAGCTCATGTGGTTTCTTTCTCTCATTGATGATCTGACATCTTGCATGTTGCTGACTATAGGGTGTTGATATCCAACTTGGCATGGCGATTGATAGCTCGAAGGCCACTCTCGCAGTAAAACGAAGACTTTCATGTGAAATGGTGAAATATTGGCAGCAAGTAAACATCCTTAGTCTTATCCAACTTTTTGGTCATTGAGGCATTGTCTATTAACTGCCCCCACTTGTCACTGGAAACATCTGAAACTTTTTGTTGATGCTTCCTTTTCCTTGATGTTGTGCGCTGAAACAGGCACAAGATAATCTAATGAATCTTCCATTAGCGAACGGCTGGGGAGAAAAGCATGGACTCTTTGTTAAGTGGAAGTATGTTGAAGCTAAGGTACTGTTTTATTCTTTCTTTCTTTTTTTCGTGCTCTCTTACTCCTTTCATATGTAAACTTGTCTGGTCCTTTTCAGTTATTGTCCTGAGCTATGGCCCTTCCTTATAAAGTCTTTGTCTCTGTCTTTATAAGAGACAAAACTTCGGGTTTTGCTTATATGATCAATATCAATACATTCTGAGAACCATGAGGCTTTTGCCAGAATAGGCAATTAAGGTCCATTTGTCTAATGTCTACTTCCATCTTCTGGATTCTTTTGGATCAGGCTGCGGCTTACTACTATCACGGTTTGATTCTTGATGAAGGAAACACAGAGAAATCACATGGCATGGCAGTTGCAGCTTTACAAGCTGCAGATGAATGTTTCAAAGAAAGTAAGAAAGCATCCGAAGCATTCAACATCTCTTCACCTACTTCAAGGTAATTTCTCTCTCTTTTTAATTAGTTTTATCTTTAGTTCATGGGGTGACAGGTTAGTGGTTGTTTAGAAGATCTGTTTATCTGTTCTCAGAACACCGCCACTTATTGGAACAATGAAGTATCTAACCGAGAAAATCCCGAAAGATACTTCGAGTAAAGTCAGGATAAACCGTGATCTATACTCTTATGAAAAGTGAGTATAAATCTGTCTTACTTTCTGTTGCAAAAGCATAAAATGGTCAGGCTTTTTATATTAATCTGGTAATGCTCTCTGATTAACAGAATCATGGAGACAGCACCAACACTTCCTGATTTCGCTTTGGCATTGAAACCAGATGAATATCAACTTCCTCTCGTTGAAGCTTCGTAGTCTGAAGATGCTCAAAATGCTTCAAACCAAGTTTACCAGCAATCGATGATAAAGATGTGTAAAACTTATAGAGCCAAAAAAAAGAAATCAGTGGTTCCCAATGGCTACCTGCAAGATTATGGTATGGCTATAGAATTTATCCAATGGTTTCGATGATCTGATCTCTGTTGTGTATGAGATAGAAAGAAGAAAAACTTATCAAATTGGTTTTGAATCAGTTTACATGAGAGAGATCTTTGTATGTTAATGTAATAGTATATTTGTTCAATAAAGTATAATTTTTTTTCCATTTTCCGGTATTGATAATAATAAAAATGATCTATGCAAAAAGCAAACGGTGCGGGTTCTGAGAGATATATATGCTCTTGGTGATTGAAGGTTGCTGGTAAGACAAGGTTTAACTTGGAGCTTAAAGCTTAAAGCAACATAGAAAGTACTGGAAATTCTGGAATAACACAGAATCTAGAGGAGATGATGAAGATTCTTTCAGAGAACAACAAGATCAACAGATTCAGCACTGGTTCGGTTTTTGTTTTTAGCCAGAGCTTCGTTTCAAAAAGTTATAACAAGATGATGTAAATTTTGTATGTCCTACCAGATTACCAGTTATTTTATAGAAATTGTAATGTGAATTTTCATCATAAAAAAATACCCAAAATTTATCATTTAATCAAATTCAAAAATTAAAAACTGTCAGTTAAAATGAAAAGTTAATTATCTTTCCTTTTTAACCGAAACCGGATTGTTCACCATCTGCGCCGCGTTATCAATACAGTCTCTCAGATTTCTCCGAAGCAACCTTCTTCGATCTCCCCTCCTCTGTTATAGTTTCCAAATTCGTAAGCTTTCGTTTTTGTTGATTATATACATATGTTCTTCGTTCCACTGGTAGTTCTGCTTTGTGCCAGTTTCAAAGTTAAGAGATTGATGAACCCTAAAATTGTTCTCCTTTCTATCGTAATGCATCACCGCTCGTTGAAATTTCACCTAGGATAATCGTTAATAGATTCTTCTATATGTTTTAGAGTAGAGGAACCCGAAATTTTTTGCCTTACTGTAAAAGTTTAGAAGAATTGAACCCCTTTATGGAATCATTGTGTTGGATTGATCGCGTTTCACACAGAAACCCTAATTTCAAGTGCCATTAATCACTTATGAATCAGATAAAACCACGCATTGATTGATAATGCCGGTCCTTTACGAGCAAGATAAGCACGTCTCCTCTGCTATTTTGACCGGACAGGTAGTTCCAATCAATCCCCATCTGCGTTTATCTTCGTCCTAATAGAACAACAATTTGTGAAAAGTGTTTTGTTTGTCTTTTCAGGAGAGAGGTGTGCTTAGATGCCAGGAACGAACGTCATTGCTTCATCACTGGAAGCTCACTAAGGAGCAGATAGAATTGGTGGACAAAGCTGGTTTTGGTTGGTTTCGTCTGATAGGATCGATTAGTTTGAACAATTCGCTTATCTCTGCCCTTGTCGAGAGATGGCGGAGAGAAACCAACACGTTTCACTTCCCTTGTGGCGAAATGACTATCACTCTCGATGAGGTATCATTGATTCTTGGTCTTGCTGTTGATGGCAAACCTGTGGTTGGTGTTAAAGAAAAAGATGAGGACCCTTCTCAAGTATGCCTCAGACTTTTGGGGATACTGCCAAAAGGTGAACTGAGCGGTAATCGAGTCACTGCGAAATGGTTGAAGGAGAATTTTGCAGAGTGTCCAAAGGGAGCTACGGCGAAAGAAATTGAGTATCACAGTCGTGCTTTTCTTATATACCTTATTGGGAGTACCATTTTTGCAACTACAGATCCCAGTAAGATCTCTGTTGATTACCTTATTCTCTTTGAGGACTTTGAGAAAGCTGGAGAATACGCTTGGGGTGCTGCTGCGCTAGCTTTCTTATATAGACAAATTGGTAATGCCTCTCAACGGTCTCAGAGTATCATTGGTGGTTGCTTGACACTCTTACAGGTTTGTTTTCATTTGTCTGGCGTTCTCTTTTTAAATCTTAATAGCATCATCTTCTCTTTTGTTACTTTTTCCCAAGAAGTTCTTAGCCAAGTGTGTTACCATCTTCAGTGCTGGAGTTACTTCCATCTGAATATTGATCGGCCAAAGAGAACCACCCGTCAATTTCCACTGGCACTTTTGTGGAAAGGAAGGCAGCAAAGTCGATCAAAGAATGACTTGTTTAAGTATCGCAAGGCGCTTGATGATCTGGATCCATCAAATGTAAGAGTTAAATCATTGTTTTCTTAGACATTTCTTTGCTTTGAAATCATTTTGATATTTTGTTACCACTGAAATCTCTTTTAGGTGAGTTGGTGCCCCTTTGAAGGAGATCTTGACATTGTGCCACAAAGTTTCAAAGATAATCTACTACTTGGAAGGTCCAGAACAAAATTGATTGGTCCAAAAGTAGTAGAATGGCACTTCCCAGATCGATGCATGAAGCAATTCGGTCTGTGCCAAGTTATCCCCGGAGAAGTTCCTCCCAGAAAAAACGAAAAGAACCATGACGAAGACTTAGTGGAAGATATGAACACAGCAGACGAAGAATGGATGAGACGAAGGGAAAACATTGTGGAGAATGAAGGGGGAAACGGTGATGAAAGTGAATATATGCAGTGGTTCAATAGCATCAGTGTCCCAAAGCTTCACAGAGATACAAGTCTTGAAGCTGATATAATGAACGTGGTAAATGCATCTTCTTCTTGGTTGATTTATGCGTAATCACTATGAACTTGCGCCTTATGCCATCGTTGTTTGTTTTTTAGCAAGCTGCTATACTACAATTCGACGAGGTGGCCTCAACGTTATCATTAGAGGATCTACATCCAGAGGAGAGAGAAGCAATTGAAGAAGCAGTGATGTCAATGTCCAATGCCTTGAGAGTAGGAGATTGGTACGAGGCATCAACAACAAATAAACGTAAGCGGAGAGAGGATCAACAAACGGACTGGAGCGAATGAAAAAAGGAAGATCCTTTCTTTCTTCTGGCTGATCAGTTAGTTTCGGCCATTCGCTTGGAGAAAGGAGATGTAAGTCCATCATCACTAGAGTTTACGCTTTAATAAGGATTCATAGACTCTGCTAACTATTTGACTGTAGAAGTAGAGATGTTGGTTTTGTATCTTAAAAGAGTACTAAAGAGGGTACATATATTTAAGAGAGGTTTAAAAGCTTTAAGGGATCTATTACAGATTAACATGGCAGCTGCAGATTTTTGAGAAATCAATATGTGCAGTTAATTTCATTCCAGCTCAAACAAGAGCATTAGATGAGAAGATACGGCTACTGTCGCACGTTAAAATCATGTCTGAAAACATTTTGCAAGGTGTTGTTCTAATCATAGTGTATATAAAAATTTATAATCAGGGTAGTCATTAATTGGATAAAGTAACACATAAGGTGTGTTTGATGTTCCTAAGTGAACGAGATACGATGAATATGGTAGTTCATAGTACATACTAACTATTACCACCATTTATAATTAAAAAAAAAAAAAAAAAAGCTAGTACGACTTCACGCATTAACTAGCAAACAAAAAGACTAGTACTATATCATCTTATGCTGAAGAAAAATAATTATTTGCGAGAATGAATGACCCAAATTGTACACTTTGCCTAGTATAATTGAGTTTATGTGATAGCATAAAAGAACATAACCAGTTTTTGTGTCATAAAAAGGATTTAATAATACTAGTGCTTTTTAGTAAATAAATTCCCTAAACACTGATTATACTAATAAAGGAAAAGAAGAAGCTGAAGTCAGCAAAACCCCAAAAGAAAAGTCAATTTTTGTCATTACACGATGACGACGTTGATAAAAAAAAAAGGCTCACTCGTGGATCAACAAAAGTAACCACCACCGGGGTATTTAAAAACCTCAGTTGATTTAAACATAACCGGAACTATAAAATCTTTCCGGAGCTATCATCAGTCTGTGTTTCCCTCGGGGAGAGAGAGGAAGTAGTACTTGGCATTGGCAGTAATGGAGAAAGAAGCAAGAGAATTAAAAACCCATAACCTCTCTCTCTTCTACCTCTGTCAAACGCCATTAAAAACCCATCAGTATCAGTTACGCAATTTCTCAAGGGAGACAGGTAAGAAGAGAGAGAGAGAGAGAGAGAGTGGTTTTGGAATCTGTAATGAATGTTAAAGGAGCGAAAGGTGGGAGAGAAGAGAAAATAGCACTAATGGCGGCTTATGATAGGCTCGAGATGAAATGAAAGGTCCATAGATCAATTACTCTCCTTTCTCTCTCTCTCTCTCTTCCCATCTTTACCAATTCTCTCTAGAGTTTAGAAACGAGCAAGGACCATAATTACGGATTTCAAATTTGGGGATTTTATGAGATTATCGTATACCAAATCTAGCCTTTTCTCCTCCCCCTTAAACATATTCTCTCAGATTCTCTTCCGTTTCGTTTCTTCTCTCTTCTTTTTAGACATCTTTTTTTTTTTTCATTTAGGGAAGAACAAAACTTTTTTCTTCTTCTTCTACTAGGTTGGCGTTAATGGTTACAGTTGTGTGATGGTCCAGAGTTAGTAAGTTTGGTTTTAAGGACGAGACACTGTTTTGTTCGTCTACTCTACACATTACTTTTGATGAACATGGAGTTTTTCGGTGACAGCCAAATTCACGACGGCTCTGAAACGGATAAGAAGAACAAGAAGAAGAAGCGGTTTCACCGCCACACACCTCACCAGATCCAACGGCTCGAATCGTATTAGCTCTTTTTCCTCAATGTTGTCTTTGTTTTTTTTTTTGGTTTGTTTCTCTTCTCTGATGATTTTGGGTCTTTGTTTCTAGTACTTTCAACGAGTGTCAGCATCCAGATGAGAAACAGAGGAATCAGCTTAGTAGAGAGTTGGGTTTAGCTCCAAGACAGATCAAGTTCTGGTTTCAAAACAGAAGAACTCAAAAGAAGGTTTGTTTTCTGCTAAAGTTTCTCTCTTTCTTGTTCTGTCTCCATCAAAAGTCTCTAATTTTTGCTTCTTTGTTGTTGTTCTGCAGGCACAACACGAGAGAGCTGATAATTGTGCACTGAAAGAAGAGAATGATAAGATTCGTTGCGAAAACATTGCTATTAGAGAAGCTATTAAACATGCTATTTGCCCCAACTGTGGTGATTCTCCTGTCAACGAAGACTCTTACTTTGATGAACAAAAGCTTCGCATCGAAAATGCACAGCTTAGAGATGAGGTTTTGGTTTTTCTGAGACATTTTTTTGATGCATTGTGATTGATTTTAGGGTTAAACCTCCATCAACATTTGATGTTTGTTTTTGCAGCTCGAAAGGGTTTCCAGTATTGCTGCTAAATTCATAGGAAGACCCATCTCTCATCTTCCACCATTACTAAATCCGATGCATGTTTCGCCATTAGAGTTATTCCATAGCGGTCCTTCACTAGATTTTGATCTTCTTCCAGGAAGTTGTTCTTCAATGGCTCTTCCTAGTTTGCCATCTCAACCAAACTTGGTTTTGTCAGAGATGGATAAGTCTCTTATGACCAACATTGCTGTGACCGCGATGGAAGAATTGCTTAGGCTTCTTCAAACTAATGAGCCTCTATGGATCACCACAGAAGGTTGCAGAGAGGTTCTCAATCTTGAAAGCTATGAGAATCTTTTTCCAAGATCAAGTAGTAATGGTGGAAAGAAGAATGAACTCCGAATGGAAGCATCTAGATCTTCTGGTGTTGTTTTCACTAATGCTTTGACACTTGTGGACATGCTCATGGATTCTGTAAGTCGTAACCCATTTCGAAGTTTTTATTTGTTCACATTCGTTTTCTTATTAGTCTCATGTAATTTTTCATTAATATGCAGGTTAAATCAGCAGACTTTTTCCCCACAATCGTTGCAGCATCTAAAACCCTTGCAGTGATTTCATCAGGATTTCGTGGAAACCATGGAGATGCATTACATTTGGTAAAAGAACATTACTTAGTGAAAGAGATGATCTTCTTTTCTGCGTATGAAACTTTTGATTAACTTTGCTTTGGCTTGTTTTAGATGATTGAAGAGCTTCAAGTGCTTTCGCCAATGGTAGCTACGCGTGAGTTCTGTGTGCTAAGATATTGTCAGCAAATTGAACATGGAACTTGGGCTATTGCAAATGTCTCTTACGAGTTTCCTCAGTTTGTATCTCAATCTCGGTCATATAGATTTCCTTCTGGTTGCCTGATTCAAGATATGTCCAATGGCTATTCAAAGGTAGGTGAACTTCCTGTTTGTTTCATTCTTTTAGCATCTCAAATCCTGTTATTGAATCGTTTACATAAACAACAACAGGTTACTTGGGTGGAACATGTTGAATTCGAGGAGCAAGAACCGATTCATGAGATATTTAAAGACAGTGTTCATAAAGGATTAGCTTTTGGAGCGGAACGTTGGATCTCTACTCTCCAAAGAATGTGTGAGAGATTCACGGAACCGGCAACATCATCCCTTGATCTTGGTGGAGGTAATTAAAGACATTTTTTAGAAATCTTAGTTGATCAGTTAATCAAACCTTAAGTGACCCATTTGAAATCAATTCAGTGATTCCATCGCCAGAAGGGAAGAGAAGTATAATGAGACTTGCTCACAGAATGGTAAGCAACTTCTGCTTGAGTGTTGGCACATCTAACAACACTCGCTCAACGGTTGTCTCTGGACTGGATGAATTTGCAATCCGTGTGACTTCGCACAAGAGCCTACATGAACCAAATGGGATGGTTCTATGTGCAGCCACCAGTTTCTGGCTCCCAAATTCTCCACAAAACGTCTTCAATTTCCTCAAAGATGAAAGAACTCGGCCTCAGGTACCACACAGATTTAACATAACAATAGAAACAAGAATCGTTTGGTGTTTTAAGACTGTTTAATCGCGTGATATTTTCTCCGGTTTATCCCTGTTTCGGTTTTATAGTGGGACGTTCTTTCAAATGGAAACCCTGTTCAAGAAGTTGCTAATATCGCAAACGGATCAAATCCTGGAAACTGCATATCGGTTCTTCGTGTAAGCCTACTCCAGTGGACACTATACATATATTTGGATTCTTGATTTTAATGATTGGAAAATTTGGTTCCTTTGTTTTCATCAGGGATTCAATGTATCGTCATCACAAAACAACATGCTGATCCTGCAAGAAAGCTGCATAGACTCATCAAGTGCAGCGCTTGTGATCTACACTCCAGTGGATCTACCAGCATTGAACATAGCAATGAGCGGTCAAGACACATCTTGTATTCCCATATTACCGTCGGGGTTTGCCATTTCACCAGACGGAAGCAGCAAGGGAGGAGGATCATTGATAACGGTTGGGTTTCAGATAATGGTGAGTGGTTTGCAACCGGCAAAACTGAACATGGAGTCAATGGAGACAGTTAATAATCTCATCAATACCACTGTCCACCATATTAAGACCACCTTGAATTGTCCTTCAACTGCGTGAGACGTCATTAAAAGCTATTTCCCCATCTGATTTCTGAGAAGGTCTTCAATGAGCAGAGAAGCGAAAGTCATTAAAAGTGTTTGTCTTCAATGCCTGCAAAGGGTGTAAGAAATCATTATTCTTCTGAGTTTCTCTTTCTCTTTCTCTCTCTCTCTCTCTAGTTCATTTTTTTTTTTGGCTTTTTTTATTTTTGAGTTTGGTGAAAAGTGGGAGTCAAGAACGCACCATGCACAAATGTCTTTTTGTATGGTTCGGGCATTGACTTCTGTTTGTTTGTTTTCTTACTTGTTTTTGTCTACAATAACTAAGTTACTATCATTGGTCTAGTTGATTTAACTTAGATTTTTTTTATCTATCACCATTAAATCTCTCTCCTCCCTCTATTACTATTGACTATTGAGTTAATTTGTTCATCAAACACGTTATGTTTGATTAGACGTGATGGAAGTGAAATGTTGTTACTTTCGAAATCAGAAGCACAATCAATATTATGGCAATTGATATACACAAAAAGAGAATAACAGATTTAACAAGCTCTTGCAGAATACATCAAATATATATTTGACAACATTATTACTCAAACTTATCAAATTAGTCGCTACTGGTCGATTTGACTTCTCTTCTTTGGTGCGGTACTGGATTACCTGAAACCGTTTTCACTCGTTTTATTGAATCAAATTATTAGCTTCGAACCGGAACAGTTAACATTGCAATACCGTACCGACGGATAAGTAAGCAAAATGGGCCGAGACCGAGATAAAATATATTAGGCCCATGGGCGAGGATTGAATATTCTGATGGGTAACTCTGATTAAGAAAAAAAAAAAGTGGCCGACACCGATTCATATCGCCGGCGGATATACAGATCTCCTCCACCTCACAATATCCGAGGAATATATAAACTTTGCCAACAAATCTACGTTTTTGCTCATTGACTTCGAAAACTGCTTAGCTATAAGTCAAAATCCCCATTTCTCGATCCCTCATCTTCTCTTACCATCTCGACAATGGCGGCCACCACAGGTTCCGGTACGTCAATTTTTAAATTTCATCTCTCTATAATTTATCTAGATTAGATTTAATGTTTCATGTGTAGTATTAACGAAAATCCTGTGGAATTGTGAATTTGAATGTTCGTGGAGAAACTTGAAACCCTCAGGTCTGTAATTTTTCTGGTAATTTTGTTCAGAAATGAAATCGGGTTCGTTCATGTCGGAGAAATCAGCTAAGATCTTTGTCGCTGGACACAGGGGATTGGTTGGATCCGCCATCGTCCGCAAGCTCCAGGATCAGGGTTTCACAAATCTCGTCCTTAGAACCCATTCCGAGCTTGATCTCACCAGTCAATCCGATGTTGAATCCTTCTTTGCTACAGAGAAGCCAGTTTATGTGATCCTAGCTGCAGCTAAAGTCGGTGGGATTCATGCCAACAACACATACCCAGCTGATTTCATTAGTGTCAATCTCCAAATCCAGACCAATGTGATCCACTCTGCTTATACGCACGGTGTGAAGAAACTCCTCTTCCTCGGCTCATCTTGCATTTACCCCAAATTCGCTCCTCAACCGATTCCTGAATCCGCTCTTCTCACTGGTCCTCTTGAACCGACTAACGAGTGGTACGCCATTGCCAAGATTGCAGGGATTAAGATGTGTCAAGCTTACAGGCTTCAGCATCAATGGGATGCCATCTCCGGTATGCCCACCAATCTCTACGGTCCAAATGACAATTTCCACCCGGAGAATTCCCATGTGCTTCCTGCCCTCATGAGGAGGTTCCATGAAGCCAAAGCCAACAATGCAGATGAAGTTGTGGTTTGGGGAAGCGGTAGTCCGTTGAGGGAGTTTTTACATGTTGATGATTTGGCTGATGCTTGCGTTTTCTTGATGGGTCGATACAGCGGATTTGAGCATGTTAATGTAGGCAGTGGTATCGAAGTGACGATCAAAGAATTGGCTGAGTTGGTGAAGGAAGTTGTTGGGTTTGAAGGAAAGCTTGTTTGGGATTGCACCAAACCGGATGGAACACCGCGGAAACTGATGGACAACTCCAAGCTCGCATCTTTGGGATGGACTCCGAAGATTTCTATGAAAGATGGTCTCTCCCAAACTTATGAATGGTATTTGGAGAATGTTGTGCAGAAGAAGCAGTAAAAAACCGCCCAAACTCAACGCTATTCGTTCTCTGTACACGTGAATGTTTATGCGTTTGCGTTTTGGTTCTATACAAAGCTCTCTCTCTTTAATGTAATTCTATTATATTCATGGATTTTAAACCCGTGCAAATTCAGCAAACTTTATATTGGAATAATCTAGCGGGCCAAACTTTTCTTTATTTGTTTTAAATTCAACTTTCTTTTAAATTATTAAGATTATACAATATGAAGCTTAACTAAATGAGTTCTATTCGACATATAAGTTTGTGTTATTAAACAAAATTTTAACGAAATTTTAACTTGTTATGAAGTAATATTTAAACTCCTCCCATCATACAATTTATCATATATAGTATAATTTATTTTCTAAGGAAATATAGATAATTAAAATTCTTTTATTCTTCATGCCTAGCTTAGCCTTTCCAATTTTTAATACTTTAATGAGTAGATAATATTATATTATTTGTTTCTATAAGGATTTTATTTTGAAAGTTCACAGGATCATTCTTATTAATCCCTAGAGATCATATTCCATATAAGATGATTAAGAAAATCTCACATTCAAGGAATGTAATAGTTTTGTACTCAAATGATTTAATTAGAAGTTTTGACCAAAAAAATATTGAAACGGATATTTTAGAGATACGGTGTTGCATATACGTGTGTATATATATACCCAAAGAGATGTAGTATACTGCATAACATTATTATTAATTCGCATCAAATTAATAAAAATAATAATGAGGACGATGAAAACAAGTGATGTGTTTGTAGTAGTTCTCGTTCTCTTCACTTTAATAAGTGAGTGTTTCCAGCTAAATGCATTTATATGATTTCCATGTTACATTGGAGATTAGGTTTTTTTTTTTTGTAATTCCAGTAACTACATATAAGATGTATAAAAGATATATAAAATTTTGCAGGCATGACGTTGGGAGGGACGATTAAGGAAGTGGAAGCAGTGAGAAGTGTGAAAGAGTTGGAAAATGTTGGTGCTCCTTACAACATCAAATTGATTTGGAGTCGTCATTGTAAATCGCGTTTCCCTTGCATGTTTTATTGTTTTGCTAAAAAGTATCTTACTTATAAATGTGTTCATGGTCTATGTGTTTGTGAGTAGTGTACAACTCATAATGATGAGTGGTATATGTGTTTTATGACGTACGGCAACAATAAAATAAAGTGTGCTCTCTTGTATTAAACTCCATTTTTTTTTTTTTTGGTGAACTTTAATATGTATTAAACTCCATAAAAAATACAAAAATCGCAGAGAATGAAAATTCAGATGGGTAAGGCAGACATCTTTATCCAAAGAGAGAACCAGCATGCAGCAGCTAAGAGCTGGGCAGTAGTGCTCAGTATCATATTCAGCCATTACATTATTTTTTTTTCTTTTTAAATCATATATAATCCCGATCGAACTGAGAGTTAAACAATACAATTTAAAGGGATTTGTGCATAAAGCTTGGAAATGGTCTCAAGCACCAAAATAAACATCGTTTAAGCTGACACTAAAATACAAAAATTCTAAAAGGTTCGATGCATTTATGCAGGACTGATGTTTTATATATGCTTCGAAAAACATTATATGATTCTTTAAAATCATGCATAAAATTTTGATATTAAAAAGAAATCCTTGGTGGAAAATGGGAAATATGTGACAATTGTGCTTTAACTCACAATCAGGTCATGTGTCAGTAATCGTCCAAGAAACTAACCTTGTTTTCAGCCATTTCGTTGAACACCCGATGGAAACTTGTGAGATTTTTGAAATTCTGGTTAGCGAGTTATCGTTTGGTACGCTCGGGTGAATGATAATATTTATCAGGCCAGCTTAAATTGGGCCTATGGGTTAGGGTAATGATTGGGCCATGATTATAATCAAGCCTTGCTATACGATCCAACGGTAGGGACTGAGACATTTTTATGCAACTTATGATATACACCGTTGGATGAAGAGACGAGCTTGGCTCCGAATAGCATATAGTTAAAAGGGCAAAACCCTCCAGCGCCGCCCGCGTCTCTCTTCTGTTTTTCGTTTTCTTGTTTTCTTATCTCCTTACACTCTTCGGAGAAGGAAGAACCCTAATCTCAAGGTAAATCCACCCACTGTATTGCCCTTTTTCCTTTTCTTTTTTGATTTTGTAAACGGGTCAAGCTCAAACTTCAGATATATCTTATTTATTGGTTCATTTTGGTTCTTTATGGATTTTAGGATTAGTTGTGCCCGTGTTTTGAAATTTATGGGAGATGATCTTTACTGTTTTTAACTTCTTTGAGTTTGATTGGGGGATTTGATACCTAATTGAATGATAAAGTTGAATACTTAATTAGGTTTAAAGTAATAGTAACATTAGCGCATCTGAATTCGAGTTTTGTCGGCGCTTTTCAGCCTTGTTATACTTCTTCTAGTCACTTTAAGTGTTGTTACAGAGGGTGCTCTCAGTAGGTTTTGTGAATGTAGTAACCATAGTTTTATCATTAATTTAACCTCTCTTTGATGTGACTTGGGGATTGATGGATTTTACTTATGATTTGTATACAGATGAATCGTGAAAAGTTGATGAAGATGGCTAACACCGTCCGCACTGGCGGAAAGGGTACAGTCAGAAGGTACAAATATTTTATCTATCAATTTAATAGCTCAATACTTTGCCTATAATTTGGTTGATGTTATAAAACCATTTTGATATTACTGCAGAAAGAAGAAGGCTGTGCACAAGACCAATACAACTGATGACAAGAGGCTCCAAAGCACCTTGAAGAGAATTGGAGTTAACTCCATTCCAGCAATTGAAGAAGTTAACATCTTTAAGGATGATGTTGTTATTCAATTCATCAACCCCAAGGGTAAGTCTCAGTTTACGTTTGCATATGTCACCAGAATTTGTAATGCCTTTTTTTCTTTCCATTTCACTATCCATTGATTCTCTCTGAATGTTACTACAGTTCAAGCTTCGATTGCTGCAAACACATGGGTTGTTAGCGGTTCTCCTCAGACCAAAAGTATGCATCTGATCATCTTTTCATCTCTATCTTCTTGTTTCTTCTTCATTGCCTGTTCACTGATTGATGCAAAACTTGTTTACTTGCAGAATTGCAAGATATCCTTCCTCAGATTCTCAGCCAACTCGGTATGAACCATGTTATTATACTTTAATTCAAGATATATATGTTTCTTTCCCAAATCAAAGATATCTTAAATATATGTGTATTTTGAAAATTTTCAGGACCAGACAACATGGACAACCTAAAGAAGCTAGCAGAGCAGTTCCAGAAACAAGCTCCTGGTGAAGGTAATGCCTCAGCAACCATACAAGAGGAGGATGATGACGATGTCCCAGAGCTAGTTGGAGAGACATTCGAAGCTGCTGCTGAAGAGAAAGTACCAGCTGCTGCTTCTTCTTAGAGAGGAAAAGAGCGAGACCACATCAAAAAAAATGAACCGCACTTTGATTTTTACATATCTTTATAATATGTTTGTTCGCTCGATCGTTTTTGTAGTTTCCGACCAGAATCTTGTTTCCCCTCTAATGACTTAAGGTTTTATCCAATTATTTGATGTCTTGAAGCCCCTTTTATTACAGCGAATCAGGTTCTCTCTTCAACTCTTCTTCACGGTGTGGATTGGATTTGATGTTGACACATTACATTGTCTTGTTGCATAAAACCATTCCACCTGTATTGTTTGAGTTTCTTCTCAAACTTTCCAGACATTTCACCCTTCTCTCTACAAATTCTTTCTCAGAGTCATGTCTCTTCTTTGTGAAATCTCAATCTTTGTGATTTTTTGGAAAATATGGCTTCCCTCTTTGTATCTACTCCCTCTTCATCTTCCTTAACTCTCAAACACTGTCACAATTCGCGTCTTCGTCGCTGTAACAGACCATTACCTCCGAAACTTGTGAATCAGACGTACCGAACGAGACACAGGAGTCTTTTGAGATGTTCAGCGGAAAATGATCAAGTTCGTGAATCTAGTAACGAAGCTCCGTCTCCGGTGGCGATAGCGGAGGAGCAAAATGAGAATCACCCGAGCGAAACTGCGCCGTCTCCACCAGATATCAATGAAGAGGAGGAGGAGAAGAAATCGAAGCAGCAAGAGATTGATTGGAAGACGGACGAAGAGTTCAAGAAGTTTATGGGGAATCCATCAATCGAAGCTGCGATAAAGCTTGAGAAGACGAGAACTGATCGTAAGCTGAGAGAGCTGAACAAGGAAAGCAACAGTGAGAATCCGATCATCAGAATTTTCAACAGCTTGGCTCGTGACACTTTGACTAGAGAGAAAGAAAGGCTTGAGAAAGCTGAAGAGACTTTCAAGGCTCTTGATCTAAACAAGGTAAATGGTTCATTTCTATATCTATACGCCATGATGATTCTTATGTGTTTTGTTGGGAATGCCTCGTTTTTGAAAGTGTTTTGTGATGATGATGATGGACAGTTGAAGAGCTGTTTTGGGTTTGATACGTTTTTTGCTACGGACGTTCGTCGGTTTGGAGATGGAGGAATCTTCATTGGAAATCTGAGAAAACCCATTGATGAAGTCACCCCTAAGCTTGAAGCAAAGCTATCGGAAGCAGCCGAGCGTGATGTGGTTGTGTGGTTTATGGAAGAAAGATCCAATGAGATCACAAAACAGGTAGAATAAGGCCTTCCAAATTCTCTGACTTTGATGACTTTATTTCAGGATTAAGGCTAACGATATTAAGTTCTTTGTTCTTTGTGTGCTTGTAAAGGTGTGTATGGTGCAACCAAAGGCGGAAATCGATCTACAATTTGAATCAACTAGATTAAGCACTCCTTGGGGATATATTAGTGCAATTGCTTTATGTGTTACAACCTTTGGAACCATAGCGCTTATGAGTGGCTTTTTCCTTAAACCCGATGCCACTTTTGATGACTACATTGCTAATGTAGTTCCTCTTTTTGGCGGGTTTCTCTCCATCTTAGGCGTCTCAGAGGTAAGCTGAAGCAAATCAAGAGAGCTAGCTCCAGATTGTTATGTTTTATACATGTCACTAAACCTGTTAGTTGTTTGTTTCAGATAGCAACCAGAGTAACTGCTGCGCGACACGGTGTTAAATTAAGCCCCTCGTTTCTGGTGCCATCGAATTGGACTGGTTGCTTAGGAGTTATGAACAACTACGAGTCATTGCTTCCTAACAAAAAGGCGTTATTTGACATCCCAGTAGCGCGTACAGCTAGTGCATACCTGACTTCGCTGCTTCTTGCAGCTGCCGCGTTTATATCTGATGGTAGTTTCAGTGGAGGAGATAATGCTTTGTAAGGATTCAGTAGATGAAACTGAACTTTTTTGTGTCTGTTTCTATGCAGTTTTGTGTATCTGATTAGTTTTTAACGTTTTGTATAGGTATATAAGGCCACAATTCTTTGATAACAACCCATTGCTTTCGTTTGTCCAATTTGTTATTGGTCCCTATGCGGATGATCTTGGTAATGTGTTGCCTAACGCTGTTGAAGGAGTTGGCGTTCCTGTTGACCCACTTGCCTTTGCTGGTCTTTTGGGTAAATTTCATAACTTTTGTTGGTTTCTATTATTAGTTTCTTATCATTTTCTAAACCACATTTAATTATTTTCAGGTATGGTAGTGACATCGTTGAACTTATTACCATGTGGAAGACTCGAAGGAGGTCGAATCGCTCAAGCCATGTTTGGAAGAAGCACAGCTGCCATTCTCTCATTTACAACATCACTCCTTCTCGGTATCGGAGGCCTCAGCGGAAGTGTCTTATGTTTAGCTTGGGGGCTATTTGCAACCTTCTTTCGAGGTGGTGAAGAAACACCTGCTAAAGACGAAATCACTCCTCTAGGTGACGATAGGTTTGCTTGGGGTATAGTCCTTGGACTCATATGCTTCCTCACTCTCTTCCCCAATAGTGGAGGTACTTTCTCCACTTCATTCTTCAATGGACCATTCTTCCGTGGTGATGATTTCTAAAGATGTAGATTAATTAAGTTGCAGAAACAAGCAGTGAAAAGACTTCTTATTTATTAGTAATGGGTGTTACAGAAACATTGTAAATATTTTGTGGAATTTCGTTGTATCTATGCTCTTTTAAACATAACCTTTAATGGAACTTCACTCAAAGCAAGTCTTCTCATTCCATCTTGCACAAACACTCCAACGTCTCTACAGATGACTTTGCAGAAGTTGCAGACTGTAGGACAAAACCTGATCTTGTAATCTTTGTCAAATTTGTCGATCTTGAACCAGTTACTAACCGTTGTCAGACCCGGATTCCCTTCAACGCCACAAGTTGAAATGAAGGATTGACTCGTGGTCTCGTCGAAATTGGCTAATTCCCAGATCGAAGTTTGAGAGAACTTGATGTTTTGATCAGTTGAGACACGGACGATTCTTGATTTGTCAAATGGTGAGAATTTTAAAGGTAGGCCTTGAGAGACTTCGAATCGGGCTTGGATCACACTTGTCCGACATGTTTTATTCTCAGGTTTGGACATGGTTAGTCCTCCGCCGCGGCCGCGAACTACAGGCAAGATGTAGTAGTTGTAGCCTGCGAGGAGAGGTTTTCCATTGATGTCCTTTACTGCTTCTACTGCAGCTTCGGTGGTGGCTCCACAGTGGCTGATGAAGACGGCGAAGAGGAGGAAAATAGAGAGAAGTGATGACATTGTAGGAAGTTTTCTTTTTATGGAAACTTTTAAGTATGAATTGGATTGTAAAAGAGAGATGAGAAAAGAGTTTCTATTTATAAAGGTAAGCTAAGCCAGACGACGTATCTATGAAAAGTCAAAGTCAAACTACATCTGATTTTGGTTAAATGCGCGCTGTATTATATGAGTTTGTGGTCGAGCATATATGATAAACTTCATTGACATGTTTATAATGTTATGGTCAAAGCTTCACGACGTCATCTTTCGATCACCCGTGACGAAATCGCTTTCGTTGACTAAGTAAGCTGTCAAAAATGTAAGTTTAGATAAGATTTGAAGATTGTTAAAACCGACAAAAAGTTTAAATTTAGATTTCGGATTTAAATTTAGGTTGAAATTATTTTTCTTATTTTTTCGTAATATAAAATATGAAAATGGGCTTGAGTTGGGCTTAAGGCCTCAGATAATATAAATGTCCAAAGATTGAAAATGTAGTTTATTTACCGCAACGGAATATGCTGCTTCTTCACCCGCGAGAAGATAATGAGAGCTTCGCCGGCGGCAATGCTCTCACTCTCCTTAACTATTCCACTACCTCTCACTTCAACCAAAACTCCTTTTTCCGACCAATCTTTTCTATTCAAACATTATTCTTGGAACAATCAGAGCTTATCGCGACTAGGACATCTCGTCTCAGAGAAACCTAGCAGAAGATGGATCTTCTCCTGCAAATGCCGAAACAGAGGAAGAAATAGCTACGCCAAATTTGATAATGAAGGAGAAGATTTCATTGTTGTAAACTTCTATCGGTTTGTGTCAATCGAAGATCCCGAAGCTGAGATTGACAAGCACTTCTCCTTCTTAAAGGTCCGTCTTTTAAGAAATGTGAATTGTCATGTTGTTCGAAAAATCATAAATTGATAGATTTTTTTTCAGAATATGATCCTGAAACAGCCTTGGAATTGTTAGCGTTCCTTGTCTTGGTTCAAAGTTTGAACCTTTTCCTATGGTTTTTTCGCCTTTCAGGATTTGAATATACGAGGTCGGATATATCTCAATGAACAAGGAATTAACGCGCAGGTACCAATTATCATTTTGTAATCACGCATTCAGCTTTGAATTACTCTTCTCTTCCACCCAAACTATATGAGAATGCCTGCATATTTATGTGACTATATCAAACTTTGTCGTGTGTTAACTGCTGTAATTCTTGTTTCCTGCAGTACAGTGGACCATCTAAAGATGCTCTTGCATATGTTGAATGGTTGAAAGAAGATGATAGATTCTCGGATTTGCTTGTACAGATGTCTCCTGCTAATAATGGGCATGCGTTCCCTAAGTTAAAGTTACAGAACAAACCCTCCTTAGTCCAGGCAAGCTACATTCCATAACACCATTTTAAATATATGGTTCAAAATGGGCATATATAGTGCGTGATAATGCAATATCTTGAAATATGGTGTCAGATTACTTAACATTAGTTGCGTTTCTTTTCTCCTTTAGTATGAGGGGGGAATCTCACACCTTCCCTTACTTGATCCACCAATGCGAGCAAAACCTTTAGAACCATCTGAATGGAAAAGGAAACTGGAAGGCTTAGCGGATGATGATGAAGCATCACCTTCAAGTAGTCGCAGAACCTGCATATTATTGGATGTCAGAAATGGTATTTCATTTTCCTTTATATCCGTCTACGGTAACAAGAAAAAAATCTTTATTTCTCTTATTATCTAGTATCTCCATGACTGATCATTAGTTTTTCTATTATTTGTGTTTTGTTGTCCACTTTATTTCCAGTTGTGAACATGTGTAGTTGTTTGTGATTCTTAATGGGCGTCACATATTGCCCAAATTAGACTTACTGGTATTTGGAGAATGGAGATGATAGATATCTGATTTGAACAGGTTATGAGTGGGATGTTGGTCATTTTCGTGGGGCACCTAGACCTGAAGTTGATTGCTTTCGGAACACTTCTTTTGGTCTATCTGATGAAAAGGTACAATCATCCTATTCTGTGGCAGCTGAAAATTTCTTATTAACAACCTGTAGATTAATAGAAAGTGATCAGACATGTCCCTTATGTAGGTTACCTATTTTAAAGTACTAAAGGTAACAATATCTAACAGTGAATAATATTGACTATGCCTCTACACTATAGGAAGCTCCTTCAGACCCTTTGATAAATGTTGACAAGGAAAAGACAGATATACTGATGTACTGTACTGGAGGTATACGTTGCGATGTATATTCAGCAGTTTTGAGGTAGCACTGCGGCCTTCTACTCCTGCATTATCTTACTAACATCTCCTCGAGATTTTTTTTCCCCAAATAACTTTTTTGTGAAAAGTCTCTTTTCAGACAGCGGGGTTTCAAAAACTTGTATACACTGAAGGGTGGAGTTTCACATTATCTTAAAGAAGAAGGCACAGCTGAATGGGTTGGAAATCTGTTTGTGTTTGACTCTCGTCTCTCTCTCCCACCAGCTACCTACTGTAACAATGCCGTGGATGAAGCCATAAAAACTCCAGAAACACCTGTAGATACAAGTTTTGCAAGATGCTATATTTGTGATTCTCAAGTTCAGGAACTAAGACATCGGAACTGTGCTAACCTTGACTGCAACCGGCTTTTCTTGTGAGTTGCATAATGGCTTATACTTTTCATCCTTATATGTCTGTCTATTAACAAGTAGTATGATTTACAAAATTTAGATTTTGAAGGACACAGGCTTGTAAGTTGCCATTGCTTTACTAAACTTACCTGTATCTTCGGTTCAGATGTTGTGCAAAGTGTGTCGACAACTTGAAGGGATGTTGCTGTTCAAACTGCATTTCTGCTCCCAGACTTAGACCTGTCTTGCAGGGAGTAAAGAGATATGAAAAATGGCATGTATATCGTGATTCGGAAGTGCAAAATGCACCATTGGTTTGATCATGTTGAGAGAGGCTAGTTATGCCAGGCTTGTCACTTAAACATGGACAAGTGAAGAAACATCACACAGAAAAAGCAGAAGAGTGCTGAGGCAGAAGCAAATGAAGTTAACCAAAAGCATACTCCAGGAAGAACTACTAGTCATTCTTTGATATTCTTGGGTGTGAAATTTGTCAGAACTCAATTTTCATTTCAACATGTACAAACAAAGCTTGCAGCAATTCGCAACTTAATATACAAGCTGTAATTGCAGCACAATGCAAACTGTATAATGCAACAAGATGACGCTTGTTACTAACAAAGTAGAAAAATAAATGTAGTGATTATTTTAGACAAATCCGTGGTTTAATATTTCTATAACTAACACACTCAACTTTCTCTGCTCTCACATTACACTGAGTTTTGATATTGCAGGCCTAGTGAAATATGGTACAATCTCAAAACTCTACCATCTGCGAGCTCCATCAGTTCGTGTACCAATGTAATTTCTCAGAGAAGGGGACTGGGTAAGACCATCTGGTGCAACTGTTGTGTTCTGAGTTCCATTTTTCTGCTTCATCCTTCTGCGTGCTATGTACCCTCTGACCCAAGGAGTAACATCCTCGTTGGTCTTAATCATGATGAAGAAAATGATGCGGTAGATGATAATCATGCTAAGAATCACACTGAGATCAATCCATTTTGATCGGTGCAAGTCGATCTGAAAGACGTTCTCCAGAACGTATTCACCCGGAATCTTGAAAGCACTCCCCTGACTGTCAAACATCAAGCCTCTCAGATCATTTTGGTACTGACCCTGGAGAACAAGCAAAACAAAAGAATATTAGCTCTCTGCTATTACGGTCACATGAAGATGAGCTGATATGAATTTTTTTTCTTGTTTCAACAATATTTACTTGTAGAGCCCAGAAGTGGAAGCTGATGTATGACATTGGATAACGCCAGAAAGGTTTGGGGATATCATTTGGAAGCCTGAAGAATCCTGAAACCAGCATGAAGATCCCCTGAAACAAAAGGGAAAGACAAACAGAATTAGGAAGAGCTTCTCTTCTGCTTTTAGAAAGAGGGAAAGGATGAAAATAACTAAAAGGTCTATGATGAATGGTTTGGTAGAGCACCTGAATTCCAGCTCCGATGATGATACCCATGAGAAAGTTGGGAACAATACTAGCTATGGCCATCATTAAGCTCTCCACAACGGTGACACTTGCATAGAGGCAGAGAACAAAGAAGAGGTAGTGTGTAAATCCTGGATGCAGACCCACCATGAAGTAACAGATTGTCCCGGAGATAAAAGTTATCATGATCAGAAATGGCGTTGCCGATAATGTGTTGGCTATCACAAAAGCAGCTACTCCATAGTGCCCATTTAGTCTCTCCCTTTGGAATACCTGCAGTCAGTTTCAGTTTAACAAAACCGTTTGGTTCATTTCGGTTTGCGCAAGAAAACTGCAGGAGTGGCTAACTAACCTTCATGTCTTCAACAAAAGAAGGAAATCCACCAATTGACATGAAGGTTACAAATCCAAAGACAAAGGACGCGCATGAGCCCCGTGCCTGATTTCACAAACAGCAAGACAGATACGGTGAGAGGTAAGATAAACACTTGCTCTACTTTGTGTTTGAGTTGTTCTCTTATAGATGATATTAGCAAGTACCAGAATGGCGCTGTAGCTTGTCCCAACGTTCAGATATATGGTTCCAATGCAGATAGTGACCAAGATGTAAATAAGAAGTCTGAGCCAATAGTATCCAAAGTCCCTTGACATGTTGATGAAGGATCGCTTAGTTAGAGTATAGGTCTGCAGAAGAAAACTAGCCTGACTGCCTCCAGAGTCAAGAATAGTCCCTTTCTGTAAACAAAAAAAAATAAACGAGGAAACAGTTTAGAGAGATCAGGTGACACGTCTTAACATCAAACAAAATCTGAGGAAAGTAATGCATAGTACTTACAAATTGGGATATCTCCTCAACTTTAGCCTTTGCTGTGAAGTAGTAGTCAGAAGTGTGGTAATGGTCAACCAAGAGCCTAATAGCTTCAGTTGTGGTAATTTTCTCCAACGGATCGTCGCTTGCTTCGAACTGGGAAGTAGATAAACAAGTCCATCAGCAAATGAGACTTGCTATGAATTGAAATCAGTTAAAAGGGAAGGTTTTCAGTACCCTTAGCTTCATAGAACCTTTCAAAGTGGCTCTAACTTTGTCAAAGTCTGAGTTTATGCATCTCAGGAAATGATCAGAAGGGTTCCTTAAAGCAGGACATGGAAACCCAGCTTGTGCAAAGAACTGCAATCAAAAGCAAAAAACTCGGATTAGTTTCCATGGTATCTTCAGAGAACCAGATATTCTTTTTGGTTTAGGTTTCTTGCCTCATATGCATCTGAAGCTTGACCAAAGTAAACTGTTTTGCCTCCGGAAAGCAGATACAACCGATCAAACAACTCGAAAACCTCACTGCTCGGTTGATGGATCGATGCTATCACCGTCCTTCCATCTCGTGATAATGCACGCAACGTCTGAGTCACAAAGAATGCAGACGCACTACACAGAGGAAAACCGAAACAGGCATCAAGCTTAATAGCAGTTAAGAGAATCGGAAAATTGAAGGAGCTGTCTGAAACACTTTTTACCTATCAAGACCACTTGTTGGCTCATCAAGAAAGAGTAAACGAGGTCTCATGAGAATCTCCAGAGCAATACTGACTCGTCTCTTCTCTCCACCACTAATTCCACGCAAATGCCAGTTTCCTATAACAGTATCTGCACAATCCTGAAGACCCATCTCTATGATTGTCCTCTCCACAAGAGAACGCTTCTCTGACCGCAACATCTTGTCCGGAAGACGAACTCTCGCTGAATACCAAATAGTCTCTCTCACAGTTAACGTACCAATCAAGTTATCGTCTTGTGTCACATATGCCTGGCAATTAGACTCAGATTCGTCAGAAAAAAATGAGCAAAAACAATACTTGTACACACAAAAAAATATAAAACAAGATTACTTTGTTTGTTTTTTTGTGTTTTTTCTCTTTTGTAAGAAACTATGAATAGCTAAGCTCCAAAATCCAAGAACATTCTTATATATCAGACCAAGACAAAATAATGTAAGCTAACTGAAACCTATGCATAAAGCATATGTACGTTTGAAAGATTGTAACCTTTTTCGAATAAAGTTGATCAAATGTTCCTAGTTGTGTTTTATATACAAAATTAAGTTGAAAAATTGCTGAGAAAGATTTTTAAGGGTTATGCATAAAAAAAGATAATACTAACAGCAGTTCCAAAGGAGAGTTTGGTTTTCCGGCCGTTGAGAAGAACGGAGCCGGAGAGGAAAGCGTTAGCGGCGAGGCGGCTGGCGAGAGCGTCGAGCATAGTTGATTTGCCAGAGCCGGAAGGACCCATGAGAGCGGTGAGAGATCCTGGTTCAGCGTAGCCGGTAAGACCTTCTAGAACGTTTTGAGTCTCACCATCACCCATAGTAACCATGACCGTCAGATCTTGCCACGTAAGCCTCGCGGAGACGTCTCCGACAAACTCGGTCGGAGCTTTTTCTCTCCATATGGCTTCACTCAAGGGACTTAAACCACCAACCGGAAAATTGCCTCCGCCGACCGAAACCGGTACGGTGGTTTGTTGTCTGCTTGCTTCAATCTCCATGTCTGAAACCGAAACAGAGGATATACTTTGTGTGTTTCTTGAAAGAAGGAAAGAAAAAAAAAGGAAGAAGAGAGAATCCGAGAAAAGGGGTTTTGTCCAAAGGAAATGGAAAAAGTGTGAACTGATGATATATGAAAAAAAGGGGAGTTAATGAAACAAGTATAAGTAGAAGAAATGCAGGGGAAAAGAGTTCAGAGAAACAGAGTCATGAGAATATTGCATGAAGAACAACAAACTTGGACTCGTTTCTATTCTCATGAACAATTGAATGACTGAAACACAACAAACACTTCTCCTTCTCCTTCTTGGTTTTTTTTTTTTCTAATATATCTACAACACAAGATAATGAGAGAGTTTTTATTTATTTATTTATTTGGTTTTGTTTTGGAAAGAAAGAAGAAAGAAGAAGAGAAAAAAATCTTGAATCGAACAAGAAATGAGATAGTTATGAATAGGCCTAGTTATGAAGACAGCAAGAAGATGGTTGGGAGAAGAATTGAATGAAAAGAAAAAGAAAATAAGAAAATAAAGAAGAAGAAGGAAGTAGTAGCCAGTAGCCCCAGTAGGGTCCAAATTATGTGTTTGATGATGTGGTGAATTTTCATCTTTTTTTTTGGTTGTGGTTGCATTTATTGTGTAAGTCTGGTAGTCGATAGAAGTTTGCATTTAGTAATTGAATAGACCACCACCCCCCTCAAACCAAACCAAATCTGACCTCCTTCTTTTTCTTATATATAAATATATAATTTGGATACTTTCATTACTTGATTGACCGTTATATTTTTTTGATATCTAATGGTTAATAATACTTAATACAGTAGTAACGAATTATCGAAAGGCCAAAAGGGTTCTAGGTAGATGTAGTCGTCGTCATGAAGGAAGCATCTCAGACTCAGAGAGGAAAATAATATGACGACGGTGAATATATATATAATATATTTTGGTGTACAAGTTTGTTTATTTTAATTAGTTCATCGTCGTCCGCTATGTGTTTTGGTCTAGTATGAGACGTATGACTGACTATATATGTATGTATGATACAACAATAATAATTTGTCTTTCTAATTAATTATAAAGCATGCATGCATAGTGTGTGTGTACGTAAATGCTGAAATATTGTTGACAGATAAGTGCCGAAATATTAGAAAAGGAAGGAGTACAAAGTCTGTCTACTCTTCATTTGTTGGGTACTTGTTAGCAAGCAGAGAGTAATAATGACCCTTGATGGCCATTCTACTTCGTAGGTCCATTTTTCTTCATTATTGATAAAACCAAAAATAAATCAAGTTTGTATAAGATTTTATATATATTCTTTTAAAAAATCTATTTATGGCCACATACACCTTTTAGTTCTAGAATTGTTTCAACTAATAGAAATTTATAAATATTTTCACACTGTTAGACATTCATACTTTTGATGATTCAGAGAGAGAATACAGGCATATTTATTTATACACCTTGCAATTAAAACGAATGTACCCAATTAAGTTCTGTCTCTTTGATTTCAGATTCATGACGCAGACGACCAAGACGCATACTCACATAAAACTTTTATATTGGGCTAAAATGTTTTATAAAAAACGTAATGGAATCCAAGCCCAAATACAAAAATGGAACGTAATATACTGTATTAATGGATCCTTCACCAATTAGGCCCACTAATTGAATTCTCGTTTTTCCCAAAACACAATTTTTCCTTCTTTTTTTTTGGCATTTTGTTTTAAACTATTGAATCAGTCTTTACAGTAACAAAAAAAAAGAGACGAATACAGTGATGAGTTTGGTGACAAAAATGGATAAAATAAAATAGATTTATATAGCTATATAGAGACTAATTATCAAGCTAAGCAAAAGTTAAATCACCGTAGAAAGACATGATAAATTAATGCATTCGTAACACCCAAAAAAAAAAAAATGATTAAGAAACGAGGAAAAGGACGAGAAGAACCCAAAACACGTGGCTCTAGCAATCTAAAAGAAACCACTTTACTGTTAAATTAGTTCCTGATATAGTGTAGTAATTAAAAACGTGCAATACATCTAATTTGTTAACTCGGTAAATATATATATATATATATATATATATATGGCTAGTAAATTATTAAACGAGAGTAGATGATGATAGAATGAATGTTGCAAGGGAAAAGACAAGATAAGGAAGAAAACAAAAGAGAAACAAAAAACGCGAGAGACCGACGCAGCTTCAATCATCGACATGTGGCGACCAGATCAATTCATCTCAATCTCTTTCACACAGTTACAGTTACAGTTACTGAGTGTCTCTGGTTTCTTCTTTCAATCTTTCTTCTTCTTTCAATGATCATAATATATCACTTCTTTCAAAATTTTAATCATTTGTAAGAAAATACAAAAAAATGACGACTGTAAAAAGCTCGTAAACCTTTTTCCCTTACACCACAATACGTTCCTTGTATGGCAAACGTATCATATTTCTTTGGTCTTGTTTTATAAGGTGATGCTTTGATGAAAATCTAAAAAACGGAAAAAGTTGCGGATTTTTTCATTTTTTTAACGAGGCTTAGCTAAACTAGTATTTTTATCTTTATTTTGGAAACATATGTTCACTATTTACCACACAACAGTAAAAAGATTAACGATAAAAGTTACTAAGTTAGAAGGGAGGTGAAATGCTAAATTACCTAACAAGAGAAATAGATTACGACAACAAGAGTGAAAAAGACAGAGGAGAGAGAAGCTCTTTGGTCGTGTTCGTTTTTTTTTTGTTTCTTCTTCTTCGTCCTGCAATAAATAATAATAATAAATAGAAGCAAATCATACTCCAAAAACCTTCATTCAAGCTCTGTTTGCTAGTTGCTCTAATACTTCTTTGGTTTTGTTATTTTTTTCCGCCCATATAATTCATCTAAAGTTCAATAAACTCATCTACGCTTTTTGTTTTTTTTTTCTTTAAGAGAGGTAGTTTTTATTATATAACAAAAAAAACTCATAAATACGCTGTGTAAAAAGAGTGAGAGATGGAGAGAGAGAGAATGTGGTGGTGGTCATCGTCGTCGACAAAACTCCGATCAAATCTTGAGAGATTTCTTATCGGAATCACTCCAATCCCTCCTTCTTTCTCTTTATCACAGGTACCTTTTTTTTTTTTGTTTACCTTTACTAATAATTATTATATAAAAAAAAGCTAATTGTTTTTGTTCGTAATTTTCTTTATATTGGTGTTATTTTATATTTTTTCTTCCGAGAATCATTTTTTTCTATCAGCTAGTAGTCATTTTAGTACATTTTCCCCCAAATTAATCTCCTGTTTAGATTACATATCGACAGAATAAATTACTATTAAAATACAGTTTGTTGGTAAGATCTTGCAATAAAAGGACTAGATAAAATCGAGTATTTCATGGCATTTCGTGAAGTTTGCTTTCACCACGTGGAAACCTTACGACAGCTATTTCAATTTGTGTATTGAAAATAAAATATATATATAAGTTTGAATATTCTGAAGTACTAAGGTATATCCTGTGAATGTGTCTTCTTCATCTATATACCAATTAGATTACTATCGCTTTCAGCAATTATTGTAATTATATGTGTGGTTAATTGCTTGTGTGGTGTATACCAATTAGATTACTATCGCTTAGATATTATTATCAACAGTTTTGTATTTTTTTAAGTGGGTCTAATTAATGATTCTCATTAGGGATTTTACTGTCTAATACTACTAAGTATAAACTTTGATTTTAACCAAAAAAAAAAAAGTATAAACTTTGATCTTTGTTGTTATTTTGCAGAGCTGCGAGAACGATTTGAACAGTTTGTGGATCCAGGAGAGCAAAGATGAGACCGAATATTTTAAGCTTAGTGATCTTTGGGATTATTTTGATGAGCTGAGCGCCTATGGACTCGGATCAAAGGTTGTTTTAAACAATGGTGACTCCGTTATGCAGTACTATGTCCCCTATCTATCCGCCATTCAAATCTATACTAACAACAAATCTACAGCTATGTCCAGGTTTGATCAATTTTCCTAAAATTATTTTTAGTTAATTTGTAATATAGGAAGAAGAGTGAGTGTTCTATATATGTGGTGAGGAACTTGAGGAGTGAATCTATGGTGTTTGCAGGAACCAGAGTGATGTTGTTGATTATGAAAGTGAATGTTGGAGTGATGATAGTGAGATTGAGAAGTTGCCAAGGTCACTGAGCAGTCGTTCTAGTAGTGTTTCTGAGGATTCCGGTTATGAAATCGATGGCGTTTCTTCGTTGATGCGAGATAAGCTCGGTTCCATTGATTTTCAGTTCTTTGAGTCCATTAAACCTCACTTGCGGGTTCCTCTCACCACCAAGGTTTTCGTTCATTTCATTTCTTGTGATCCCATTCACTTACTTGCCTAAACTAAGTAGCTTAGAAAAATTTCTCTAACTTTTGGTTTGTTTTAGGTAAAAGAATTGGCTAACAAGTATCCGGGACTTACGACTCAAAGGAATGTTGATTTGTCTCCGGCAAGTTGGATGGCCATTGCGTGGTAACTTTATCTGATATGCAAGTAGTGTTTTCTGGCCTCGATGAGATAATGATGATGATGAAGTCTTCAACATTTTTGTTTACGAATTTAGGTATCCGATATACCATATTCCACCTCGGAAGATCGATAAAGACTTATCCACGTGTTTCTTGAGTTATCATACGCTTTCTTCGGCTTTCCAAGGTATACATTTATGTTCATGCATTCATGGTATATTAATCCTTACTCCTTAAGAGTGTTGTAGCTAGAAACTATATTAGCCTAGCCTTATAAGGACATGTTTTGGTACAAACTGTTGAAACGTCTAGCTTTTGATGTTCGATTTCTCAGGTCATTTGGTAGAGGGAGACGACGACGATGAGATTAACGAAACCATGGACGAAGAAACATTGTGCTGTGAGGATGAATCAGTAACCAAGAGACTTCCTCTGCCTCCTTTTGGTTTAGTTTCCTACAAGTTGCAAGGAGATTTGTGGGGGAATCAAGAATCATCTGACCAAGAACGTCTAGTTTATCTCCGCAGTGCAGCGGATTCGTGGCTGAAACAGCTTAATGTTCATGATCACCATGACTATATCTTCTTCTCCATGAACAAGAGCTAGTAGGTTCAAAAAGACAAAACTCTGTTTTTAGTTGTTCTCCAACTCGCCATTGTAGCTAAAAATTTATATTCCTTCTGTTGTGTACTTGTGTTGTGAGGTGTGTGACTTGTGCCTCAAGTTTTTTTTTTTGGTCTTTCTTGCATCTGTTTTATGTTTGTTTGGTAAGGATTTCTGACCATATAACTTTGTTGTCAGAACTAACATATCTTGTCAGATGTTTTTCTTCTGTAAATTGGTTCGTCGTTACAGAACGAAATAAATGAACTTTGCAATTTACTAAATTTAAACGAAAGAAATGAACCTTTCACTTTACCAAAAATAATCAAAGAGAACCAGAGAGATCATATAGGTGAGTGGTTTGGCCATAATTTTTTTGTGTTCTTTAATGGAATTAGCTTTCTTGTGCATGTGAAACTTAGAATAGAGTGTACCTTTTTTTTTTTGAATCATATGAAGTACATATATACAATACCATTTATATGTCTACTGTTCAGATGAAATTATGAAAATTCCCAAGAATTTTTGTATTTGAGTTAATCTAGAATATTTTCATTATATGACAGTGGGTATGTGTGGATTTTATTTACAAAACACTTTATAGTGGGTAGAATTATGCGTGTTTTTTTGTTTAAATTCAAAAAGTCAATTTTTTCTTTTCGAAAATAACAATCAAGAAGATCGGGTTATACAATATTATTTTATAATCACAATAACGTAAAATTTTAGATAGCAAAAAAGGAAAAAAAGAAAGAAATGAAACATATCACTTTTCATTAAACTATTTTCCGTTTAAAACAATTATTTCGATGTTTTTAAAATTGCCCGCGAAAATACTTATTTAATTACAATTTTACCACTCAGTTTTTTGCTAAGTTTGAACCAAAATTAGGTGAGCAACCTAAATTATCATATACTTTGATTACATACTTGGTTTTTTTTGGGTACCTTTTACATTGCAAAAGCAAAGCAAATGGCATCTCATTCGTACATTGTCTAACCAAAAAAAACTTGGCATGTTAAAATATAAAGACGAAAGAGTGGGACGTTAATATAAAAAAGTGGTTGAAATATGTAATTTTTGTAAAGGCACCAAAATAATAAATTTGGTTGGAAGTTGGAATCGCGGTTCCAGAGATGAATGATGGATGATGGCTAATCCCACAGCTTCTCTTTCTCTTTGTTGTACACTGACATGAACAACTTCAACGCCTCGAATCTTTCTCCTTGTCAAGAAACCCTCACCACATACACATTTCCTCGTCAGCTCAGGGTCAAAAACAAAAACAAAACACAAAAAAAACTCAAAAGGTCTCTCCCTCAGACTCAGAGCTTCTCGGAGATGTTTTCGTTCGTGGCTTTCGTGTTCCTATCTGGATTTCTCCTGGGAATTCTCGCCGTCTTAGCGGCGGAAGCGGCGGGATTTATGTATCTTCTGAAGCGATTGAATCGGAAGAGAGATCGGATTGAGTCAAAACCCGCTTCTGATCCATCTTCCAAGGATTTAAATCCTCCTCGCGACTCCGTTGATTTCTGTATCAACAAACAGGTGATCAATCTCAATCCTTCTTTTAAGGGTTTTGTGTTTCCGAGGCAGAGAGACGAAAAGTTCGTCCTTTGTAGAGAGAGATTTGTATCTTTTGAATTCTGGGTATGTAATTTCGGAATGTGTGCATGCTGCTTCCGTTGTGAGAATTGTGTTCCGTTTCGTTCGAAATTTCGATTGTAGTACAAGTTAGAGCTAGACAAGTCCTGTTTCTGGCATTTTGGATGTCTTTTTCCTCAGATTTCTGTAATGAAGTTTTGTATTTTTTTTTTATTCCCAGGGAACGGTCTGGGTTTTGGAGTTGGATGAAGTTCTAAAGAACTGGATGAAGGAGAAGTTACCAAAAGAGCAAAAGAGAAAGAGAGACTTCTTGGAGATTCATCCGCTTCGGAAATTCGCTCGAATCAAAGATCACAAGCTCATCTTGTCAGATGCTGATGGCACTCAGACGATTGTTTCTTTAAAAGCTTGCTCTATTGAGGCTGTTTCAGGATCTGATCTCCCTACACGCAAATGGTACCGCCTCTTTCGCTTTTCACCCTTTGCTTTTACATGCTTAAGCAATGGGATTGTGAAGTTCTGGTCAAAAATCTGGTCCACAATGAATCAAGAGCGAGTTCTAATGTTTTCACCATATTTATTTGTTTCTTAGGGCCAAAAGATTTCCTATAAAAGTTGAAAGCAAGATTTCTCCAACTTTGTATAAGGGAAACCAAGTGTTTTACATCTATCTTGAGACTTCTTGGGAAAAGGAATCATGGTGTAAAGCCCTTCGTCTTGCTGCTTGCGAAAATCAGGAAAGGTTCATTTGGTACTCCACCAAACTGAAAGAAGATTTCCGTAATTATGTGACGTCTCTTCATGTTGCATATCCTTCATTTATGAAACCATCACTTGGCTATAGTTTTGAGACACTTGACAAAGGAAACAGAACAGATGGTTCTTCCTCAAAGGTTCGCTTGTTCTTGAGGAAATTTTCTAGAAAGAGATCCAATCGTGAAGACAGGAAAACCTACTCACAACATGGAAGCAGCTCAGGGAAGAGCATTTCAGGGAAAAAGATAGTAGATAACATCACAGATGGAACTGATGTGCCTATTTTTTCACGATCTGTGAGCCATTGCAGTCATATTTCTGGGATTTCAGATGGAGACTCTGAGGAAAAGGTTGACATGGATGAAGGAACATTAGCGTGGAACTTGCTAATTTCTAGGCTATTTTTCGATCTGAAACGGAAAACAGGTGTGCAGAATGCTGTGCAAGCACGAATCCAGGTCTGAACTTTTCAAGATTCTGAAACTTTTTATGAACTCAGAGATGAACTGATTTCTTTAACCAAACAAAGATGTAACTTTTTTTTTGTTTTAAACAGCGGGTTTTATCCAACATGAGGACTCCGAGCTACATAGGAAAACTAATCTGCTCCGATGTTGACACTGGACATCTCCCACCTCATATACATGCTACACGGGTTCTACCAATGGAGATGAGTGGTGTTTGGGCATTTGAACTAGATATCGAGTACTCTGGTGACGCGGTGATTGATGTTGAAACACGTGTTGACATCCGCCAGGTGGATCTGCAAAAAGGCATAACCGATACAAGGTTGCAGACAAGTTCTGCAGGGGAAGTCCCATCAAACTTCGCTGAACGTGTTGAAGATTTTGAAAAGCATTTAGTCATCCCTGTTGAAACTGTTGATGCAGGAGAAGTGAAAAATGGTGGAGCCAATAAAGCAGGCTAGTTCACTGTTTACCGAATCTGGATTAATGTAGTCGTCTCTTGTTTTACCCACAGTGATCTTGCGAGTGTGACTCCTGTTTCATATTTATTTATCGGGATGATAGTTACGAATGAATTTTCTTACCATCTTTTTGTTGTTTGCAGATGAATTGAAGGGATCAAAAGGTAATGGTGTATCCAGATGGAAGTCTATTCTTAAGACAATTGCTGAACAAGTTTCCCAGGTTAATTCTCATTTTTCAAATGTCTACAAGACATTTCTTTTTCTACTTGTTGGCTTGATATAAGCTATCCTCAGTTCTCCTAATAACCTTTGACTGGGTTCTTATGTTATCTTTTCCAGCCATTCATGTTTCACTATGGTATCTTAGATAAATCTTTGTTTCTCAAATGCAGGTACCTATCTCTTTATCAATACGGGTGTCTTCTCTTCGAGGGACACTGCGGGTACACATGAAGCCGCCTCCTTCTGATCAGTTATGGTTTGGATTCACGAGCATGCCGGATATAGATTTCGATCTCGCATCTTCTGTTGGGGAACACAAAATCACCAACAGCCATGTTGCAATGTTCTTGATCAACCGGTTTAAGGTACACTTTTTTCTCCATTGGGGTTCTCTTCTGTTTGGTCTCTAGTGAACTTTGAGCTGACAGACTGAGATAACATTATGATTCTGCAGACGGCAATACGGGAAGCTGTGGTTCTTCCCAACTGTGAAAGCCTGACAATTCCTTGGATGATTGCTGAAAAAGATGATTGGGTTCAACGCAAAGCCGCTCCATTCATGTGGCTGAATCAAGAAAATGATCACGGTAGCTCCCAGGCAACAGAAGCGAGATCTAAATCTGACAAGCCACCGACTTCTTCGTGCTGTATCCAGTCTGAGCAAATGCAGAGAACTGCAAATGCCACCCAGAAACCGAATATTTCTGAAGCAGGGACTATATCTTCTTCCTCCTGTGCTCAGTCTGAGCAGAAAGCGGCCACTGCTTACCAGAGACCGAATACTGAAGAAACAGAGGCTATTGTGTCTACACCATCGTCAAATTCCACGACTGTAACAATAGAGTGTGATAAGACCTTGGGAGAACTGAGAACTCCACTCCTGCTACCCAGCAGCACTGAAAAGCAGGAGACGAACTCAAGAGGGATTTCTGCTGTTCAATCACCATCTAGGTCTGCAGTTTCAAGCGAAGAAGATGATTCAAAGGGAAAGAAATTGGGAAGACGAGCAAGGATGTTGGATCTTGGGAAGAAAATGGGGGAGAAGTTGGAAGAGAAAAGGCGTCACATGGAGGAAAAGAGTAGGCAGATCGTTGAAAAGATGAGAGGACCTTCTTAACATGAGAAGAAAGAAGCTTTTGCAATACAAAAACTGATTTATTTATAGAACCACAGGAAGTTAGGCATTGTTACATGTACAGCGTTTTTGAGAGAAAGCCATAGATGTCTCCATTCTTAATCGATCATTGAAAATCTTTATTATTTTTCAAGTACAATACAAGAAAACAGTCTCTAGTGTGGACTCAATTATACATAGGAAACTGCAGGAAAAAAAAAACGAGAGAGACAAACAACACGAGCAAACACAGAGATTGTTTATACAAAGAGAAAACCCTCCATATGAGGTTTGGTCCGGTCTAGTAATCTTCCGGAGCCAATGGTTGGTGAGTACTGTGGTGAGGAGGCTCGTTAATGCTGGGGATGATCATGTACTCATAGATAAGTGCTGCGAGTGCACCACCAATGAATGGTCCAACCCAATAGATCCAATGGTTACTCCATCTCCATCCTACTAATGCTGGACCAAAGGCTCTAGCCGGGTTCATAGAGGCCCCATCAAATGGTCCTCCCACCAAAATGTTTGCCCCAACTATGAGCCCGATGGCTAGTGGCGCTATGATACCAATACTCCCTCTCTTTGGATCGATTGCGGTTGAGTAGACGACATACACCAATGCAAATGTAAGTACGATCTCCATCACTAGCCCATGAAGCTCACTAACTCCATACGCTACATGGAAACCTACTGGTCTCTGCATCACAGAAAATCACATTCCATCATGAGCATATATTTACAGAGATATATATACAAAGTTCCTGGTTCAACCCAAAAGTGTACCATAAAAAGGCAATCCAATCCCAAAGCCTGACTAGACGGTCATACACACATAATAGTAATATCGAAATTGATGAGAAGTAATATACCAAGCCATTAGTGGCAAGCCTCAACAAGAGACAAGCGAGGATAGCACCAAGAAGCTGAGCAATCCAATAGTAGATAGCTCGGATCACCGAGATCCTGCCTCCGATTAGAGCAGAAAAAGTGACAGCGGGGTTCACGTGTCCACCAGAGACATTGATGGCTGCGGAAACAGCCGCAAACAAAGCCAATGCATGAGCTAACGCCACCAGAACTAACCCTCCCGGAGTGTTTGTCCCGGTGTGAGCCGCCGTGTCCCAATACAACTTGTCTGTCCAATAACAATACATATACCGTTCATATCACACATGCATGGTGATGCACACTTCCAACGATAATATTCAATATATCGTATGTATAGATTAACTACGAACCTAGAGCAAGGATGGAGCCTTCTCCAGCAAAGACGAAGACGAAAGTGGAAAGAAACTCAGCCAAAGTGGCTCTAATGGAGTCCGGGTGAGTCGCCTCGTCAGCTCTCCCGAATCCGTATGTCCTTCTAGCAGATGTTGCCATTTAAAACCCTTTAAGAGGATCAAAACCTTTGATGGATGAAGAAGAATGAAGAAAAGGTAAGAAGAAGGATTGAAGAGCGAGATAGAGGGATAGCTTAATAAAAGACGCGCACTATAAGTGATTAGGAGACAGATGTGATACTAGAGTGTCCGAAGCTGAACACGTGGATCCTGTTCGTGTCTATCCATTTCTTGATCTTACCCTGATCATTCAATCTGGACAGTTCCTTAACTAAGACTCAATATATACAAGCAACACTGGCACTATATATGTATATGTGTACGTATATTATCCTTGTCATGCATGCATGTGTAACAAGTGGATCGAGTTATCATTCTCCGAATTTCCTGATCCGGTTTCGTTTTTCCTCGTCATTTATTTTGTCTTTTCATGCCGAGACCATAGATTGTTGTAAATATATACATAGTGTGTATTGTTATCTTTCCTACAGTACTTTCGTTGATAAAGATGAAAACTACAGTCAACATCACCCCTCTATCATTAGAGTATTTAATAAAGTATTGTAAGCTATAATTAAAACGCAATAGACAATAATTAACAAGATATTTTATTAAGTAATCTTTAATATTTTGAATCCATATATATATCATCGTTACTGTTAAGTCCAACAGTACTACGAAAATACTAACCATACCACTTATGATAGTTTTAGTTGATTTCATTTAATTTAGATTGGAGCCAATGCTTTGATGGCCATCTTTAAACCGGTGGAACAATCCTCGGGAGTATACGTTCCGATGAAATAGTTATAACCATAATGAAGCTGAATCCTATCGTTACCGGACGAATACTCTACCGCTCCCTCGTTAGCCGTACATGTTTCATACCCAATTCGGTTTACCACAACCACATTGGATCTCTGATCATCGTACTTGAATACTGCAATGTATCACCATAAAACGTATCAATATAATATAATTAAATCTATATCTTAATTAGAAGATTAATTAAGGTTACCACAGTAAACTAAGAATAGATGTGTTTATCAATCACGTTATGTACAACAACGTATAACGACTTTAAGATCAGAGATACATACCGAGGATATCACCAGCATAAAAGGTTTTGCCTCGTGCCCAAGTGTCCATCAGAATAACCGGATCCCAACCGTCTTGGCCTCCCACAAAGTAGGTGGTGGGTCTTCGGGCATGGGTCACGGCATTGGCTATAAATAAGCATAACATTGCCATGACATAAGAAACGTGTCGAGATGACTGAGCCATTTAGGTCAATAGGTTAAAGGTTTTAATTTGGTGCTGAACTATAGTCAACACCTAAGTTCTTACATATATACTGGTCTTGGCAAGGGATTAATACATTACCATAATTTCGTAGATCTTTTTCTATTAATGAGACATGATTGTGGTTATTAACCAGATTATAGTATACATTTTATTGACTAATATCTTTTTGATTGACCAAAATATGTCTTTCTTATTGAAGTCATATTTATTTGCACGGTTTTTTTTTTTTTTTTTGTGTTTCATTCGATCAATGATTTTGATTCAATTGTTTGTCAAAATTATGTCTTTTATTACCATAATTAAAACCTTAGTTTTGATGAGCTGCATGCATTCATTGAATGAAATTAAAAAACAACAACATGTGATGACCAAAAAAAAAAAAAAAAACAACAACATGATACGTAGTATCAAAAACAGAGAAAAATCACTCTTTCATCTTCTTGCTCTCTCTGTCTCTCACTCTCTCTTAAAGGCTCCGTTGAAACCATCTCAAAGCTGGCCACGCCAAAGATGACTCGATGTACCTTCATAGTTCATACGACACATACTTTCAAATGCCCAAAGATGGCTTTTAAACTATTATTATCTAAAAGGATTTGTATACTCTTCATGTTTGAACTGTTTTGATCTTGTATATATTCTTCAAAAATTCTCTAAATCTTGATCAGGTTTTCCTCGTTACTTAGTTTTGTTGTTGTTGTTGTTGTCTTTAATTAATGTGAGACAGTCTATTCAAATTAAAGTATAGATCACATAAATGTTACTAGCTTTTAGTAAGAACAAAACTTATAAAATAACTAAACTGTATTTAAGTAAAACTTTCTTTAGATAGATAACTATAAAAATTTATTTTTGTGCTGATAAAAGGTTAAACTGATGCACGTACGACATTGGCAATATGGTTGTAATTTGTTCTAAACGGAGGAGACATCTGTATTCACACTATGGTTGGGTTGTGGAATAAGACATCACATATGGTAACCCTTAAATGGATGACGCAATCTGGTTTACAGTAATAGAGGAGGAGGTCCAAGTAAAAGGGCAATTGGAATTTATCGGTTTTGTACCGGTTTGGTACAATGTTGGGAGACACCTGAGAGCTTTTTAACTGTTTCCCCTCCCCGTACACTCTCGCACTCACACATGTGTGTTCGTTTTCCCAAATTTCTCGGTGTGCTAAAGCGCGTGTGTTCAAACGCGTGGTGAGCATACGCTATTCTCTCTCTCTCGCGAGACTCTCTCTCTCTCTCTCTCTCTCTCCATTGTTTCCCTTTAGGGTTTTCTTCAGCTTTGCAAATAATCCAGAAGCGATCTTCATGTACTAACACGGTTGAGAACCCTAATTTCCCCTCTTTCGATTTGTCCGACCTTCGATTTGGCGTTTATAATCCTCAATCTGGTTACCTCTGAGCCTAAAAACCCCTAGCGAAACCCTTGATTTGTTTGTCAGGGGGAATGTCTTCTGACCATATTTCAGGTGGTGGAGCTTCGAAGTCGAAGACGAAGCATAAGTGGAGCTCTAGCCACAACCGATCCAAGCCAATGGTGGTTTCTAGACAGGAGCGTTCGCTTCCTCTTGTCTCTCCTTCCAACTCTTTCCCTTCAGAGGACGATCATCACATGTTAAAGATCAGTCTCAGCTCGATTTCTAAGCTTGAGGTTAGGAACTTGAAGCGGAAGCTCAACGCTGAGCTTGATGAGGTTAGGCTCTTGATCAAACGGTTCGATCCCCAAGGTGGCAATTTTGGCTCTGTGGCTAAAACTGGTGTTCCTGGGAGAAACAAGAAGATGAAATCAGGGAATGGCGGTAAGAAATCTGTTCCTGGAGCTGCTGATAAAGGTACGGTTCAGATTTTCAAGAACTGTAACAGTTTGCTCACGAAATTGATGAAGCATAAGTGTGGATGGGTATTCAATGTTCCGGTGGATGCTAAAGGACTTGGCTTGCATGATTATCACACTATTGTTAAACAACCTATGGATTTGGGTACTGTGAAGACTAACTTGGGGAAAAATCTTTATAAGTCGCCATTAGATTTCGCTGAAGATGTCAGGCTTACTTTTAACAATGCTATTTTGTATAATCCGGTTGGCCATGATGTGCATCGTTTTGCTGAGGTTTTATTGAACATGTTTGAAGAAAAATGGGTATCCATTGAAATGCAGTATGATAATCTTCATCGGAAGTTCAAACCAACTCGTGATATCGAGTTCTCTGCTCCTGTTTCAACCATTGCTCCTTCTGTAGAGCCATTACCTGCTCCTTCACCTTCCCCGTCCCCTCCTCCTCCTCCACCTCCTGAACTTGAAAATAGGACTTGGGAGAGAGACGAATCTATGACTATCCAATTGCAACCTGCAACTGTCAACACTGCTCCCGAGAAGCCTGAAGAAGAGGAGGCACCTGTTACTAACAGGGACCTGACGTTGGAAGAGAAACGGAGACTCAGTGAAGAGCTTCAGGACTTGCCTTATGACAAACTAGAGACTGTTGTTCAGATTATAAAGAAGAGCAATCCAGAGCTCTCTCAGCAAGATGACGAGATTGAGCTGGATATCGATAGTGTTGATATCAACACGCTCTGGGAGCTTTATAGGTTTGTGACTGGGTATAAGGAGAGCTTGAGCAAGAACAAGGAGGATCATGGATTTGGTTCAGAAAGAGATGCTGAATCTGTTCACAATATTATCCACGAACCAGTAAGATTTCCATACCTAATTGTTATTCAGGTCCTCTGCTCTTACTGATTTTGGCTGATAGCATTGTTTCTTCTTTTGTATTTAACAGACTACTCTAACTGGCACCAAAACATCAAGAGTTACTGAATCAGGTAAGGCTCTTTAGCTCACAATATACCAAATTCGGATGCAACAGTATTTATTTAACCGCACACTCGAAGAAGAAGAAGTAGGGGAACTAATGATTCTTCCATCATTTTTTTCCTTTTCTAACATGTAACAACCAGGAAAAGCAATTCGCACGTCATCTCCTGTCCGGCAAGAAAACAATGCAAGCGGATCAAGTAGTTCTAACAGTTCTAGTAGTGACTCAGGGTCTGGCTCTAGTGGTAAATGTTGAAACTTTGCGGCAGCTCTTTTACCGTATCTGCATCGCAACTCACTTAACTTTTCTTTGATCTGCATGCAGATTCTGACAGTGACAGCTCCTCAGGCCGTGGCTCAGATACTGGTAATTAGGCTAGTCAGCGCCGTCATGCTGTTTGATCTATTTCAATAGCATAGTTAGATTTTTTTCTAAGTCTGATAACTCTTCCCAGACGGATTGATTTCTGTATTAGGATATTTACTGTACAGAAGAAATGAGCAACTTTTCAGATGTGTTAGTCTCCTGCTTTTTTTATCTAATCAGCCATACTCGTTCCATGCTTTTGACTGTAACAATCTTATTGTTTAAAGCAGCCAACGAAATTAGACGAGACAGAAAGAAGAATTTGCTTCTTTTTTGCCATATTAGTTACAAAATAAATCTTGGTATATTCAAAAGCAGGACATGAGCCTCACCAAAATATAACTCTTTTCTTTTATCTTACAACATCTCCCACTCAGAATCTTCGGATACAAATGGCACGTTTGACTGTGAGCTTTTGAGGTCTGGAGATGTTGTAGCATGTTCTTTAGTGTTAACAAGATCACAACCCATGTCTGCGTCGCCGAACCATATTGCAAGCTGCTCATATTCCTTCCCTCTTCTTTTTTTGAAAGTTAATGCATCCATTATCTTTTTCTGATGATTATGGTGAAGAAGAAACATATTAGAAATAAATAGATTGGGAAAGCAGTATTCAATCTTATGACAGATTGATCATGTCCAACAATATTCCAAAACTAGCTATTGCTGTTGAAGTACACAAACACTTTTTTTTTTTTTTTTTTTGGACAAACGTACACAAACACATCTATGTATGTGACTATGTGTCTTTGTGTATATGCAATATGTGTAACAAAAAGAGGGAGGGAGAGAGGACCTTGAATGATCTGAGTTGCTTAGTCCTGTCACGTGTTGCATATAGCAAATTGTCGTCAAAATCTGAGGGGTCTTCTCGAGATGTCATGTCATACAAATCAATGGTATCTAATGGACAAACATCGAAGTCTTCAATGAAGAACTCATCATTATTAACTATTACACATGAAGAGTTGCATATGATGAAACTAACAAAAACTGCACAGAATATTCCAAAACTTGGAAGAAGGAAAAAGATGACAACACACACAAACCTTTCATAGAGTTGCTGCTAAAGGATCTAGTATTAACCACTCTATCTTCAACATGTGCAGCTTGAATCTCTGTAGTGGGTGGGATTAGATGTGAAACACCCGTATAAATCCCAGAGGGAGATACAAAAGTATCATCATTACATGTTAATACAGTCATAAAGCTTTCCGGAGAGCGGTGAGTAGATTGAGATATCGGATCTTTGTGGCAAAGGGACGTGCTGGCTGTCTGATCACAATGATCTTCAAGCTTCTCATCAATCAACACAGAGTCTGATAACTTCTCCTTGAAACTATCCCCCTCCATTTGTTCCTCTGTAAGCTTCTCTGGATCATCCTTTACAGAATCCAGCCCTGAATAATCAAAAGAAACCTTACCCTGTCCAAACATAAGAACCACAAAAGACTTCATCTCCTTCTACTCCACATCCTTTTGTTGAAATCATCAAACACTCAGAGACTTGGGAACTAGGAAAAGTACCTGAGAAGCAAAACTGTCCACCTCCACAAGAATCGTTTCCAATTTACGGTAGAATTTATCATACCATGCTCTTCCTTTGGAATCTCTACTCATAGCTCACAAGGACAAATACTACTGAAAAAACAAGTACCAACACAAATCCACCAATAAACACCTTTTCGAAACAATCAAGATCATCATCACAAATATCAAATCGCAAACGATTACAGGGGAAGCTTTTCAACGGAAAGCGAGATGCTATATATCAGATGTTGCCAACGTAAGAAAGAAGAAAGAATCTAAGCAGTTTGGTCTGTCAAGTTATAAACCTCGAAAGACTATACAATTTCTATCGAATTCGTGACCACAACAGCAGAAATGAAAGTGCAATTGCTGAAGAAGACGGACGACAACAGCAAAGAGAAATTAAACGAAGAGAAACAAAAAACCCTAAAAACCAAATTAAGAGCAGATATAGATGAAAATCAAACAAAGAAAAGAGATAGAGAGGACCCGAGAAGCCAAGACGTACATAGAAAGAGCCAGAATATATAATTTTACCAGAGTCTAAATTTTATTTTTTCTTTCGTTAATATTAAATAAGGTTCTTGTGTTTTTTTATCTCTTCAAATAATATTAAATCTATTGACAAAAACAAATCTACTAACATTAATTAAACCCTGATTTTGGGCCTTTTTTAAAATGTAAGTCCATCAGATAATGAATTGGTGATTCAAGCGAAAATACTATACAAAATTCGTCTAGGTTTTTTCCTTTTTAATTACACTGTGAACACTCACTTTTTAATTACACTATGAAATTTTTTATAAAAGATAAAGAGAAAAAAACACAACAACAAATAAAAAGAAAACAAGGAAATTTTTATTTTTATTTTTCATTTTTTGAAAACAAAGAAAATTAAATGACAAAATAAAATAAAAAACAAGGATTTTTTTTTTCATTTTTTGAATACAAAGAAAATTAAATTACGAACAAAAAAAAAACAAGGAAATCCCAAAAGAAACAAACGATAAAAAGGTACATATCAGCCGAAGGAGCCACGACACTTGACTGCACCGCAAAGACAAATTTTGTTGCCTCTGTAAAGTATCTCATCTTCTCCAACCTTCTCCACAGAAGAAACTCCATAGTCATAAGTTAACTCTGTCAATGGAAGGATATGCTTCATAGCAAACAGCCCTATGCGAACGTATCCATCATACTCAATAGGCTGCCAGAAAACATTAGGCAAGCAGCTGTGGTTCATGAACCGAGCAACGTTCCCTTTTTCCTTGGCGCTTATCAAAACTTGCGTCGGCAGATTGAATACTTCAGGGACGCTTTCCCAAATACTCTCACACACAAGCTCCGGTTCGTAGTTCCACCTAAACTTTTGGTAAACCCGAGATGAGTCGAATAAGTAGTCGTGATCCTCATCTTTCACTGCTTCTTTTGTCTTCCTCACACCAGCAAACTCGCAGATGAAGGTTCCGGCTCGGATTGGATCCCAAGAACGTAAGCCCCAACCACGGTTTATTGTCTTGAACACTTCCATGTGGAGCTTCAAACCGTTTTGAACCAATCGGTTTTTGCAGTCGTTGGGGCAAACACAATCTTCACCACACTCGTAAATCATTGGTTTACGACAAACCAAAACGGACTTGTGATACGGTACCTGGCCTCCGTTTTTATGCATGCACATGCAGCTTAGATGAGTGCATGACTCCTCTTGACAGTTCTGGCATCCAAGTGCTTGGCTATCGATGGGAATAGCATCTGTGTAATGCTGAGATGTTATGTATTCAAAGTCGTCAGGGTTGGTTTTGTCGTCTTCGTCCACTTCGTTGACCACCGGGACTGGTAAAAGCTCATTTCCAAAAGAATAATCTTCATGTATAAAACCCTTCCTGGAGGCACTCATGTTCAGCGTCCTCAAACTTTCAGCTTCTTTCCACATCGCATAACCAGTACGAGGTTGGTCCGCCTTCCTCACCAATTTAAACTTGAATTCGATGCAACCAGATTTCCCTATCGAAGTATGGATATTAGTAACATTGTAAAGTCCATCGTATATGTATATCTTCTTATCCACAAGGTAGGGATCGCTTCTGCCTAGGATGACTTTAACGTCAGTATTTCTTATATAACTTCTTTGCAATGCAAGGTTTCCTCTTTCCATAACTTGATCTTGAGGTACATCGTTCTTGGATCCACCATGTCCGGAATAGATCAACATGTCAGGCTGATTGATATCATCATCGTACTGTCCTGATGACACCACACTCGACGCAAGAGGTAGTACTTCCCCATCCTCAACCGTCAGGTAATCAATGCCAGCGACCGCTTGTCTATGAAGCCCGACTAAGCACATCTCCCCCCAGAAATAGAATATGTCGCCTATTTCTACTCCAGGAACTGTACCACGCCTCCTTTTCTTATTAGTCTGGACCCCCATAGTCCTGCAATTAGCCTCAGCGGTTGTAAGGATGTATTTCTGAAGGTTTAGTTGGCAAAATCTCCGTCTAACCGCATCAAACCGCATCATAACCGACTCAACAATGTCCCGGTTCCCGTTTACTATCTCTGCTTCGGTTATCCTTGAATCATAGTTGCTGGGTTTAGTTGGAACCTTTTTGACGTTTGGTACTTCTACTTTTTGCTCCTTTTCCCCCGAGGTCTTGTTTTTGGAACCCTTTGGTCGGCCAAGTCTTCGTTTTTCTGGAACAGTACTTGGACCAGCACCCGAAACAAATGAGTAGTTGTTGGAGCCATCAGATGGTCTAATGATTTGCAGTGGTGTGACATCTAGAGGAGGAGGAAGGTGCGTTTCTTCATGATCACATCTTCCTCGTTTTGTTGGAGCAGAACTTGGACCAGCACCCGCATAGTAGGAGTGGTTGTTGAAGTCATAAAATGGTCTAACGCTTCGCAGTGGTGTGACATCTAGGGGAGGAGGAAGGTGCGTTTCATCATCATCACATCGTCCTCTTTTCTTTGGAGTAGAACTTGGACCAGCACCCTCACAGTAGGAGTAGTTGTTGATGTCAAAAATTGGTCTAACGCTTCGCAATGGTGCAATCACTTGAGGAAGAGGACCGCCGGCATTCATGATGCAGGTTTCATCATATGGTTCTGATTTGACTGGACCAGTAAGAGGGCCGGCTCTTGTGCTGTAGGTTTCATTATATGGTTTTGGTTTGATTGGACCAGTACTAGGACCAGCATCTGCATCATAAGAACCCTTGTTGGAAGCATCGAATGGAACAATGCTTAGAAGCGGTGAGACCAATACAGGAGGGGGTACTGTTGATGATGATGTGTTCTCAACCTGTTCATCTTCAAAATAGCCTATGAAACTTGAGACCGATGTTGCCTTGATCGGAGTGAGACCATCCATTGCAATCCTAGCATCATACAAAAACAAGAAGTCAAAGACTAGTCAAAATTAAACAAGTAGACATGATGATATATTTTATTTTAGCCAAAAGTTGCGAAGAAATAACTAAACAAACAAAAGAAAAAAAAACCGTCGTTCTTTTTTGTTTCTGTTTTATTTAATAATAAATAAATAAAGATACAGTCGTTTTAATAAATGAAAGAGTCGCACTCACTCACACTATTATTAATGCTCTATAAACTACGAAAAGCTTTCCTGACAACTATAGAACCCTAAAAGAATCGAGTTTGGAGAGACGCTATTGAAACAAGAACACAACAAAGCAAACATCTCTTAAGTTCTTTTTTAATCTCTAAAGGCAACAAAGGGTAAGATGCATTATTGAGACTCGGTTCTGAGACTTGAAACGATTCTTTTCAAACCACGAAAAAGAAAGACTTGAACTCATGTATACCTATATAATAAGGGTTTTAAAACGAAGTAGATGTTCAAAACTATTGTTTGACAAGATTCAAACCACATATTCTTGTTCAATTACATAACAACATGTTTAGATCTGAATTCTATATACATATATCTCTTGGATTCAGAAGAGCTCTCATAAATCAGATCTCTTCACAAACAAAGAGATAGAAGAAAAAATAAATCTTGTGTAAGAAATATCATGCATATATATAACAAATATAAATCTAATCTCAATTCCGACAACAACAAGAACAAAATCAAATAACATAAAAAAGTTTATCTACTCTAACCGTTCGTCCCGACAACATATATCAAAGTAAATAAAACAATCACAGCTTGAACATAAAATTAAAGTGCGTATGAAGATAATCCTCAACAAGAAAACAATAAAATAGTGGAACAGCAAATTAAATCAAATCAGCAAGTACCTTGACAAGCCGAGAAATGAGATCTAGGTTACAAAAACAAGGAGCGGGATAGAAACAAGAAGCTGGAGACACACAAAAGGGAGAAGAAGAAAATGGATGAAAAGCAGCAATTCTAAAATATTTGGTTTTTTGTATCTGAGGGTGTGGTAGAGAGCAAAGAGATAATCTCTATTTAACAGTGAATTAGATGATGTGTTAAGATAAACGAGCGTATAATAGCCGTTAGATGGATATTACATATAATCTCCACCGTAGAATATTTTAGTCATTAAAATCTCCAGATTTTTTTGACTACACATTAATTTTAAAAACACTTTTGTCTAAAATAATAATTAACATAAATGTAAAAATATCTTTATTTACCTTCTAAAAAATACTTTCTACATATGATTATTCAACTATTTTGAAAAGGTTGAATAGCTATTTTGGTTCAATGCACCCAAAATTTTGACCCATATGATTAAATGTTGGGTCATCTTAAGTTGAATATGACTTCAGATGATATTTTCATTTAATTTAAACGAATTACATATATTCAGAAGTTTATTATTAACTTTGAATAATCTTAAAGATCAGTAGAACTTGTATGCACCTCATAGATAGCAAAGTCATTATGATTACAAAATGTATTCGACATTGCAGTTAGACACAAAATTGAGACGCAAACGAGAAGCAGATGAAAAAAGTCAATAGGCCAAATACTCAAGTCAAGTCATATATGGGTATGTTATGTTGAAAATTAAAAGCTTGCATTATACAGAAAAGCCATTCTTTGATTATATATGCTCAAGACACATGACACATCACTAGCTATAATATGTTATTGTATGTACAACATAATCTATGAATACGAAGCACTTGTTGCAGTTCTTCCCTATATATACCATGGATTTGTGCTAACGCATACAAACTAATTTGGCTTAAGTACGTATATGACGAAGTTGTTAAATGGATAAATATTGACATTTTGCTGCAACAGAAGTGAAAGATAAGTTTGGTCATAATACTTTGAAGACAATTGGGTTTAAAAACACACATCCTGATTGACTGAGATTAGGAGATAATTGCTACGAAAAGATGGTCATAGTGATAATGTACTTTCTTCGTAGTTTATACAATAGTAATAACAAATGGACCGAGAATTAATATGGATTTGGATTTCCTTAGCATATAGATTTGTTTTTACAGTTGGTATAACATAAAAATTTCCTAAGGAAATGCTCAGAATTGTTAATTATACTTAGGAACTAGCTGTTTTAGCTTTACTTTAAGTGTTTGACACACTTAACTAGAGTAATGCAAGTGCCAGTAGATGCTAATATTGCTAAGTATCTTTGCATGTAAACCGACAAAATCAAAAGTAAGAAGTAATGAAGTATAACATGATCTAGGGAGGATTTTTGGGATATCTTTAACCGAAAAGGAGTAACAATGCTACTATGCAGCAATAGTGATATTAAGGTAATGCAACAAAGATGTTGCCTGCAAGATTAGAGTAATCAGGATTCTGATCCTGATAAATTTAAGAAACTTGTTTTCTATTTTTGTTGCCCACGTGTTTGCTGTCGTATTTACTATATGATTAAAAAACAATTATAAATAGGAAACAAGTTTTTTAAATTTATCGAAAAATATGAGAACAAACACATGGACTACAAAATAGTTTTAAACGTATATAAAAAGTGCAATTAGTATACGATAAACGACACTAATTAATAGGAACGAAATTCTTAAATTAATTTAAAAAACACAAAAAGAAACATGTGCGCTCCAAAATGATCATGCACACGTGTGAAAAAAGATTAAGATAGAAGACACTAATTAATATTCCCTCTGCTTCGTTATAAGTGATGTTTTAGCCAATTTTTTTGTTTCAGTATAAGTGATGTTTTCAATTTCTTATGCAAAAATTTAATACATTTAATTTTTTTTGACCAATTATATTTTACATTATAATTTCTTATTGATTGAATTCATAATAGTTAATGATGTTTTTATGGAAAATAGGTAAGTTATATGTTTTATTATTTAGTGTGTCAAAACCTTAAACATCACTTATAATGAAACAATTTTTATAATTTTATCGAAATATACAAAAGCAAACACGTGCGCTACAAAATAGTCATGCACACTTATAGAAAAACATGTGTTACAACATTAAAAGAAACTCATGCACGCTTTGTGTTTAGGATTGGAAATGATATTTATATATATATATATATAAATATATATTATAACATGAAAAAATTTCATCACCTCTGCCGATTTAAGCTAATTATAGATATGTATATTGCAGGATACATATGTACTATAATGCTCATTTTCATAACTGTATTTTAACACAGATATACCGTAAATCATATTACACTGATCATATCTTTAACATTATCATGGTATTATAAATATCTAACATGTGAGCTGAAGACTTAAATTGATTTGATTTGTGAAGTCGACGAAGTAAAGTAAACAAACTAGAGTCTAGAGATATATACATCTGGGTTTACGAAGCTAGATTATGATCCAACCAATGTCACCAATTATGTTTTTTTTTTCTTTTGGTAAAATTTTCACCAATCACATGTTGGACCTTGCTTCATAGACATCCAACATAATTTACTAATTAACTCCTTAAGAAATGCTATAAATCTATAATATTATGTTCAATTACGTTAATCCTTTAACCAGTGGAAGGAGTCTGATGGCAAACTTATATCCTCAGCAACCGCCTGAGTCACCATAGCCAACCACATAAAATAACCTCGAAACACACACAAAAAATTTCGTGTTATATTTGCTATTTTATTTAGAAGTCCGACAAGATCCAAACTGTATAGGTAAAAAAAAAAAAAAAAAAAAAAAAAAAAAAAACTAAAGAAAAGGAATGTTTTGGAACAACAAATGATTGAACTTAGGATTCTAGCTTCCTGTAGAAAATTAGACAACAACACTTGCTTGATTCATTCTTCCCTAGTAACGTGATCAATGGCTTTTTGATAGGCATAATAGGCCCAGATTTCATAAAATGGGCCTCAAACCCAGGTCCAAAATTTCCCCTTGTTTTTAAGTATATAGTTAGTCGAATCCTCGTGCTCGGGAGAACCGCGGATTTTTTTTGGTTTCCTAAAGACGGACGATAGCTTTGAGTTTCTCCGCTGGACAATAAGGTATCACCGACCACTGTGTTTCGGCAAGACCCGTCGGAGGAGAATCTCAGTTTAGGGTTTTGCTTGTAGGGTAAACCTCAGAAGGTATGTTTTCCTGATCTGAGGTACAACGAGTCCTCTTGGAGGCAAAATTTGATGGCGTTGAGGCAGCATAAGCTTTAGCTAGACTTGTTGGAGGATTGTTACACTGATTGAATCTCAGATTAGGATTTACCTGTTGAAGGTCTTTTCTCCGGGAATCAGGAGGTGAAATTTATGGCTGATAAGTACAACGTTGAGGAAGCAGAGGCTTTGGCCAAGCGAGCCTTGGTACAACTCTTTCCCAGTTTTAATAATACTTGTCTGCTTTCTCGTTTGAAAAAAAACAATAAAAATCAGATTTTTAATAGCTGGGTTTCGTAAAATTGTTTGCTTTCTTCAGCATCTACCAATTGCACAGGCGACGCCGATCTATGAGCAGCTTTTGTCTCTTTATCCCACTTCTGTAAGTTCCCATGACTTCGCTTCCCCGGGTTTTGGGGGCTATTTTTGCTGGAAACTTTCCTGATTTATTTGTATTTGCTTAAAATTGTGTGAGCCCCTTTGTAGGCGAGATATTGGAAGCAATATGTGGAGGCACAGATGGCTGTAAACAATGATGATGCTACGAAACAGATATTTAGTCGTTGTCTGTTGACCTGCCTTCAAGTTCCTCTTTGGTATGAGATGCTTTTCTTTTCTTTTTTTACTCGTTGATAAGAAAGAGTCAATTTAACATCTTTCTGTCTCATTGTTTCTTATGTCGAGCCTCTTGCTTAGCTATCTCCTTGAATGTAATTCAAACTTCTTATTCTCTTAGGCAATGTTACATTCGGTTCATCAGAAAGGTCTACGACAAGAAAGGAGCAGAGGGTCAAGAGGAGACCACAAAGGCTTTCGAGTTTATGCTTAACTATATTGGTATCACTTCTCTTCAGGAGTTTGGCTCTATTTTGTTTTTTTTTCCTCATTTCAATCTTGTGTACATATCTGATAAATAAAGGGGGAAATTTCGCCTGTGAGTAATGGTAACAGTTATGTGTAGTAAAAGATATGATTTTGATCAAATTCATGCTTAATAGAGTTGTTAACTCTTGTATTTCTTTGTCTTGACATGATTGTGTATGTTATACTGTTGTAAGTTGGCTTACATTAGATAATGCTGGTTTGGTTAAGAGGCATGGAAATAATAGTTTGGGATAAATGACTACTGTAAAAAGGATATGCGTATTACTTGGATCAAGTAAATAGAAGCACGTTGTGTCTCAAATTCTGATGTTCATACTACTTTAAATCCTGAATATCTCTGTCCAGTCGTCTAGCTCTATTTAAACTTCTTGTATGTTCTTATAAAATGTGGTGTGTGTACATTTTCTGTTGTTGAAACATTGTTGAATCAGACAATCATCATATTCTGTTGAACCCCTTGTTCTTTATCACATTTCATGACACTTCAGTGTGACATAAGAAATGGTTTTTTTGATTCATCTTCTATGAATTATCATATATATTTACTACAGTGAAAATCCATGATAAGGTTCTCTGACTGGTAGTGTGTCAGTCCTTGGAGAAATAGTATTGTATCACGGATTATTGATATCCATCAGCAATAGCAAACACATACTTAAGCTTTGCATCCATTTAGAGCTCTAGTTTCTCTTTAACATGCCAACACATAAGATAACTTGAGCACTACTAATGGTGGTTTCTTTTGATGTATGATCTCCAGGGACAGACATAGCATCAGGGCCTATATGGACTGAGTACATTACCTTTCTAAAATCTCTTCCGGTTCGTTATATCATTCTTACTTTGTCCTTGATACTAATAATTTGTTATAGCAGAGAAACTAATAGATTCTGGTGCAGGCTCTTAACGCCTACGAAGATTCGCAACGACTCCGAAAAGTGTATCAGAGAGCTATATTAACTCCGACCCATCATGTTG